AGGGCGGCTCGGCGGACGGCTGTCCGGCTACTCGGTTGCCCGGGCGGCTCGACGGTGCTGCTGCAGGGCGGCGCGGCGGTCGGCTGCTCGGCTGGTGGGACGGGTCGGGAAGCTCGGGCGGCGGGCGGCGTTGCAGCAGGTGACGGGGCTGCAGGTGAGGGCGGCGGGGCCGCCAACGAGAGGGGCGGGGCCGTAGGTGAAAGCGGCGGGGCTGCAGGTGAGGGCGGCGGGGCCGCAGCAGAGGGCCGCGGGGCCGCAGAGAAGGGCGGCGGGGCCGCAGTTGAGGGCGGCGGGGCCGCAGCAGTTGAGGGCGGCGGGGCCGCAGGAGTTGAGGGCGGCGGGGCCGCAGTTGAGGGCGGCGGGGCCGCAGGTGAGGGCGGCGGGGCCGCAGCAGTTGAGGGCGGCGGGGCCGCAGTTGAGGGCGGCGGGGCCGCAGCAGTTGAGGGCGGCGGGGCCGCAGTAGTTGAGGGCGGGGGGGCCGCAGGTGAAAGCGGTAGGGCCGCAGGTGAGAGCGGCGGGGCCGCAGCAGAGGGCGGCGGGGCCGCAGAGAAGGGCGGCGGGGCCAAAGTTGAGGGCGGCGAGGCCGCAGCAGTTGAGGGCGGCGGGGCCGCAGCAGTTGAGGGCGGCGGCGTCGCAGATGAGGGCGGCGGGGCCGCAGTTGAGGGCGGCGGGCCGCAGGAGAAGGGCGGCGACGGGCCACTTGTGAAAGGGCGGCGCAACGCGGCCGTTAGGGCTGCGCGACGCGGCCGTAAGGGCGGCGCGACGGGTCGCTAAGGGCGACGCGACGGGCCGCTAAGGGCGACGCGACGGGCCGCTAAGAAGGGCGCGGCCCTAGGCGCGCTTCGGGCAGGGGCAAGACGCGCCCCGGGCAGGAAAAGAAAAGGGAGGATCGGTGGGCCCTAGGAACAGTTCCCGCGAGGGAACCTGTTCGATACCATGAGAAAATGAGAACGAGAATGAATGAACTATGAGTGAAGTGGGTACAAGTACCAACCCTAATTTGGTTGTACCCCCTATGGGATACCCCACTACAGCCTACACAAAAGCATAAGCTATAATGTTCTGACAGCTGCTACTGCATGAGGCACATGACGGAATTACCTCGGGACATTTCGGGGTAGAAAAAACGTGACAGCAACTGCAGCGCTATTACTACTGGCCGGAGCTGTTGACCGACGTACAGCACCACGTGGGCTCTTATCCTACGTGTTAGGTGATGAAGAGCTCGCGAAAAAGAAAGGCGGGTCAATTGCAGCCGATTCCACCGCCCGAGCGCGCCTGGCAGCAAGTTACCATGGATTTCGTCACGGAGTTACCTTCGAACCCAGGGGGTAACGACGCGGTTATGGTCGTCGTTGACGGTTTGACGAAGATGGCACACTTCGCTGCGTGCAAGAAATCGATCTCAGCCGAAGAGACCGCTCGCCTGTTCATCGCAGCCGTCGTTTGACTACACGGGATACCAGCCGCGATAATCAGCGACCGAGACACGAAGTTCACCAACAATTTCTGGAAGAACCTTTGGGAGCAATTCGGGACCAGGCTACAGTCTAGCTCATCGTACCACTCCGAGACCGATAGGCAAACGGAGCGGACCAACCAGACGATGGAGCAGTTGATTCGGGCCACGTGCGACGACCCGACAACTTGGGAGTAGCAGCTTCCGTTGATTGAGTTCGCGTACAACAATGCCACGTTAGTGACAACGAAGCAGTCCCCGTTTTACCTGAACTACGGGCAAAACCCAACAGTGTCCATGATGCCGTGTGCGGACAACCCCACGCCACGTGCACAGCAATTCGCCGAGATTCTGCAGGCTGCCCGAACCAGAGCCGCAGAAGCAATTAAAAAAACCGATGCCATCGTTAAACGCAACGCTGACCGCCTGCACCGCCCAATCACGTACCAGTCATGAGATTGCATACTACTTGACACACTGAACTTAAGACTGCCCGTCGTACCAAAATTACGACCGTGGTACTATGGACCATTCCAAATCAGCCACATGATCACCCTACTGACCGCCCACTTACTGTTGCCAACAGACTGGTACATCAGCCCATCATTCCACGTCAGTCTGCTTCGCCCCTACATCCCAACCACAAGCCAACTGGCTCGTCACCGCCCGCCATCAATGACTCGCCCTACATCGGAGCCTATCATCGAGCCCAAAAAGATCCTGAGCCATCGGATTCGAGTTCCTCGTTCGCTGGAAGGACCGCACGCCAACTGAGAATAGCTGGGTAACCCTGGCCAATATGGAGAACCACCCTAGCCTTGCAAGTGTATCTGAGGAGCCGGGGTTTTCGTGATATTCACGCACTCGCATAGCGGAGGGGGCTTCTTGAGGGGGGGGGGGGGAGGGGGGGGGGGGGGGGGGGGGGGGGGGGGGTAGTGTGAGGAATTTTCTCGACATTCCTTAGCGTATCCTGCAACATCGCGTACAGCAGCAGCCGCTGTTCGCCCGTTATTACTAACGGGGCTTCGTCGACTTCGCGCACACTGTTTCACCAGACCATGCACCGCTGGCCTGTCCGTGTCGGCCTACGCTTTGGGACTAGCCCGAACCTTGATTCCAGCCTAGCGTTAGCTAGCTCGTTCGCACGGCGTTACCGTTTGCATGTTTCGCGTATAAATGTTTGCTCTTGCCTTCGCTTACATTTTGTACTCGTTTGACACCTAGTGCAATCCTCGCTACCTTGATTCATTGCACCCGTAACAGACAACATCGAGGAGCTATTTGTGACAACAGCATTTAGGAACTGCACTTCAGTACTGGGAGCGAAATGTTTTGAGAAATTAATGTCATCACTTACACAACCATGTTTCTGGAAAAATATCAGATCAACCTTGCGTCTGCGTAAAATCAAAGTGCTGTAAATTCCTGTTGGTTTCAAACTTAAAATTATGAGCCAAAACGTTTTTATTTAAAATTTTATGCGCATTCACACAAGTTATGAAGCACTATTTGAAACACATGAGGCTTCAAGTAAATACGGATTCACTCTTTCCCAAGTCTGCTATTAGCGAGGAGACGCTTGGAACCCCAAGCACTTAGCTCTAGCTGTGCTTCGTGCAAATAACAACAGAACTTGGCCGCTAATCCAACCAGGTGGAGACGTGTCAGCACTAAACAGATCCGTGACGCATCTCTCCTGCCCCCTCGCGCACCTTCTTGCGCATCCGACTCGCACCCAGACTGGGCTCAGAACAGAGTGAAGCTCCCCCGTTTCCGCGACTCCCCAGTTCCGGAGGAGCTGCCCCAGCTTGTTGTCCAATCATCCCAGCGAACGGCCCGCTGAATCCGTACGTCACATTTCTATCCGACCATTTCTTATCCTCCCCACAGCCCCCACCACCCCCACTACCACTTCTTGTCCACCAGCACGGAAAAAGATCAGAAAGGGGCCCTAGAGTAGCAGTAAAGTGGCCGACTTTGGACCTTGTGATTCGCGCCCTCACAACGCGCCCCCGAAGCAACCAGCACGCTTGGGCAGCTAGACCGAGCCTGGCCTTCTCGCCACGTCACCTTTTGCTGGCGAAATGACGCGCGTTGGCGGAAAACACGTTTCTCTCAATTGCATCAGCCTAAATTTCTCCGACCTCGTCACGTGGGCGTTTCCCTTGATTGAATGGACCGCGTCTGCGCCCGCCCCACCAACTTGATTTTCCCGCCCTCCCACCCCGAAATCGGGCAGCCGTTTATACTCACGTGAAATCACAAACAGTCACGATTTAGACTAGAAATATTACCACAAGATTAAAGATATTGTAAAAACAAATAGTTTAAAGCAGTGGCATAAAATGAAAAAACTGTATAGTTTTTTAAAAATTCAATTTAATATATAAATATTATTATAATTGTTATGACCAGCTTTTACTAATTACAGAATAAAACAGATTTTACCTAGTGGAGATATTTGAAACGAAAAAAAAATGAATAAAAGGTACTAAGTGAAATTTTACTGTGCGTTCCCCAACGGCTCCTAGCACAACCAAACGTGCACGTCATTCAGCATTGAAGAATAAAAAAACACTGCTTGCATGTCACTTTGATCTGAATTAAATCACCAATGATCTGTCCAATCAGATATCGCTCGCATGTTGAAATCCTAGCGTTACAAATATAACATGTATTCGTGACTGCTTGTGATTCCGCAAAATTCGAGCGTGTGCCTGGATTCTGGTTGGGAAGGGCAGGAAAATCGCTCGAAAAGGGCGCGCGCAAACGCGGTCCTTCCAGTCAAAGAAACGGTAAGGTCCATTAAGGAAACAAGTGGCGAGGTCGGAGTAATCTAGTCGATGCGAGAGAAACGCGATTTTCGTAAATACGCGTTATTTCGCCGAATTTGCTAGTGACTCGCCATCGCACAGCTGGTAATACAAATACTTCAGAGTAATTAGCCACAAAAACAAACCTTTAGCCCAAAAATATAGAACATCGCAATTGTACAAATATATATACGATTCGGATGGCACATAATTGGGGAAGCATCAACCCTAAACACCATGCGACAAGACGTTTAGGGCCTAGTCCCCTTAGAAGACATGACGCACGAGATGAGAATTCGTCAAATTTCAAATGTCGAGTCAAAATTTTCGATGTCGTCAAGTAAGAATTTGTCACCTTGTGTGGTCAGGTCTGACGGAGCGCGTGGATGAGGCCCGATATTGGTCGGCCACAGGTCCGGCTCAGGCTCGACAACTTGCGAAACACAAGGCCCCAATTCGGCGACGTTTCTAGAGCTCTTGGGGCCAATTTTATAATTTTCCTACTAGCTCTTCCCTAACATCTTTCCCCTTCCCCCCAAGTTCTCCCCCTTGTTTGCCCACTTCACGCACTCTCTCCGCTCCCCCTACCACCCCACTCGTCTCCTCTTTCCAGAGGATAACGCCCAATTCTTCAATTGCCACAACCGCGGCCAGATTCATCCTACCCAGGCGTACCTTCTTGCGAGAATGTAGACGCAGAATTGGCCGCGAGTCGGTGGAAATAGAGCATGCGGCGCAGCGGATCAGCCCTCAAGCACTTTTGGCCGTCGTGCTTTGCTACCGCCGCCATCAGCGCCATCCAGAGCCTTCCATTCAAGCACACAGCGCATCATCCATCTGAGATCCACCTACCCTACCGCCACCAGACGTTGAGCGTCTCATGATACATATTCAAGTTTTGAAATGCTGTTTTCCGCCCAGGAATCGTAGGGTCAGTCTCTCGGGTTTCGACCTCCTCTCCTACTTGTGCTTCCGCTCAGCAGCACCTCTCCCCACGCCGCTGCCGCTGGAGCTTCCCTGTCCGCGAGGGCCATCGCCAGTAACTTCACTGATTGCGGTACACTTTTGAGAATTCTCATAAGTGACTCCCAGATTGCAGTACCTCGTCCTGCTGTCCACGCGCGTCGATCTATCAGCTCGCTTACTACGCGGCGCGTGTCGGACGCTGTATCTGTCCGTCTACTATCATCGACCCAGCATCAAGCGTATCTTTTGAGACTTTTCATCAGCAGACGAGATGGTGCGAAGCCTCCCCGCCTCCCCCACGAAAGAAGCAGGGTACAACCCCCCTCTTCTCCTTGTCCTCTTTTATCATCCGCTTCCCAAACCTGTTCTCGCACTCTTTTCTTCCCCCCCCCCCCCCCCCCCCCCCCCGGCCTCCCCCCTCTCCCCTCACACCCACTTATCCTCCTATATTCGGAAATTGTGCACCGACCGGTCAGGTCTTATCCAACACTCGTTTTTCCATCCTTATTTGACTCACGTTGTTTTGCCGGCCTCCCTCCGCGTCCTTCTGTCGCCGCGCAGGGAGGGAGCCACCACGACGAGCCTGCGCCAGGGCCATCGGGGGAGCTGGAGTGCGCTGTCAGCGGGGGCGGCGGAGCGGAGGCGCTCGCATGGAGGATTGGCGGGATGTTCGGCATCCTCGTGTGCAGCTTGTGAGATCTAGTAGCTACTCTCAACTCCTCGTAACTTGTTTGTCTGTACTGATTCATCCGATGCCCAGTACTAGCAATAGTATATTCTCATGAGCGTACGTCTTGTATGCAAGACAATATTTGGCATTTTTATGTTTAGGTCGTGTTCTGATCATCGTGGCTTTTAGATCGTCGCGTGTACATCGCCCTGCCATTTTAGTTCGCTTCACTTTCCTTCCTGTCTCGCCTTTCACAGGATCGGCTTCGCGTTGCCTTACCTTCTTCGAAAGCAACATAGGTCAATCCTCTTCTTCTTCCGAACCTTCGCGGCGGGCGTGGTGCTTGCCGTCGCGATCGTCCACATATTTCCAGGTACGTCCACCAGTGAATGATTCGATCATTCTTGAAATACACCTCAATCGGCATTGACCTCCGTACCCACCGATTGCAAGACTAGGAACGAACGCTGATTTCATTAGGCATACTGATGGGGAGAATGGAATGGAGTGGAATGGGATGAATGCACTTGACGAGTGCAGTTTAGCTCGTATATCTATTTGAGCTAATTTTCTCTCGCTGTTGCCCAAACCCCATCTGCAGGAGCACAAGAGGCGCTCTCCAACCCGTGCCTGGGATTTACGGAGGAATTTCCGTGGGCGTCAGTTTTTGTCCTCTACGCGGCCCTTATTTCCTTTGTCGTGGAGTGTTACCTGAAGAAGATCCTTCTTAGATCGCTGCAGTCTAACAGCGAGAAAAAACACGTTCCAGCAGAGGGCGAGTGCGTCGAATGCGGGTTGAACACGGAAGAGGATGAGAAGGCGCTCGTCATCAGCGGTTACCGCGCAACTTCGTACACTCTCGAAGCGGGAATTATCTTCCACTCTATTTTTATCGGAATCGCACTCGGAACAACTCAAGACATCTCCGAGATTCAGAGTCTCGTCATCGCCCTTCTGTTCCACCAGGTACAATGGCTTGCACTAGGTAACGAAGAAGCATGGATACCCATGAAGTCTTTGCATTGCCTGATTCCCACGGTTTCTAACTCTGATCTGTCCTTCGGCTCTGCATGTTCAGGGGTTTGAGGGTATCAGTCTCGGCACAACGCTCATCCCATGCCAGTTCTCCAAGCTCAAGACAGTTATCATGGGTCTCCTCTTTGCCCTCACAACACCGATCGGCGTGGTCATTGGCCTTGCGATCTACTCCTCCTATAACCCTTCCAGCAAGGCTGCTCTGGCTACTGAGGGGGCTTTCAACGCCGTCTCTGCGGGCATTCTCATTTATAACGGCCTGGTTGACCTCGTTGTGCCTGCTTTTGACGAGGATGACGAGGCGACACCCAAGGGCGCGGTTCTGTACTTCCTTGGGTTCGTTTCGCTGTTCTTGGGTGCCTTTTCGATGTGTCTTCTTGCCCTGTGGGCGTGATCTCTTCCTCTTGTTAGAGACACCTCCAAGGGCCAAGGCCAGTGTTGGCGCTTTCATGCTGAGAAGAAAGATCTGATCAACAAGATCGTCGCAAAGGCATGCTTCCTTCGAGAGCATGCTGTGCTGGGTCCAGTTTTGGTGAAGAGCCAGTTGCTCGAGCTTACTTGAGCTGAGCTGTGAAGTCTCTACCTCTCTGCTTGGTTGAAATATCCAAGCAAGGCTGTGTCCATCTTGATCCCAACAAGGATTGGATTTCTTCAAGCAGCTGTGTTAGCACAATGCCGTAGAGGTTGCCTTGGTTGAGTGCAGAAGTTCGGTACGGGAATTTTTGTGAATGGAAATGATTAGCACAATGTTAATTAAGATTTATCTATCTGCAACTTCTAAGTGCTAAGACCTGTCCTCAAAACAGACAGACTCTGTTCCGCTAATGAGTTGGGATTAACAGAATTTTGTCGAAAATGACTCGGAACAATTTCGATCGAAGTTTCGTACCCCCTCCGAGTCACATGGCCAGGGTGGAAGCTTCGCACGCAATTCCTCAGAAGAAGTTTTAAGGCCCCATTTATCCTGCGTGAGTACCCCCCACACCCGCTGCCTTCACTAGCCTTGTGCGGCACATTTCAGCTCTCGTCCTGATCGCCATCGTCAATCGCCTACCTCTTTTCTCGGCGATAATCTCGCGCCACAATACTTGTCACGTCACACCGGCCCTCTTTACTCCCTCCCGCTGCCGTCTCCATCCGAATAAGCAAGCCCACTTCGTGCTGCCACGTGGCTAACATGTGTCACAAGACTCCGTGCAAGGCGTGCGGCAAGTACACGTGGATGGGTTGCGGCATGCACGTGGAGAGCGTGTACAAAAGCATTCCGGAAGACAAGCGGTGCGCGTGCAAGCCATGGCCGGGGCTTAAGGAAGACGGTACGTGGGAGAAGAAGAGCTGCTCGCTGCTCTGATGATAATAAATACCTGAGCATGTGATCTTATTATGTGATAATAAGACTATGTGATTATGTGATGTGAATTGTGAGGCTGGCGACTTTTCAGCGGAGAGCGGAGCGGACTCTAAGGTCAATGACAATGAGGACACACGCAAGAGGACAGCCAAGCTATTCGTGTGACCTGACCGACGAAGGGGGGGGTGGAGGGGGGTTGGTCGGGAGGGAGGAGATCGCGCCCTACCGTGCATGGATGGTTTGGATTGGTTGGACCGTTCGACCCTGACCGTGACGCCTTTTGAGGCTCCTCAAAAGTTCAGCCTGACCGGAAAGCTGCATGCGCTGCATGCGCTGCGCGTCGGCTGCTCGATGCGCGCTCTGGGATGCAAGCATGCATGTAGAAACCGTCGTCAGAAATCAGGATGCTTGTAGACGTTGGACTACCGTTGTTGTTTCCCTTGCGTAGCTTCTCTTGGGTAGCATTGCAGACCTTCCGACCCCTGTACCTTTGTACTTCTTATGTTGTCAATAAAGACGATGTGGTAGGATTAGACTAGAACAACCGGTGGCAGTAGTAGTTTATTACTCCTCACTTGGCAGTTTTTTTTACATCCGCCGTTTTCATGACCTGGTGTCGCTCTGTGTTTATCCTTGTCTCCTAAGGCCTAGGTCCTAAATTGCTAGTGGGTTCTCTACTAGGTATTGCTATTTGTTGGCTGGACTTCAGTTGCCAAAGCTGTGCCGCCTAGTCAAATCAATCTTGCATTGACCCTACTACGCCATTAATCACCCTAGCTTGGAAAGTAGTGATGTTTCTTCGCTCTCTGTCGCGTTCGCTTCTGTCGAGTACGACCACACCCTCAGCAGCCACACCTGTGATATCATCGCCAGTTGGTACACTGGGGATTCGCGAGAGGCGGGTTAACGAAATCCAGCTGCGAGGAGGCGAAGTCGCACCGTTTCGCAGCATGGCGTCGCAAGCCCTACCGCAAAATCCGCCCCGCGAATCGCGTGCGACGATCGTGCACGACAGCGCGTCGCATAAGTTTATGTCGAGCGACGGGCAGGCCTTCGCCGAATACGACCTTCTCTCGCCTCCCCAGGCTGCCGCGTCGTCGGAAGCTTCCATATCAACGAGCGCGACGAGCGCCGGGAAGAGCGGCGGCGTGACGAACGGCGTGAAACGCGGCGTGATGGACATCACGCACACGTACGTCCCGCCGAGTCGACGCGGCGAGGGCCTCGCCGCTCGCCTGTGCGAAGCCGCGTGCGAGTACGCCAAGGAGAACGGGCTCTACGTGCGACCCACGTGCTCTTATGTTGAGGTACGTTCCACCCACGTGCTGCCCACGCGCTCTTACATCGTGGATGCCTCTTAAGTACAAGTTAACGCCAAGAGAAGGTGGGGGTGGGGGCCTGGGAACGAGGGGCAACGTGGTGGGGGCTTGGGGGGGCATGCTAAACCTGGCCTTCTACACGATTCCAATGGTGTTGGTCGTTTTTGTTTTATGTTACTTTCACCTGCATGAGCCTTGATTTCTATGTGCTATGTTCCTCTGTACCACACACACTTATTTTTGCAGCAGTTCCTCCCCCCCCCCCCTCCCCCACCTTCCACTGTGCCATTCCGTCCCTCCATCACATCACATCTCATCTCATCTCATCTCATCTCATCTCATCGCATCTCATCTCATCGCATCTCATCTCATCGCATCTCATCTCATCTCATCGCATCTCATCTCATCGCATCTCATCTCATCGCATCTCATCGCATCTCATCTCATCGCATCTCATCTCATCGCATCTCATCTCATCGCATCTCATCGCATCTCATCGCATCTCATCGTGTCTCGTCGCATCTCATCTCGTCAAATTTCATCACATCTAATGGAATTTCATTCATGCTCCCATCATTTCCGCTGGTTTCTGAGAATTCCAAATAGCCTTCAGGTCATCCTTTCACAATCACACCTCACCTTGCTTCCTCCCTTTCCTCAAAGGAGACATTCATGAAGCGGCATCCTTCCTGCCGTGACCTTCTTGAACCCGGCACTCTGCGACCAACACTCTGAGACTCACCCCATACATGGCCGATGGTACGGTAGTCCCGATGGTATGGGACTACAATTGGCCATAATACATGGTAGTCCCTGTAGGTTTAGACTCATTGCAATCCGAGACCATTCTTCATGCAACTTGCTGGAGGCAGGCACTTTGACTCTGAGACCAGCCCCTCAGGCACTTTGACTCTGAGACCAGCCCCTCAGGCACTTTGACTCTGAGACCAGCCCCTCAGGACTCACCTGAGGCTTGAGCTCCCATAATGGCTTACCCTCATTAGGAGGTGAGGAGGTGTGGGCCATGGAGAGGGAACTTGCTGCAGCCCCGCACCTTGAATGCTACCAACATTCGCGTTTTAGCTGGAGCGCCAGTTAAAGTGCATCAATCGATCTATGACAGCCTGATTCAGACAGAGCTCCTTCCGTATAGCCTAGCATGTAATGGGTCAAGCAAAAGAGCTCTGTTGATGTCCCTGTACATAGTAGCACATTAACGCTGAATTAACATGCAGCTGTAATCTTGTTAGCGCATGGCAATGTTGCTGAACTTACTGACCAAGAATATGGTAACCGTTACTCAGGTCAGGTGTCTGTCTACCCTCCGCAACTCTGCTGGGGAGACTTCTGTTGGCGTCGTTGCGGAAGTACTCGGCCTTGTTGGGGCACCTCTTGGTGGATCGGAGAGGGAAAGGGGGGGCCTGATTTCCTCCTCCATTCACACAAAGCTCAATGACAGAGAGAAGAACAGGTGATGCTACATTGACATGGTAATGGGTGGGGACACAATACACTCCCTTCCTTCCCTCATGCTAAACCAAGCGTCTCTTCTCTAGATTCATCTCATGCGACAGTGTTGTTTTGATCCATGCCATTTCTCATTTCATTGACTCACATAAACATACGCATCACATGAGCTAATTCTCCTGGAACTTGGCTTCACACTACAGTACATACGGTCATGCCATGTGGAGTACCCTACTGGATGCCAAATTGCATCCCGTGTTGGGTACACTGTCACCCATCTCATGCCATGTCGCATCAAGGCCAGAATATCAATATCGAAGCAGCTACAAGCGCAGCAGCAACCAGCTTCCTCACTCCCGACGGCTCCGAAACCTCTTCCCGTTGAAACCAATCATCTCGCTTCAGCAGAACCATCGCCAGCACCAACCACGTCGCTGCATTCTCCCGGCCATCTGGTCTGAGAACAAGGGAAACGGCTGCTGCTGCTAACACACCCATGGACACCGCATGCTGCTGCTTCCTTCCAAACAGCGCTGTGATGATCCTACCCCCATCGAGAATACCCACAGGTAGCAAGGAGAGAGAGGAGAGGTTGACCCCAAGTAATCCGGCTAGAATGAGAGGGTTTATTGCGAGATCTAGCGTAGAAGCGCCTGTGGAAACTGTAGACTGTAAGGAGTCGGGGCTAGGAACGAGTACAGCCGACGCTAGGTCAGAGGCGAGTGAGGAGAGGACGTGGGAGTGTGCAAAGGTGGAGGCCGGAATGGTGACTACATTAGGTGTGATTGTATCAGATTGAAGGAGGCCGAGAAGGATTAGAGCAGCCGATGCAGAGAAGGAGGCAACGGCACTGCTGAGAGACAGATCGAGGAGAATGGTACGGTTTGGAAGTAACCCTTTGTACGGGGATAGAACTCCGAATAATCCAAAGGCAGGGGAGGGTAGAGGGAGGGGGGTATCTAGGACTGGTAACACCCCGTGTTGCTGTGCAGCTATAGCCCTGCCCCCAGCACCGGCAGCAGCCACTAAGAGCACGCCAAGTGGCACAGTGACAGCAGTGAGGAGAGGAGAGGTTGTGGGAGAGAGTGTGGGGTCAACAGAGAGAGAGGAGGAGAGGATGAGGAGGGAGAGCGAGAGAGTGAGGCAGGAGATGAAGGCGAAGACGGGGCGGGGAAGGGAGAAGGAGAGGAGGTGTTGCCGCGGGGCAATAAGGACGCTGATTGCCGGCCGGATGATGTCGTCTCTAGCGAGCACTGCGCAGAGGCCCGGGAATGAGGTGTCTAGGCGAGCCTGGTGGGAGAAAGGTAGGAGGAGTAAAGGGGATAGACGGGAGGGGGAGGAAGGCGGACGGAGGGGAGGAGGACGAAATTGGACTGAGGGGAGCAGGAGCAGGAGCAGGAGCAGGAGCAGGAGCAGGAGCAGGGAGCCCGGGAGAATATTTGGAGGGAGTCAGCAGCTGGTTGAAGTGAGCTGAGTCAGGAACACAGGCTAATGCATTGTTGACCACACTGATGAACACAGACTGGTGTAACTGGACTGGACATGGTGGACTGCCGGAGACATACACGCTAAATGAATGGTAACAGAGCAACAGGCAGAGCAACAGGCAGAGCAACAGGCAGGGCAACAGGCAGAGCAACAGGCAGAGCTACAGGCAGAGCAACAGGCAGAGCAACAGGCAGAGCAACAGGCAGAGCAACAGGCAGAGCAACAGGCAGAGCTACAGGCAGAGCAACAGGCAGAGCTACAGGCAGAGCTACAGGCAGAGCTACAGGCAGAGCTACAGGGCCTTACCTGAATGGTGGTATAGACAGAGGGAGCAGGAGCAGAGAGGCGGCCATAGAAAACCACGCCTTGCTGGCACTGACGTGGATTCACTGCTGACTCAACCTCAAATCCTGATGATGTCAGCACCTTAAGGTGGGGTGAAGGCCGATGTAGTGAGCCAGAACAGGGGGTTGGGGTCAGAAGGAAACAAAGTTAGCCAGAACAGGGGTTAGAGAATCACATGATTTCACAAACTATGAACTGGTAATCTGTACTTTTCACGACCTACACTGAGAGGATATTATAGCAGCATGCCTTGGAGCAATATAGCCTGTGACGGATAGCCATACCTTTGCCTTGATAGCTTCTGTGTCGACCTGCTCCAAAGGCCTGCCGTTCTCAGCCTGCAGGTGCACGCAACCAGGGTACATTAGATCAGTTTAAGTTCAAGTTTTAAGTGAGTCGGCTGATGTGGATGAGGGTACATTAGATCGGAAGAATCTTGCCCTAGAGGAGAAGCAGAGGCCGTAATTGCGTCGTACATCGCAACAAAACCATGAACAAATAAATCTTGCGTGCCTTATCTTGATCTTAGCTCATATCTAGAACTTGGACTTTCAAGATCACAACAGCAAATCGCACGTACCTTGAAATAGATGTCATGAATGAGCCGTTCTTCTTCCTCCCTCCCCCTCTTAACCCCCACCCCGTCAGGGTCGAAGAAGAAATCACTCAGGGGGAACGGTACCGCCTGTCGCCAAGCTGACGTGGCAGCCGCGGCGCGTTTCACCATGGACACGTACGCCGCCTCGTCAGCAACGAAAGCCCTCGTTTCACCTGCCGCTACTGGCGATGCTGCTGCTGCTGTTGAGTCTGGTCCTGCTGTTGCTGCTGCTGCTACCTCCCCACTTCTTGATGAATCTACAAACGTGACAGTTGAAGGAGCATCAGCTGAAGCAGAGGCATCGCTAGAAGAAGCAGCAGTAGCGGCGGCGGCGGCGGCAGCAGCAGCTTTTCGGGCTTGCCGTCTCCGCTCATTCTGCTCGATCAGACTTAGACCGCTCTCCCTGACTGCTCCCCCCGAACCGCCGTCCGCACCTGCTGTCAAACGCCGAACCTCATCGCCGAGTGCGATGGTCAGGTTCGGCGAGACCTCCACTTTAATAGGTTCGACGTCTGAGACATTTTCGGATTGCCGCTGCTCTCGGACGGTGTCTGCGCCGTCATTTCCGCCGTCATTCCCGCTCCCTGATCCTGTTGACTCAGCTCGAGCAGCAACCCGGCTAGGCTTCCTTCTTTGCGCTGATGGAAGGGTGACCACGTTGATAACACCCGCGGAGATGACGACGTGGCAGGATGTGAGGCGGGAACTGTCGCGAACAGACCTCGAACACGACCTGTGCAGTGCCGGAATCTCAGTTATTTTACGAACACCGCGAAGACGAAAAAGTTCATGATCGGGTAATGCAGCGACGCAAGGTGAAAGAACCGAGCTCGCCATTCTAGCCAAGAGTTGTTGGAACTAGAATGCACCCATCCGTTAGAAAATAGCTGCCCAAACCGCCCTCTAATGACTTGTGTCAGAACAGATGCCCACTGTTGCCCAGGGCTATCTAGACTTTCGGACCTCCTATCCCAAGAAGTTCGGAAATTCGAGAGTGCGAGATTGGACGGAATACTGTCAGTTCAGTTTCGCCGTTGAATCATGCACGGATGAATGGCCTTGGGAGCACCGCGAGTCGCAGGGTTTTAGCAGGAGAGGTTATAATAGTTCAAATAGCTAAATCAAGTGAGTCTCTATCAACCAACACGTTATTTACTACTACAAAAACAGTACAAGAATAGAGACAAATGTTAGCAGCAAGATTTACGGAATTATGAGCATGCAGACCTTGTTGCATGCTGTCATCTTTTGCGAGCTTCTAGTTTCTTGGCCTCCTTTGCTGCACGCGACAACCAAGGGAGAAAAATGGAAGGGAATGGTCAGCACTGAACTTTCTTGAAAATTGTGGAACTAGTTGCCATCAAGGAAAGAGAAAGCAAGAATTGAGAAAGCTTGCTTTCTGTTCTTGCTAAGGCAACTGGCTTCATTACAATTGCAGTAATACAACATTCTCGTCCAACTATGGATCATACAAATATTGGTACAACTAGGGCGGGTGGGTGGGGAGTGAAACTGCATAGTTCTGAAATGAAGTCGTGGGTGGAGGCCGAATGGGCTCCAACTCTCGTTATGTACTCGGCGAATTGTAATTCGCCGTTGCTTTGCTTCGTTACAGGCAGCTGCGCTTTCACAATACACATTTTTAGAAAGTGTTACACACTTTCGAAAAAATTCATATATGAAATAAGATTCTCAAATACCCATAGACGACACTATCGCAGAAGAACGTAATAGAGAAACGAATCGTTAGGTTGTACTTACCCAAGCGCTCCTCCTCTTTCTTCTTAGCCGCCTCTTCCCGTTGCTGGCGAATAAGAGCTAAGCGTTCTGTTGTAGGCACAGAGCGCCAGGTGAATGGGGGGTTGGGAAAGGTGTGCGGAGGAAGGCTAAGGGTTGCGGAGAGAGGAATGTTACATGCACAATGGTGAAACCATTTAGTGAGACATGGGAATGGGAATTGGGGGAAGAAAGGGGGGTAACAGAACTTGCCTTGTCAAGGGAAAAATAATTGAGTTACTGAATACCGGGAAAGAAAAAATGCAGGGTAACGAATGTCTGTCTGCATCTCACAGATGGTTTATTCATTCAGGCGCACGAGACACATGAGCGAGAAGCTTCAACATGAAGCAGAAGGGAGAAGCATAAGCATGAAGCAAAAGCGAGGAGAATTGGCGAGGCGCATGAGGAGACACATAGGCCAGGTTTTACGCCTTCCTGTGCCCCACCCATCCCCCCTCTCTCTTGGTCAACAGTTAAAACTGTTGGACAACAATCATGATCAACTTATAAATTTGATAAACTGACCAAGATCTAACAATCATGATCACAGATGGCTTATTCATTTTTTTTTTTTTCAGGCGCCTCGAGCATTCAGTTGTGTCACAAAAAAGACTTGCATTTGGTTTCATGCATGCACGCACCAAGGTCCTTTTTAGACTGCTCTGTCTTGCCCTGCTCCTGCAGCTTCATGTACCGCTCCTTTGACCTTTCCTTCTCTATCTCCTCCCTGCCCTCAAGCACAGATGCACAGAGACACACACACATACACACACACACACACACACGCACACACACGCACACACACACACAAACACGCACACACACGCACACACACTCAATTAGCTACTAGTGCAGTGGTCATGTGCACCACCCTTCATGCCTTAACAAACACGAGTGATGTGCACCTGTCTAAAACACCTTTTGAGGCGCCTCAAAATGTGCATCCGTCTAACACACCACGCAATCTCAATTCAAAGACGCTACGTTTGGTCCACTCTTGACTTGAATCTGAGGTCGAGTTGAACACACCTTTCACGGCGAGAGAGTTGAGTGGTGGCATTGGTCTGTCCAGGATGGGAAGGAACATGGGAGCGTGGAGGAGGGAAGGGTGAGATATGAAGGGGGAAGAAGGACGAGGTGCAAGGGAGTTGGGTTGGGTGTGGCACTCTCACGAGAGAGAACCATATGAGAGGAGGAAAACATAAACTCTAACTCCATGGGGAGGGGAAGAGAGGGGAAATCCGACAAAGGGTTTTGCTAGGGCATGGGTTCAAATTATTTTTCAGGCGACTCAAAAGGGACCACGTGACAGCCAGAGAGGAGGAAAAGATGTTATTCCATGGAGAGGGGAGGAGAGGAGAGGAGAGGAGAGGAGAGGAGAGGAGAGGAGAGGAGAGGAGAGGAGAGGAGAGGAGAGGAGAAACGTGGCACAGGGTGCTGCCAATGCCAAGCATCAGGCTTCAACAACGCTCACAGCCCATCTGGATATACCTGCAACCTCCCCTTACACTCACAACCAACCCATCTCGATATACTGACAGCTACCACCCCAACTCGCTATACTCATAGCCACCCCAACTCGCTATACTCACAACCACCCAAGCTCCTTACACTCACAACCACCCCATATTGCTACACTCACAACCACCCCCTCGTTATACTCACATCCGCCTGGGAAATCTTGACCGCAGCCTTTCTGGGCGCATTTGGGTTCTCCACTGCGATCAGCCCTGCAACGCCCTTGTGCTTCTGATGAGGGGGAGAGAGAGATGGAGAGACGGAGAGAGGGGGAATGGGGGGAGGGGGAGTACGCATATTCTAGTCGGAGACGTCTTAACATGATCCCTTCCTGTGGCCTTTCTGGGCGCATTTGGGTTCTCCACAGCGATCCGCCCTGCCACGTCCTTGTGCTTCTGGCGAGGGCGAGGGAGAGGTGCCAGGAAGGAAAGAGGGTGAGGTGGGGAAGTGAAGAACGGAAGTTCTAGCTTATAACGCCTTAGCACAATCCCTTCTCCACGGTGATTGACCCCCCCCCACACCCTTGTGCTTCTGACGAGGGGAAGCGAGAGGTGCAGGGAAAGAGAGGGGAAAGAGTGAGGGGTGGGAGAGAATGAGAGGAATCGGGGGAAAGAGAAAGGGGCGTGAAGAAAGAGAGAGGGGCTTGGGGAACGACGAAAGCAGCACACATGGTCAGGTTGGAAAGCGAGACTTGGTGTGGGTATGTCACGTGCTGTAGGTAGGAACCAACCCTCTCTCCCGATTTCATTTCATGTTCCCTTCTCTCTCCTCTTATTTTAATTAGGCTGCGTTCTCCATTTCCCGCTCATTTCCCCCCTTCCCTCCCCCCCACCTCCTCCCCCGCCCCCCCCCCCTCACCCAGTCTCTCTCTCTTCCCCCTACCCTCCCGCTCCGTTCTGTCCATGTCTCATCGCCCCTCTCTCACCTCCTCCTCCTCCTCTTCCGACTCCTCCTCCTCACTGCTCCCCTCCTCCCCTTCCTCCTCCGGGTCGTCCTCCTGATCCCGATTCTGCCAATGTGACCGGCGGAGAATCGGGAGAAGCAGATAAACACAACCAGGAAAGGCGTGAAAATCTGGAGTTGACCATATCGTCGAGAATGGCTGGAGACACATGGAGAGGAGAGCGAGAGAAATGGCTGTAGCACGAGACATGGTGCCAAAGAAAACAAACGCCACGTCAGATTCCCATCAGCGCCACGTCAATAAGAAGACTTTTTTTATTTCCTTTATTGTCTTTGACGGACGCCTTTAACGTGAAAGGCGAACAGAACAGCGCAATTAGAGACGATTACGCCACAAGTGCTCCTTCGATTAAGCCTCGCGAAGAAAATCAAGACGACGCATGTGCGTCAATACGACAGGTGCGTATGAGCCTGAAATTGACACTCACCCGCCGCTGCTTCCACTTAGGCTCGGATGACGTGCCTGACTCTGCAGGCTCGACACAGGAGGTTTGAAGAAGAAGAGGAGAAGGAACGCCGATGGCGGGTTGGAGGGGGAGTGGAGGGGGGTTTGAGGGTTGGGGTGGAAGATGAAGGGCGAAGGGAGAAATCAGGCGAGAGGACTCAAAATGAGGGGAAAAAACGATTTTCCGAAGAGGTTATTATTAAATAAAGGGAACAACGTAGAAGAAATTGTTATGGAGTTATGTAGGTAGTGGTTGAGTCCAGCTTCAATAGGCACGCACGGAGATGGCTACGTAAAAGGAGGGGTTTGGAGAAGAGGACAGGGCTCCGTGACCCGATCAGGGCATTTAAGTATACATCCGACACTCTCCTCTCCAAACAATTGTGTAATCCCTTTCTCGGATTCACTCCGATCCACATTCTCTCCCTCGCTTAGCTCCTCCATATATTCTACTAACTCTCCCGTCCCTTTTTCTCGTGCTCTCCCCATGCGTACTCATTTCCTCGACTGTTGAAAAGTGTCGACGACCCGTAGGTCCGCCTTTCCTCCCTCGGCCCGCGCCGCTCCCCATTTTCGCTTTAAAAAACTGTCGACGCTTTATAAAAGCTCCTAAAGCGAGAAAGAAACCGTTACAATATCGGCCCGATCAAAAAGTTGTTTGCTAGACAGCGGCTAGGAGATCACAGGGGAAGCGCGTTACTGGATGGAGTTGGTAAAAAGTGGTACGAAGTCTAGGAGCCAGCCTTGGATATGCCTAAGGGAATATCAGGGAGGGAGGGTGGTTTGCTTGCGAGATAGCTCGGCGAAAGATCACTGCGAAAACACAGCGCCAACTTCATCTGTTACATCTTCAACCAGTTAAACATTCCTAAAATAAGGGGTATTGCAAAGTCTTTGAGTACATGCATTCTATATGCTGCAATAACCTAATCGCAGCAAGGCGGATTGAAATAAGAATTACAATCTATAGCACGAGTTTCCCAGTCATTTTTAGGCCCATATGGCGAGCAGGCTCATGGCTGCAGCACCCAGAAACAAAAACACAAACCCAAAGAAATACGCAATCGGATCCTTGGGGGTGTTTTCGTCATGCTCGTCGAACGTCGGCACTAACAAGTCAACGAGTCCGTTGTAAATGAGGATGCCGGCGGATACGGCATTGAACGCGCCCTCAGTCGCAAGAGCTGCCTGGCTGTTGGAGTTATACGAAGAATGGACGGCCAATCCTATAGCCACGCCCAGAGGCGTGGTGAATGCGAAAAGCAGCCCCATGAACAGGGTCTTGAGGTGAGAGAAGCGGCACGGAGCAACTGCAGTACCAAGACTTATGCCCTCAAAGCCCTGATGAACCAGTGGGGACAGGGGGATGGAAGGACGGTGGAAAACCAGTGAGGTGGAGAACTTTAAGACCTTTCACACGTGCTGAAAACTAGCACAATGGCGAGCCCCTTGCGACAACAGAGATGAGGTGGTACGGGCAGAGATGAGGTTATGCGGGGGAGAAAGAGAATGAGGGAGGCATGGCGAAAGACACACACCTGATGGAAGACGAGGGCAATGGCGAGCCCCTTGAGAAGACAGAGATGAGGTGCGAAGGGGGAGAAGGAGAATGACGGAGGCACATGGAGAAAGAGAGGCACCTGGTGGAAGACGAGGGCAATGGCTAGGCCCTTGATCTCAGCGCTGTCATGGTTCGCCCCGAGTGCGATGCCAATGAAGATGGAGTGGAAGATGATACCGGCCTCCAGCGTGTACGCCACTGCTCGCAGCGACGACAGCGCCACCGCCTCCCTCATCTGCCTCTCCTCACTCTCCTCACTCTCCTCCCGCCCCTCCTGCTCCTCCCACTCCGCCGCTTTCCCGGTTTTCATTGCTGCCTTTTCCTCCTCCCCACCTCTCACGTCAAGGGCACAGTCGGGGCACGCGGGGCACTTGGACTCGCAGCACTTAGTTAAGCACTGCGCGTCCGTGCACTTGGCTTCCATGCACTTAGCGTCAGTGCAAGTGGAATCCGCACACTTGGTCCCAATGCACTGGGATTGAACACAGGCAGCAGAGGGGCAGGTGGCTTCCATGCAGGTGACACCACGGCAGGCGTTATCTGGACAGGTTGTGTCTGGGCAAGTGATTCCTTGGCAGGTGGTTTCATGACAGGTGGAGTCAGGACAGGTGGCGTCATGGCATGTGATCTCGTGGCATGCAGTGCTGTGACAGGTGGATTCTGGGCAGTCGTTGCAGATGGCATCGGGGCAAGTCACGTCCGGACACGTGGCATCGTGACAGGTGGCATCATGGCACACCACTTCGTGGCATGGGATGTCATGGCATGCAGCATCGTGGCATGCCTTGTCATGACAAGCAGCAGCAGCAGGGACAGCACTGCATGGGGCGTCACAGCATGAGGGGGACACATGGCTTGATACGGCATGGCATGCCACATCAGGGCTACTGCCCGCATCCTTCTTGCTGCTGCCCCTGCCAGTGCCACTACCCCGGCTCATGCTCATACTGCCATGGCCGCCTTTGCTGATTCCCGCTCCCTTGCGCCTCCCACCAGCCAGCAACGCAGCAACAGCTCGCGCCACTCGACCCACACCACCCGCACCCTGCCTCCGCTTCTTACCGCCACTCCTGCTGCTCCCACCAAAACCACCAGCAGCAGCTGCAGCAGCAGCAGCGGCGGCAGCAGAGGCGGTGGGAGATGCAGCAGAAGCAGAGGCGTGTCTGCGGCGCCAGGAGAGGAGGAGGAGCTTCTTGAGGTAGCACTCAACGAGGAAGGAGCAGAGCGCGGAGAAGAGGATGAAGACGGGCGCCCAGGGGAAGGAGGACGCAGAGAAGTCGAGGCATGGGTTGGACAGCGCCTCCTGTGCGCCTGGTTCAAGAGAAGAGGGGAAGATGGGGAGGAGCAGGGAGCGGAAGGGAGGAGGAGAGGATGAAGACTGGCGCCGAGGGGAGGGAGGTAGAGGAGGAGAAGTCGAGGCATGGGTTGGACAGCGCCTCCTGTGCGCCTGGGTGGTTAGGAGAGGGTGATTGATGGAGAAAAGAGAGGGGTTGGAAGGTTTAGGAAAAGAAAGACTGGCGCCCAGGGGAAGGACAAGGAGAAGTTGGGGAAGGAGAGCGAGGGACGGAATGGTGGAAGACGGAGGGTGTAATGGGGGTAAAAGGAGGAAGTGAAACGAAAAGGGGTGCTACGCAGGGCCTTGATTGAAAGGCAAGATCTAACTCTACCCCTTTTTTACCTCATGAAAGAGATGCAGATGAATCAGCACTGACAAAAACCATTGAACTCGCAGAAATATCTAACGGATACATACATATATAAACATATACATACATATATATGTAAATATATATACATAAATATACATATACATATACATACATATATAAACATATACATACATATATATGTAAATATATATACATAAATATACATACACACACACACACACACACACACACACACACACACACACACACACACACACACACACACACACACACACACACACACACACACACACACACACACACACACACACACACACACACACACACACACACACACACACACACACACACACACACACACACACACACACACACACACACACACACACACACACACACACACACACACACACACACACACACACACACACACACACACACACACACACACACACACACACACACACACACACACACACACACACACACACACACACACACACACACACACACACACACACACACACACACACACACACACACACACACACACACACACACACACACACACACACACACACACACACACACACACACACACACACACACACACACACACACACACACACACACACACACACACACACACACACACACACACACACACACACACACACACACACACACACACACACACACACACACACACACACACACACACACACACACACACACACACACACACACACACACACACACACACACACACACACACACCACACACACACACACCACACACACACACACACACACACACACACACACACACACACACACACACACACACACACACACACACACACACACACACACACACACACACACACACACACACACACACACACACACACACACACACACACACACACACACACACACACACACACACACACACACACACACACACACACACACACACACACACACACACACACACACACACACACACACACACACACACACACACACACACACACACACACACACACACACACACACACACACACACACACACACACACACACACACACACACACACACACACACACACACACACACACACACACACACACACACACACACACACACACACACACACACACACACACACACACACACACACACACACACACACACACACACACACACACACACACACACACACACACACACACACACACACACACACACACACACACACACACACACACACACACACACACACACACACACACACACACACACACACACACACACACACACACACACACACACACACACACACACACACACACACACACACACACACACACACACACACACACACACACACACACACACACACACACACACACACACACACACACACACACACACACACACACACACACACACCACACACACACACACACACACACACACACACACACACACACACACACACACACACACACACACACACACACACACACACACACACACACACACACACACACACACACACACACACACACACACACACACACACACACACACACACACACACACACACACACACACACACACACACACACACACACACACACACACACACACACACACACACACACACACACACACACACACACACACACACACACACACACACACACACACACACACACACACACACACACACACACACACACACACACACACACACACACACACACACACACACACACAACACACACACACACACACACACACACACACACACACACACACACACACACAACACACACACACACACACACACCACACACGCGCGCGCGCGCGCACACACATATCTGGAAAAATATAATACGCACCAGGGAAGATGTGCACGATGGCTACAGCCAGAACAATGCCAGCAGCAGAGGCGCGGAAGAAGAACAGCAGCGTCTTGTGGCGCCCACGCAGCAGGAATGGCAGGGAGAAACCGATACTGAACGAAAGGGGAGACGGGGGAGGGGTGTGGGGGGGGAGGAGAGGGGTTAAGAGGTGTGAAGAGGTTATGCAGCGGAGGGGTTTCTGCATGTGAAGTGCAGGGGTGAGGAGGGTCGTGATGGAATTCGAGACGTCTCAAAAGGGGTTTCTGCATGTGAAGTGCAGGGGTGAAGAGGGTCGTGATGGAATTCGAGACGTCTCAAAAGGGGTTTCTGCATGTGAAGTGCAGGGGTGAGGAGGGTCGTGATGGAATTCGAGACGTCTCAAAAGGGTTTTTTGCATGTGAAGTGCAGGGGTGAGGAGGGTCGTGACGACGTGGATGGGAAGGCAATGGAAAGGATCCAAGGCAATGCGGTACAAATGGGTGCGGATAAGTAAGGATGGGTGCGGATGGGTATTGCTGGGAACGGAGGCAGAGGTGCTGGGAAACGGCAATGGCACGACACAACACACACACACCAACTAGAACTGCCTGCTACATCTGCTACATCGAAGGCAATGGCACTACATCTGCTACATCGAAGGCAATGGCACTACATCTGCTACATCGAAGGCAATGGCACTACATCTGCTACATCGAAGGCAATGGCACTACATCTGCTACATCGAAGGCAATGGCACTACATCTGCTACATCGAAGGCAATGGCACTACATCTGCTACATCGAAGGCAATGGCACTACATCTGCTACATCGAAGGCAATGGCACTACATCTGCTACATCGAAGGCAATGGCACTACATCTGCTTAGGCAAGCAGCGGTAGTGTGAGACCAGGATGAACACAACCCACACATCCATACCCATTACACGATGGGGTGCGATGCGATGCGACTACTGCTGTTCTCTAACTCGCCTGCGATTTTGGAGTCGACTCGGAAATTGTTGCGTACGATGCGATGAGATGCGATGCGATGCGATGGGATGCGATGCGGTGCGACTAATGCTGTTCCCGGACACTCCTGACGCAAAGAATAACGCGAATGGGGATCGCACGCTGGTACTAACAAGGATAATTCGCAAAGCCACAGTAGCGAGTTTGACTCGCCCGCACACCACAAACTAACGTGGATGTCTCACGTGCTACTAACGAGGATGTCTTACATGCTACTAACGAGGATGCCCAGCATGCCTCCGATACGATAAGAGAGCGCCTCAGTGGAAGGTTGCATGGCTGCAGCACAGTCCATCGCCGCTTCTGACGCCGGTGCTGCCGCCGACGCTACAGCCTGGATCAAGCGGGGGGGAGAACGAGGACAAACGGGAGACAGCGAGGACAGAAGGCATACGGGGTTACATTGGCTCGGCGGAACGGGCAGGGCATGCTGAAGAGGCACGGAGGGGGGAAGAGGAGGGGAAGGATGAGGGATTGAAATCACGGAGCGTATGGCTGTGGGTTGTTTGGTAGAGCAATATGGAGTGCATGGCTGAGTTTGGAGACTAAAAATAAAAGCTTTCGCCGAGCGAGCGTTCCAGTGAAGTAAAGTCTCGCTTATCTTACATTTGAGTCGACTCAAAAGTCAACTCGTTCCAGTGAAGTAAAGTCTCGCTTATCTTACATTTGAGTCGACTCAAAAGTCAACTCGTTCCAGTGAAGAAAAGTCTCGCTTATCTTACATTTGAGTCGACTCAAAAGTCAACTCGTTCCAGTGAAGCAAAGTCTCGCTTATCTTACAACATGACTCGCCGCGCTTCTATAAGTCGCCTCAAAGAATGACTCGCCGCGATATTGAATATCTCACCCAAGTGACGGAGGAGGACCGATTGACTCAACCGTGAAATGACGCACGTTCCACTGTCCGCGTAAGGAAGGATGTCAGGATGAGGACCGGCGGACCGATGGGTCCAAGAGGGAGAAGAAACCATTTATATCCCACGGACCACGCGGACGGGGTGAATCGAAACGATACGCTGCGAGGACGAGCTCACCATGGAAGCCATGGCTGACTTGGTGCCGATGTTCGAGCTGATTCACAAGCCTCGGGATTCCCGAGACGAATCTCAAGCCTCGCGCAGACGCACTGCCGACTTCGACTGGACGTTTCTTGACCGGTCACAGGAGACTCTCGCACGTTTGATTGCGAATGGCGCGAATGCGGAAAATACCACCACCGTCGCAAAGCCGCCTCACAGCTCCAACGGTAAACGATCTGTACGGAAAAGCTTCGCAATAAAGCTTCGAGAGGAATCGCAGGCAGCGAGAAGCAAGGACGCAGCCTATGCGACACGTCGCACAACTAGAGCCGTCGCACGACGCGTCCACCCGCACGACATAGTGATGCTTCGCAGGAAACTTCTCGGTCGAAAGCTATTCCTGGTCAAAGAGGATCCTGGTAGACGCTAACCCTGGACACGCTTCAGGCCAGGCTCCAGATTCGTAGCAGCGGCTTGCCCTACCCAACCAGGGACACGAGTCGAACTCGTCAGTCACTCTGGAGAGGCGGGAATATGGCTGGTCAGAAAGCAAGGCGAGAGGAGATAAAATGCTAGGAGGAGAGCTTGAGAAAATACTCGACACATTCTTGGAGATGGAGAGGAAGGGTTGTCCAGAAAAACGGAGACACCACACGATACATTGCGGTATGGTACGGTTATGAGTGGATGCAGGTGTAGTGTTTGCGTGAGCTTCTGTGGCTAAGGAACCTCTGGCGGATGTGGCGCGGATAACTGGCTATGGGAGAAAGGGGGGTGCTACGGGCTGGCCTGAACGGGGAAAGCGGGGGGTAAGCACGCGGAGAAATGGGAAGGGGGAGGGGAGCACGCGGCGCACGCGGCGCATGCGGATGTTGCCGAAAGGTCGTTGTAATGTGCGGCTGCCTTTGCGGGGCGTTTTCTGGAGAGCGGAGCGGAAAGGGGGGGTTGGGGGAGTATGGTTGGACAAGGTTCGGCCGTAATCTTTGTTCAGTACAGTAACGCTCAAAGGTTTCTTCAGTTCGGTTCATGCACCTTTTCGCACCTTTCGTCTCTCGCTTTTTGCTAAGCATGGCACCGAGTGATGGGAGAACTAATCTTGCTTTATCACAAGGAAAACCACGATCAGACTCGTTATACGCACCGTTCGTTGAAGTAATATGCGATGAGGAGTGCAAATGTACGGAGCAGCAACACGAGTAATAACGTCGTCAAACAGGCATGAGAAAATAAGAGTACACTCTCTATGCTTTCATGTGCTGGCGATCCAATCCCAAGGTTGAATCCACTCCACAACCACTCCACTCTTACAAGATGATGCCACTCCCACCCACGTCTCTGCTTTAGGGTTTCTGCTGGTCTCCATTGGCGTTCTGCAAGGTGTCTTCACATAATTAGCTGTTTCGTATGGCAGTTTAGGCGGTAATTGTCCTCCTCTAGACCCGGACTCTGTCTTCTGTTAGCACCGTGCGATGCGCCGTCCGAGCCGATGGGAGAAGGCGGACGACGCGAGCGATCCGGACGTTAGCGACGCGGAAGGAAGCGGCGAAGGAGCCGCAGCGGAGAGACGACGGTGGCGGAAAAGCGACGAGGGGAAGCAACAGCACGAGGAGGGGAAGCAATCGCACGGTCGTAGCAGGCAAGGCCACACGGATTCGCATCATACATCCCGTCACCGTCACCACCACCACCACCACCATCGCCATAAGGACCGATCCAGGCACACGCGTCGCCGGCACAACGAATCGGACGACTACGAATCGCCGGGATCCGCGTCAGATTACGAAGCTTCTCGCGACAATGACGTGGCGGAAGGTCCTCCAACCGTCCCTTCTACAGCCGCTACAGCTGCTACAGCTACTTTCGCGACGCCAATAGGCGGCAGCGGGGCTGCCTCCTTTCCTTACCGAAAGGACCGACATTCCGCAAATAGGTCTTCCGGATCCGCGAAACGCGCGCATAGCAGGGAGGAGGAGGAGAATGGCGAGGGGTTGGATCGTCAGCGGCAGATCGAAGGAGAGAGGAGCCGCGACCGGGACGACGATAGGGAGTCTAAACGCCGGAGAAGGCACCGATTGGAGAAGGGGGATAGGGGAACCGGTAGTCCGGATAAGAGCCATGATGTCGGTGATAGAAATGATTTTCCGGATCGCAGTCGGCGAAAGAGTCCGGAGAGAGGTTTTGCGCGGTTGAAAGGGAAGGGAGGCGGTGACGGTCGGCGTGAGCTGTCGTTTCAGGCGGATCCCGCAGCAAAGGCGTCGCAGAAGGCGTCGCAGAAGACGTCGCAGGCGGCGGCTGTCGCACGGCCTGTCGCAGGGCAGGTGGGCGACGCGGGCGACGATGGCGACGACGATGCGCACTGGAACGCGCGGTTCGTGGACATCGATGCGATCGAGGTCGCCTTCGAGGCGCCACGGAGCCCGCTGTTCGAGGATCTCGAGGCGCCTGAAGACCTAGAGCGGTTCGGGGAAGGTGGGGTATTAACCACGGAGGCTTTAATAGGGACGTATGAGGACAAACAGGAGAAGCCGGGGGTTTCGCGGCGGGAGGAGCGGAGGGAGAAGGGGAGCAGAAAGGCGGCGGAAACGAGGAGTGAGGAGGAGGAGAAAGAAGGGAGGGAGAGAAGGGATGATCAGGAGGAAGTGGGACAGAGGGGGGGTGGTGGAGGGAACGATGTTGTTGTGAGTGTTAAAGAGAGGAGGCATGGAGTGGAAAGGAGTGGCCGGGTCGGAAGAGCAAGGCAGGGAGGCAAGGGGGCGGATGACGCCGGTGACGAGGAGTTGAATCCGGTGAGGAGAAGGGAGGAAACGGTGGAAGGGAGGGAAGGGAAGGGAGGAGATGAGGAGGAGGACGAGGAGGAGGAAGATGAGGAGGAAGTTGAGGGTGGGTCAGCATTGCATGGTAACCGGGAGAAGGGGAGGAACAGGGAGAGGGAGAGAAGGGGACGAGAGCGAGAGAGGGAGAGAGGAAGGGACAGGGAGCGTGACAGAGATGGGGAGAGGGACAGGGGGAAAGCACGGGAGGAAGGGGTAAGAGGAAAGGAGAGGAGGAGGAGGGATGCAGAAGAGGAATGGCAGGGTGACTATAGGCGTGGTGATTATGGCGGGGAAGGGGAGCGTAGGGAGTGGAGGCATGGGAAACGAGGAGGCAGACGAGCAGACTCGCCTGGGCTGTCGTCTTCGTCAGGTGTGCCCCCTATTTACCCACCACATGTTGATGTATCGTCATTCACCTGCATCTTGGAACATTCACATGAACCGTCACATGAATAATGTTGAGGATTCAATCTGCAACTTTATTCCCCTTCTCTCCTGGCTCACGCGTCGCCCGTCTTTCCCCTCTTCTTACCCTTCCCTCCCGTCTCACCTTTCCCTCATCCCCTTGTTTCCCAATTACCTTTCTCCCCTCAGAGCACGAGCAGCGGGACGTGGGGAAGGAGAGAGGCAAGGGGCAGAAGGGGCGTCAGCAGCGGCACAAGGAGGAAGACGAGGGTAGTCCTGTGTCAGGTCCCAGGAGCAGTGGAAAGGGTGTCAAGGCGGGCGGACGGGAAGGTAGGGCTTCGTTTATTAAGGACGGAGAGAAGTATGAAGGAGAGGAGAAGGGGAGAGGAGAAGGGAGGAGGTGGGGCAGGGATCGGAAGAGGGAGGATGAGGAAGAGGAGGGTGAGGAGGAGGGGAGGAAAGGCAAGGAGAGGGTTGGGAGGGGGAGGGAGAGGGGGAGAGAGAAGGTTGGGGATGGGAGGAAGGAGCGGAGGGATAGGGAGAATGGGGGAAAGAAGGGTGGTGTGGAGAACGAAATTGGGCTGGAAGCAGAAACGGAGAGGCTTAAAGAGAGTACAAATGCTCCTAGCGACTACGAGGGTGCCGACAGGGTGGTGAGGGAGGTGGAAGCAGGGGGGGGAAGGGTGGTGAAGGTATCAACTGAGAGAGCTAAGCTTGGGAAGGTGTTATCAGGGGAAGGTGAGACCGATGGAAGGTCTTCTAAGCCTGGTAGGATGAGAAGATTCGTGGAAAGGGCTCAAGGAAAAGGTGCAGGAGAAATGGAGGAGGAAGAGGAAGAAGGCGGGGAGGAGGAAGAAGAGGAAGAGGAGGAAGCAGCGAAGGAGGAAAGGGGAGCACTGGGAGAGGGACTGGCGATTCTGAATCAGAGTTACTCGAAGCAGAGACAGAGTGGGTTGTTGGGTGGTGGTGGTGGTGGTGGTGCTGGTGCTGCTGCTGCTACTGCTACTGCTGCTGATAATAGTGGTGCTGCTATTGGTGGTGGTGGTGATGATACCATTGTATCTGCACAACTGACCGTAGCTGCTGCTGCTGCTGCCAGCGTTACTGCCACCGCCGCTGCTACTGCTGCTGATGGCGGTGTTGCTGCTGTGACCGGTGATGCTGCTGCTGCAGACTCTACTGTGCTGGGGAGACGGGGTCTGAGGCTAGAGGGACCAGGCAGCAAGCGGGGGCAGGGTGGGGAGGGCGAGGGGAAGGTTGAGGCTCCCGTTGCTCGCGAGGCAAGGCAGGGACGCACGTTTGAGGCGCCTGCAAGAGAGAGCGAGGGGCGGGCACAGGCGGAGGCAGCGGGGAGGGAGGGGGCGACGGGAGGCGAAAGGGATGAGGCGAAAGAGGGGCTGAAACTAGTGGGGACAGGGAAGGGTGGTGCTGCTGCTGCTGCTTGTGCAGCTGCTGCCGCTGCTGCTGGTGCTGCTGGTGACGCTGGTTTTGTGGGTTCAAAGCTGCTTATAAAGGGAAGGGAAAGGGCAGAGGTGGGTGATGGAAGCGGAAAGAGGGGGACAGCGAGCGCGAAGGGAGGAAAGGGAGAAGAGGGCGAGAAGGGGGAGAAGGGGGAGAAGGGTGAGAAGGGGGAAAGGGAGGGGTCGATTGGAGAAGGAGGGCTTTGGCAGCAGCAGTTGAAGAATGAGAAAGGAGGGGAGAGAGGGGCAAGAGGTCGTAGGAGAGAGAGAGAGGAGAGAGGGAGAAGAGAGGGAGGTGAAGGGCTGGAAGGGGAAGAGGGTGAGGAGGAGTGGGGAGCGGATGGGCGGGAGGGTGGGGGGAAATGGGACAAAGAGGCAGAGGAGGATGAGGAGCAATGGAAGAGGAAGCGGAGGAGGAGGAGGAGGAGAGAGGGTTTTGGGGAGGATGAGGGAGAGAGGAGAACGAGGAAAGGAGTAGGTATTGGGGAGGAGGAGGATGAAGAGGAGAGGGGGGAAGAGGGGAGAGAAACGGATGAAGAGGGGGGGGAAAGGGAGGGAGAAGGGGAGGACGAAGGGTATGGGCGTGGGGGGAGGGGGCATGGGGGGAGGGGGGGAAGGAGGGTTGAAAGGCAGGAGAGCGGTCGAACTTTTGGTGCTGGAAGAAAGGCGGAGAGAGGGGAAAGAGGGGAGAGGGGGGAGAGGGTGGAGAGGGGAGAGAGAGGGGAAAGGGTGGAAGGAGTGGAGAGGGGGGGAAGAGGGGAGAGGATGGAAAGGGGGGGAAGAGGCGAGAGGGGCGAGAGGGGTGACAGAGGGGAGAGAGGGGAAAGGGAGGCCAGATGGTGGTCGGGTCGGGAGGGACGATTGCGAAGGGATGGGGAGAGGGAGAGGGAGAGAGAGTGGGAGAGGGATCGTGATTGGGACCGGGAGCGAGAGTGGGAGAGGGAGAGGGAGGGTGAGTGGGGAAGGCGGGAGTGGGAGAGGAGGGAGAGGGAGAGAGGAGAGAGGGACAGGGATAGGGAGAGGGAAAGAGAGTGGGAAGGGGGAAGGGAGAGAGAGAGAGGGGGGATGTATCAGGATGAGTATGGAGGGGAGAGAATGGGGAGGGCGAAAAGAGAGGGGTCAGTCATGGGTTCTAGTGTGGCAGGGGAGGGTGCAGTGGTAGACGAGGCTAGGAGGGGCAGGGAGCGAGAACGGGAGAGGGAGAGGGGGCGAGATCGGGACAGGGAGAGTCAGATGGAAGGGGAGAAAGGAGGCTTTGATGGGGACAGGGGGATGGGTGAGGGGCGGAGAGGAGTGGGAGCGGGAGGAGGGGGAGGAGCAGGGGGAGCAGGGGTGGCAGGGGGAGGGGAAGGAGGGGGGGGAGGAGGGGAAGGAGGAGGAGGGGGAGGGGAGTGGCAAGGGCGGTCTGATATGGCTCCTGGGCTAAGGAGAGGACGGGAAGGGGGAGGAGGAGGAGGAGGAGGAGGACGGGATGGGGGAGGAGGAGGAGTGGGACGAGAAGGGGGAGGAGGAGGAGGGGGAGGCGGGGCTGACGCGTCCACCGACCCTTCCCTCCCCCCTCCCCCGCCCCTCCGCCCTGGTATAGACGCACCCTCTGTTCTCCCTGCTCCGCCGAACCTACCCGCAGGTACGGAATGCCTGCTTGCCCCTGGCAGGTCCGGCAACGTCGCAGCAGCAGCAGCAGCGGCGGCGGCAGCAGCAGCAGCAGGGGGGATGGCTGGGCCTGGGGGACCAGGGGGAATGGGGGGAATGGGGCCTGGGGGCGCGGGGAGGAGGGGAATGGGCGGACCAAGAGTCATGGGGCGGGGGGAAGGAGGGGGCAGCGGGACGCTGCGCCCTGGGGAAGCATGGAGGGGCGGAGGGGGAGGGCCACAGGGATTTCTGCCCGGATGGGGGGGAATGGCGGGCCCTAGGGGGCAACCGGGCCCAGGAGGCGGAGCAGGGGCGGGAGGGGGCGGGGGAATGGGGGGAGCAGGGGGAGGGGGAGCGGGAGGGCAGGGTCTTGTGGGGCCAGGAGGTCAGCCTTCCCCAGGTATGCCTCCCCCAGGCGGCTTCCCCCCTTTTCATGGGTTCCCAGGTCCGGGAATGCCTTTTCCTGGTGGGCTGGGTTCAGGGGCGGGGGTTCCGCCCTTCCCTGGGGGCGGGGGGATGATGGGCGCGCCCTTCCCCCCGCACCTGGGGGCTGGGGGACCCAGGGGCGCGGGCGGAGGGGGGTCCCCAGGGGCAGGCGCGCACATGCGCGAATTAGGGTTTGGGCGAGTGGGGCCTGGGCCGGGGTTCAAACCAGGGGCGGGGGGAGGCGTGGGGGGAGGGGGGGGGGGGAGGCATGGGGAAGGGGCCGGGGGATGGAATAGCAGCAGGTGGGGGGAAGGGGAGGGGAAGGGGAGGCGGAAGATGGGGGGATATGGAGGGAGGGGGAGGAGAGGGGATTATCAGCTGGGATGCAGGCTTGGGGGGGCAGGGGAGAGGGGGAGGGGGCATGGGAGGCGCAGGGGGCGGGGGCCCTGGGGGAGGGGGGACTGGGGGAGGGGGAACTGGGGAGAGTGGCAGTGCCGGGGGGGGAGGAGCAGAGTCCGGAGGAGCAGGGAGCGGGGCTGGAGGTGGGGGAGGGAAAGAGGGAGAAGCAGGGAAGGGGGAAAGTGGGGCAGGAGGAGCAGGAGCAGGGGGGGCAGGGGGAGGAGATGGGGGTAGCGCAGGGGGAGGGGGGGGGGGCTGGATCAGCTGGGGCAGGGCAAGGCGTGGCAGGGAGGGGAGGAGGGGGAATTTCAGGGGGTATTTCCCCTGGTGGAGGTATGGTAGGGGCAGGGGCGGGGCCTTGGGATGGGACGGGGAGGGGGAAGGGGATGGGGGGAATGGGGGGAATGGGACCGGAGGGCATGGGCAGGGGTGGGGGGATGGGGCCGGGAATGCCATTTGGGATGGGGGGAATGGGCATGGGAATGGGAGGCTTGGGCATGGGCATGGGTGGGGGTATGGGGATGGGCATGGGCATGGGCATGGGGATAGGTATGGGAATGGGTATGGGCATGCATATGGGCATGGGAATGCACATGGGGGGAGGCATGGGGGTTGGTGGGGGCCCGGGCATTGGGGCAATGGGAGGAATGGGGGGAAATTTGACCCCCCACCAGCACCAGCAGCAGCAGCAGCAGAACCAGCAACTGCAACAGAAGAGGCAGGAAAAGGATTCGGATGGAAAGGGCAAGGAGGGGGAGGACGGGAAAGAGGAATCGAAGCAGGAGGGGGAGGAAGGGGGCAAGGGGGAAGTGAAGCGGGGAGTGGGTAAGGGTGATGAAGGGGTGAAAGGGGCAGTGGTTGATAAAGCAGTGAAAGAGGAGGGTGCGGAGGAGAGGGAGGGGCAGGAGGTGAAGGAAGAGGAGGAGGAGGAGGAGAGACAGAGCGTTGACTCGGAGCAACGGCAGAAAGAGCAAAAGCAGCAGCAACAGCAGCCGGAACAGCCGTCTCACTCCCCCGCTTCTCTTCCACCTTCTGCCATCCCTCACAAGCAACCGCCACATCAGCAGGTGCCTCATCAGCCACCGCAGACGCCGCATCAGCAGCAGCCGCCTGCGAACCAGGGCAGAAACCGTTGGTCACACCCTGGAAATTTACCTGGAGGGCCTGGGGGGCACCTGAACACGCCCCCCCTGGGTCCCCTCTCTCCTGGCCTCCTCCCAGGTGCTCCAGGTGCTGGCCCAGGCCCAGGCCCAGGCTCAGGTGTTCCTTCAGGTGTTTCTGTTGGAGGGCCAGGTGTGCTGCCACACCACCACCCCATGCCTGGGCCAGGCATGGGCGGTAGGTTCGGCGCCCACCCGGGCATGCCCGGACCTGGAGGTAGAGGTCCGGGAGGCGGCATGGGAGGGCGGGGACCGATCTTTCCTCCTGGGGGCATGTGGGATGGAATGCCAGGTTCGGGATCCCCGTTCCTGGGAGGTCCGGGAGGCTGGATGGGAGGTCCGGGAGGAGTAAGAGGCCCGGGCGGCCCTGGGTTTGGGCCGAACCTGATGGGTCCGGGAGGAGGGGGAGGCATGCCTGGGGGAGGAAGGGGCCTCAGAGATATGGGAGGGGTGGGGCAATTTGGAGGGCCTAGGGATATTCATAGAGTAGGTTCGGGAGAGAGGCATGGGGAGGGGAGGGGCAGAGGGGAGTTTTTGCGGGATGGGGAGGGTCGGAGAGGGGGTGTTGGTGGTGGTGGGAGGGGGATTTTAGGGGGGATGGGTGTGGGTGGAAGGCGGGAAGGGGAGAGGGAGGAGAGAGAGAGGATGGGTGGTGGGGTTGGGGCTGGGAGAATGGGAGAGGATGGTGGGTTGGGAAGGGGAGGTGGAGGGAAGGAGGAGGGAGGGGCAGGAGGGAAGGAGGGAGAAACTCCAGAGGAGAAAGAGATAGTGACAGGGAGGAAGGTGGAGGTGAGAGCGGTAGCGAGGCTTCTGGGTTCTCTACCTCTTGCTGCTGGTCTGGTGAATGGGGAACTTTTAGCTAAGTGTTTGCATGCAGCGGCGATGGGGAAGGGAGAAGAGGGGGAAGTGGTAACAGGTGCGGGAGGAGGAGCGGGAGCAGAAGGGGCAGGGGTAGCAGGGGGAGCAGGGGGGCCAGGGACAGCAAGGGGAGCAGGAGCAGCAGGGGCAGGGGCAATGGGGGGCCCTGCAGGAACGGCACCTTTCCTGGTTTCGTCTGCTGCTGCTGGTGCTGCTGGTGCTGCTGGTGCTGCTGGTTCTGCTGGTGCTGCTGGTGCTATGGCTGGTGGCGTTGGTGTTGGTGCTGCTGGTGCAACTGGTGCTGGTGCAGTTGCGCGTTTGCTGCCCTCTGCTGCTGCCGTACCATCCTCTGCTGCAGCAGCCGCTGCTGGGCATACTGTAGCAGCAGAGGCGGATGGAGTGGCAGCAAGGCCAGGGGCAGAGGCCGCGATGTCCCACCTGCCTGCTGTTGATGCAAATGCTGCCAGAGCGGTTCAGGTGAGTCTGCGTTTTTGACAAGTCAGGGCGTGTAAGCAAGGGCTGTTTCAGAGGCGGGTGAGGGGCGGCAGTAAGGGCAGGGGCAGAGGAGTAAACACAGTCACAAAGCTCTCATGAGTCTATGACTGTGTGTGTACTCGTAGAAGATTCGTGTTTGCCATGGGTCACCAGAGGGAGTGAGTGATGCGGGATCATCCTTTCTAGGTGGAGCAAGTAGCAAGTAGCAAGTAGCAAGTAGCAAGTAGCAAGTAGCAAGTAGCAAGTAGCTCAACTCACGCAGGAACACAGGCACCTACTGCGCACAGAACGCAGAACACAGACACACATGCACAGCTGCTGACGTGAGTCCTCTCTCCTTCCCCCTGTTTCCGCTTCCCTTCTCCACCCCTCTTTTTTCCCCACCCACTTCCCCCAACATCCCTCCCACCCCTTCCCCTCCCCTCTATTCTATGTGTGTATATCCTTTCCCGCCTCTCCTCGTCACCCTTGCCTGACCCTTCTCCGTTATTGCCTCCCTTCCCTCTCTCCAACCCCCACCCCACCCCCCTTCCCTCTGCCAACCCCCCCTCCGCCTCTGCCCATGCCAACCCCGTCCTCGTCCCCTTGTCAACGCCGTTTGTGATAAGTCGACTCAAAAATCGACTTATCACACCATGCCAACCCATCCTCGTCCCCTTCTCAACGCCTGCAGGCATGTCTGTCTCGTCTTAGACTCCCTCCTGCCACTCACCCTTCCCCTCCACATCCATGCTAACCTCTCAATCGACTCAACCATCATCCCCTCCCCTTCCTGTCCCCTTCCCCGTCCCAACCCTTTCCCGTTCCCCTTCTCAACGCCTGCAGGCATGTCTGTCTCGTATTGGGCTCGCACCAGCCACTCACCCATCCCCTCCACATTCGTCCAACATCGCAGCTTCCTCCTCCTCACTCTTTTTCTCCCTCCCCCCTTCCCTACTCTTCTCATCTCTACCCCCTTCGAACAAGCCACCATCCATCCCCCATACAAGCTACTCCGTCACTGCCAAATTCCTTCACGTTAGTGAAGTTTTGGCGGCATCAAACATGTCACTTCCTGCTTATCTCGCTTCGCCACCACTTGTGGAGTTTAACAAAGCGTCTGCCGGTGCACTTAGCAAAGTGCCAGCCTGGCAGCCCCACACCGTACCACCGTCGCAGCAGGTTCGGAAGGCGTCCAAGCCTAAGCAGCAGGCTCAAGGCCGCCGTGCAAAGCCGAGGAAAGGGAAGAGAGGAGGGGGGGAAGGAGGAGCGGAAGGGGGAGGAGAGGTTGGGAAGGTTCTCGAGTCGACTCGAAAAGAGGTGGGAAAGGTGAAGAGACAAAGGGTGGGGTCTGAGGGGGAGAAGTTGGATGAGAAGGGCACAATGAAGCTGCAAGATAGGATGATGAAGCAAGGGGAGGGGGGAGATTTGAATGCTCTGCAGCAAGGCGATAGTGGTAGTGGCGGGGGTGAGGAGAACGGTGCTGGTGTTGTTGGTGCTGATGGCGGTGGGGGTGGGGGTGGCGGGAAGGAAGGACTAGGAGGTATAAGTGGGAAGGGAGCAGGGAATGTGGGTGGAAATGGTGCAGGAAGTAGAGGAGTAGTGCTGCGGAGAGGGTTGGTGATTCGGCTCCCGAGAATGACATTCTCTGCTTTTCCTCCCAGACACAGTGCCGTCAGTTCTGCTTCTGCTGCTGCTTCTGCTCCTGCTGCTCCTGCTTCTGTTTCAGGTGCCCCTGCTCCTATGGCTGCTGCTGCTGCTGCTGCTACAGTTTCTGCTGACAACGGTACTGTTGGTGTTAAGTCTGGTGGCAATGCGGCTTCTGCGGGTGGTAGTGATGGTGCAGGTGGCGGTGGTGCTGTTGCTGCTGGTAGTGCTCCTGTTTCTGGTGCTAGAACTAGGACTAGAGGCAGAAAGCAGCAGCAGCAGCAGCAGCAGCAACGGAGTGTTGAGGCTCCTAAGCAGGCAAGAGGCAGGGGTGCTGCAAGCACAAAGCAGCAACATCGGGGTCGACAGCAGCAGCACAAGGAAGAGCGAGCAGAGGAAGAGCAGGCGCAGCAGCAGGAGCAGGAGGCGAATGCGGAGGAACAGGAGCAGCAGGAGCAAGAGCAGCAGAAAGAGGAGGAGGAGGAGGTGCAGGAGGTAAAGACGGAAGTGCTACAGACGGGTCTTGCTGCCCTGTTTGCACCTTCTGCTTTTGCTGCCAAAGCCACCAAGCTTGTCAGCAGCCCTGCTACTGCTGCTCCTTCTGCAGGCACTAAAGCTGCTGCTGCTAAAACTGCTTCTGCTAAGGCTGCTACTGGCAAGGCTGCTGCTGCTAAGGCTGTTGCTGCTAAAACTGCTGCTGTAAAGTCAACTACACTGAAAGCTGCTGCTGCAGCTAAAGGCAAAAAACAGGTTTCTGCTTTCGCTGCTGCTGCTGCTACTGCTGTTGAGGAATCCAAGCCGCCCAGCTTGCCTGTTGAATCTTCAGACGATGGTGAGGAGACAGGTGACGATGGTAAGGTGACGGGTGGCGATGCAAAGAAGGCAGATGGTGATGCTAAAACGACCGGAGGAGGTGGGAGGCAGGCAGGTGAGGGGGACGGGGAGGAGGTCGGGAAGGGGGCTGACCATGCTGTAGCGGTGGGCGGTATGTTGGCTTCCAGGAAACGCAAGGCAGGTGCTCGTGCTGCTGGTGGTGCTGGTGGTGATGATGGTGCTGGTAGTGACGATGCTGCTGCTGCTGCTGCTGCCTCTTTTGCTGCTGCTGCTGCTTCTGTTGCTGATGGTGCTGCTGCTGGTAAGAAAGCTGGTGGTGGAGGGGGAGGAGGAGGAGTGAAGGTGGAGGGGGGGAAGTGTGGAGAGAAGGGAGAGGTGGGGGAGGGTGGAGAGAAGGGAGAACCGGGAGCAAAGCGGGATGGTGGGGAGGAGGGAGATAAGGGGAAGGGTGAGAGGGGGGATGATGACACAGCAGAGAAGAGCATTGGGGAGGAGGAGAAGGAGGAGAGAGGAGAGAGGAAGGACGGGGGGGAAGGGAGGGAGGGAAAACGCAGCGGGGATGAAATGGAGGTGGAGTATACGACTGGAGGGGGGAGCGGAGATGAAGGGGGAGAGCAAGGGGGAGAGAAAAGGGGAGAGAATGGAGAAGAGAAAGTGGGAAAGAAAGATGTCGAGAAAGGGGGAGTGGAGATTCAAATGGAAGAGTTAGGAAATGATGTGGTGGAGGTGGGAGTTGTGAGAACATCAGGTGAGGGAGCAGTAGGTGAGGGAACAATGGGTGAGGGAGCAATGGGTAAGACAGGAGGAGGCAAGGGGGAGGGGATGGATGCGGTTGTTGAAGTGACTGAGGGGGGTGAAGAGGTGGGGAGAGTGGGAGGTGGTGAGAGAGGAACCAATGAGGAGCAGATTGGTGCAGCTGAAGTGACTGCTTCTGAAATGGATGTGACTGAAAGGGGTGTGATCATGGCGAGTGTAACTCAGGGCAATGGGACGTCTCAGGAAGTTTCCCAGGAACCTGCAGAAGGGCCCTCGCAGGAGGTTTCAGAGGCGGGCGAAGGGGCAGGTGAAGGGGCAGAAGCACGGGCAGGCGAAGGGACAGGTGAAGGAACAGCGGACGAATCAGAACTGTCGCAGGCGTCCGCAGGCGCAAGGGGGGCAGGTAAAGCACGTAGCAGGGCGAGGGCACCCAGAGGCAAGGGCACAGGTGGGAAGAAAGGGAGGAAAGGTGCTACTGGGGGAGGTAGAACTGCCCGGACAAGTGGGGGGGCTGCTGCTGTCACCTCAGCCGCACCTGAAGGGATGTTGGGGGAAGGAGGAGAAGGAGATGGGGGAGGGGGAGGAGGAGGAGTGGCGGAGAATGGGAGTGTGGAAGGTGAGGAGGGGAAGGAGGATGAGGAAGTGAGGAGGGAGCGGGAGGAGAGGGAGAGGAGGGAGAAGGAGGCGGAGAGAGAGAGGATGAAGGCACTGAAAGAGCAGGAGGCGAGGGACAGGGAGGAGGCGATTAGGTTGGCAACGGTGCGGCAGAGCAGCAGAATCAGGTCGAGGCAGACGGGGGCGAGCAAGTAGGAAGGGGGAGTTTGGAGCAACAAATATGGTTGAGATCTACCGGGGGAAGCTGGAAGGGACTCAAACGGTCATCTCGAGCTGCTGAATCAGATACAGGCAGACGGGGGGAAGCGAATAGGTGGGTTACTTTGGATGGGAGATGGACAAGGGGTGGACCGTGAGCTGTCACAAGCTGGCCATTCTGAGGGGTTCCGGAATGGGTAGGAACCTAAACTGGCAGCTGCAATCAGGAAGTTGAAAAAGTCTGGAGTGGAGGGAAGTAGCAGCAGGGCGGCATTTTGGGACAGTGAAAGGAGAGCGGGCGTAACAGGAAAGTATGCCAGGTGATTCGGAGGCGGATGGATGGCGTGATGGGAGGAAGTGAAGCGTGGAGATGTGTATTGCGGAGGTGCAAGTAATTGTTGTGTGGAGACGCAACGAAAGTGTTGTGTGGAGATGCATGGGAGTAATATGTGGTGGTGGGAGGTTCGGTACGGTAGGCGTGTGTTGAGATGAGATGCGCAAGGAAGAGCTTCGGACGACTCTCCTGTTGTTTGCTAGTGCGCTGTTGTTCCTCTCTTGCCGTTTGTTGCATTTGTCGTGCTGTTTTTGTCCCATCCCGCACATCCGTCTCGCTTTTTGTTTCAATGGGTCGTCTCTCTCCTGGCGTTGGACTTGTTCTTTTTGGTTTAGAACTTCATGTTTCTGTGAATTAGAACATTAATTTGTTTTTTTCTCTCCTCCTGTTGAGACGCACGTGTTAAGTTGATGAAGTGGTGATTGTCAACGCAAGAGGAAAATCCACCCCACTCCAACCTAATCTAACAGAAATACTAGTGTACTAGGCTCTATATGCTGCCTATAAATTAAGGGTCCGTCGCCCTGTTTAGAGCAGGATGTGGGCGTGTAGTTGTGTTACACTGAGCCGATATTATCGCATCCTAATATTTCTTTTCTGTGGAGCTACCCGTTCGATTGCTCCCGAAAACAGTGCGTTCGCTCTGAGCTGACCCTCCCTCCCAACCCAACCTCCACGTCTTGTCAATGGTATAAAGTTTGAAAAGCCAAGCATAAACATAACTTTTTGCGTAAGCAGCACGTGAGGTGTCGAGCTGAGCACTGAAGTTACGTGCTTCGCTTGCGCTGTGGCTGGAGCGAGGAGCACCGTGGATGTGTCTTCCTCTAGCCGATTTGTCTTGCGGCTAGTGCGGGCTGCGCAACCGCCTATCGAGTGCTGGCCCGCAAAACGTTTTTTCTCTACATAGCCTGGCCGAGAGCGAATTTAGGTCAACTGTCTTCGTGCCAATCGGAAGAAGAACGGCAGTGCGATTAGAAGCTGGTTTGCTGAGCTCCTCGCTGATTAGGCCGAGATAAACGTATCGTGGCGTCAAGTGGGCCGCTTTTGGATATTCTGGGGTAGAGGCCTCTGCTCAGGTTAAGCTAGGCTTACGCCAGCTTCGGTCGATTAAATTTAGGTACTTTCGGGATTGATTCAGCTTGACCTAGCGTCAATATTTTGGATGCGAGTAGAGCAGTGACGGGCTCAGCCCAGGCTTGAGTCGAGCAGTCGCGGCTGCAGCGTACGCGAAAGCAGCAGTTGCGAGTTTGGCAGGTGTAACTAGGTCGCATCGAGAAAGCCGCGCGTAGGAAACGAACAAGCAAGCCGGCGCGATGTACGGGGGAGGCGATGAGGAGGAGTACGAGCGGGAGCGGGAGGAGGAGGAGATTACGCAGGAGGACGCGTGGGCGGTGATCAGCGCGTACTTCGAGGAGAAGGGGCTGGTGCGGCAGCAGCTGGACTCGTTCAACGAGTTCATTCAGGACACGATGCAGAGCATTGTGGACGAGTCCGCGGAGATCGAGGTCCGCCCGCAAGCGCAGCATCTGCCTGGCCGACCCATGGACAACACGGATGTACGTATTACAGGGCGAACGGCAGACAGACAGCAGTTTTAAGGGTTGGATTGGGTTCGGTTGGGTTGGGTTGGGTTGGGTTGGGTGGTGACGGTGCAGCTGGACTCGTTCAACGAGTTCATTCAGGACACGATGCAGAGCATTGTGGACGAGTCCGCGGAGATCGAGGTCCGCCCGCAGGCGCAGCATCTTCCGGGGCGACCCATGGACAATACCGACGTACGTGTTACGGAGCGAATGACAGACAGACAGCAGTTTCAGGGGCTGCTCTGCTTGGATATTTCCTGGTGGATTGGGGTGGCTTGGGTTGGCCTGGCTTGGCTTGGGTTGGGTTGGGTGGTGAGGGTGCGGCAGCAGCTGGACTCGTTCAACAAGTTCATTCAGGACACGATGCAGAGCATTGTGGACGAGTCCGCGGAGATCGAGGTCCGCCCGCAGGCGCAGCATCTTCCGGGGCGACCCATGGACAACACGGATGTACATTCGCCAAAAACACATCTTTTTTGTTCTCGCACACCGCACCGCACAGCACAGTCACGCCCGCAGGCGCAGCATCTCCGCGGTCGCCCCATGGACAACACGGATGTGCGTATTACGGGTGGAACAACAGACAGACAGCTGTTACAAGAGCTGCTTCGCTTGCATCTCCAGTTTGAAGAGTTGCTTCGCTTGCATTTTTTTCGGGTGGATTGGATTGGGTTGGGTTGGGTTGGGTGCTGATGGTCTGCCCGCAGGCGCAGCACCAACACGCTGTTCCCCAAAGGCCCCCTCTAACACCCCCTCCCCACCCTTCCTTCCCCCCATCTCCGCCCTCTCCTTCCCCATCAGATGACGTGCAAGGTGACGTTCGGGGAGATCTATCTGTCCAAGCCGACAATGACAGAGCCTGAGAGAGTGTAGAGCTGTATTCTCCACGCTTCTGTAATCACACGCAATGTTACACCCGACCGTTTCCCACCCTGCAGATGACGTGCAAGGTGACCTTCGGGCAGATCTATCTCTCCAAGCCAACAATGACAGAGCCGGACAGCGAGACCAACACGCTGTTCCCCAAAGCCCCACTCGTCCCCCGTCCTCCCCCCTCCTCCCCCCTCCTCCCCCCTCCTCCCCCCTCCTCCCCCACCTTCCAGATGACGTGCAAGGTGACGTTTGGGCAGATCTACCTCTCCAAGCCAACAATGACGGAGCCGGACGGCGAGACCAACACGCTGTTCCCCAAGGCGGCGCGCCTGCGCAACCTCACGTACGCCGCGCCTCTCTACGTGGACATTACCAAGACCATCACCACGCGCGGGGAGGACGGCGAGGAGGAGGTCAGCACGGAGCAAGCCGACAAAGTCTTCATCGGAAAAATCCCGATCATGCTGAGATCGAATTATTGCACGTTACATAATGCCACGGATAAGGAGCTGACGGAGCTGGGGGAGTGCCCGTACGACCAGGGCGGGTATTTTGTGATTAACGGGAGCGAGAAGGTGCTGATCGCGCAGGAGAAGATGGCGAGCAACCACGTGTATGTGTTTCAGAAGCGGCAGCCGAACAAGTACGCGTACGTGGCGGAGGTGAGGAGCATGGCGGAGAGGCAGAACCGCCCGCCCAGCTCCTGCTTCATCCGCATGCTCTCCCGTTCTTCTACCAAATCGGTACGTTCCTCCTCTCCTCCTTCTTCCTCCTCCTGCAAAGCGGTGTACGTGTCTCCCTCCTACCCTCGTTCAAGGCGGTAGGTGACATGATGTCTATCACGTTCTGCCACGCCACGGTATGTTTCTCCTCCCGCTCGCTGTGCAAACTGGAATGGCCATTGATCTGTTCCGTGTTCCCGTCCTTCTCCTTGCCTTCCACCCCGGTCTTCAGGGTTCATCAGGGCAAGTGATTCGGGCCACTATTGAGGCGCCTCCCATACATCAAAGCGATTCATCAGGGCAAGTGATTCGGGCCACTATTGAGGCGCCTCCCATACATCAAAGCGATTCTCAAAAGTGATTCGGGCCACCCTCCCATACATCAAAGCGGAGGAGATCCCAATCATCGTGGTGTTCGTTTAATCCAACCAACCCATGCCTCTCCAACTACTGGACTTGACTTGACCGCACCCGCAGGGTTCATCAGGGCATGTGATCCCCGGGCCACCCTCCCGTACATCAAAGCAGAGGAGATTCCCATCATCGTGGTGTTCGTTAACCCCAATTTATGTTTCTAATACGGTTCGCTCTGTTGAACTTGTCTTGTCTTGACGACTCCTGCAGGGCTCATCAGGGCAGGTGATCCGAGCGACCCTCCCGTACATCAGGGCAGAGATCCCGATCATCGTGGTGCTCCTTCCATCCAACTCATGTCCCCAATCCTTTTCCCGCCACTGAACTTGAACGCATTATTTGCAGGGATCGTCAGGGCAGGTGATTCGAGCGACCCTCCCGTACATCAAGGCGGAGATCCCGATCATCGTGGTGTTCCGCGCGCTGGGGTTCGTGGCGGATAAAGACATCATGGAGCATGTGTGCTACGACTTCACTGACACTGCCATGATGGAGCTGCTCAGGCCATCGCTAGAAGAGGCCTTCGTGATTCAAAACCAGCAGGTGGGTGCGGTGCGGGCATGGGTGCGGTGCGGGCATGGGTGCGGTGCGGGCATGGGTGCGGTGCGGGCATGGGTGCGGTGCGGGCATGGGTGCGGTGCGGGCATGGGTGCGGTGCGGGCATGGGTGCGGTGCGGGCATGGGTGCGGTGCGGGCATGGGTGCGGTGCGGGCATGGGTGCGGTGCGGGCATGGGTGCGGTGCGGGCATGGGTGCGGTGCGGGCATGGGTGCGGTGCGGGCATGGGTGCGGTGCGGGCATGGGTGCGGTGCGGGCATGGGTGCGGTGCGGGCATGGGTGCGGTGCGGGCATGGGTGCGGTGCGGGCATGGGTGCGGTGCGGGCATGGGTGCGGTGCGGGCATGGGTGCGGTGCGGGCATGGGTGCGGTGCGGGCATGGGTGCGTGCGTGAGTTGAGTTGCTCCCTGCCTACCTGCCTACCTGCCAGCCTGCACGCGCTGGGCTTCGTGGCAGACAAGGATATCATGGAGCATGTGTGCTATGACTTCACTGATACCGCCATGGTGGAGCTGCTCAGGCCATTGCTCGAGGAGGCATTTGTGATTCAGACTATTCCTCATGCTAAATGCATGGTTACCTGCCTCCCTCTCCTCTTTCTCAACTTCCATCATTCTTCTTCTGTCGCTGCTGCTTCCATCATTCTGCTTTTGTCACTGTGAGTGTGATTATTTTTGGGGGAAGGGAGGGGAGTTGTTTCCTCGTTCATCTTTTGTCTATTCTCCTCCTACCTTCCCTTGCTGCTACCATGCCACCATTTTTTTCCCTCCATGATCTCACCATTTCGCACCCACGTGGCCTCCGTCCATTCTCCTCCTCCCTCCCCTTGCTGCCACATCAGGTGGCTCTGGATTACATAGGCAAGCGAGGCGTGCCGGTGGGTGCACCGTGCATCCTTGAGTCGATTTAAACTTAAAGTCTCGTTTATTCTCCTCCTCCCTCTCCTTGTTGCCACCATGTCAGGTGGCTCTGGATTACATTGGCAAGCGAGGCGTGCCAGTGGGTGCGCCACGCGAGCGAAGAATAAAGTGAGTGTGCTAGCTATTTCTACAGAACTCCATAGAGCCACCCACATGTGTAAGAGCTTGTGTGCTTGTGTGCTCGTGTCGTGTGTGCTTGCTCAAGAGAAATGCAAGCCTTCTTTTTCAGCGTCTCATTGGAACCTAGCCAGGCACGTGAGAGCAGATTCGTGTGGGAAAGTGCCATTTCAAATTAATTTTGTTTTCACAGAAACTGTGTGCTTGTGTGCTTGTATGCTTGTATGCTTGTGTGCTTGTGTGCTTGTGTGCTTGTGTGCTTGTATGCTTGTGTGCTTGTGTGCTTGTATGCTTGTGTGCTTGTGTGCTTGTGTGCTTGTGTGCTTGTGTGCTTGTGTGCTTGTGTGCTTGTGTGCTTGTGTGCTTGTGTGCTTGTGTGCTTGTATGCTTGTGTGCTTGTGTGCTTGTATGCTTGTGTGCTTGTGTGCTTGTGTGCTTGTGTGCTTGTGTCCTTGTGTGCTTGTATGCTTGTGTGCTTGTGTGCTTGTGTGCTTGTATGCTTGTGTGCTTGTGTGCTTGTATGCTTGTGTGCTTGTGTGCTTGTGTGCTTGTGTGCTTGTGCGCTTGTGTGCTTGTGTGCTTGTATGCTTGTGTGCTTGTGTGCTTGTATGCTTGTGTGCTTGTGTGCTTGTGTGCTTGTGTGCTTGTGTGCTTGTGTGCTTGTGTGCTTGTATGCTTGTGTGCTTGTGTGCTTGTGTTCTTGTTTGCTTGTGTGCTTGTGTGCTTGTATGCTTGTGTGCTTGTATGCTTGTGTGCTTGTATGCTTGTGTGCTTGTTTGCTTGCCGAATTATCTATTCAAGTGCCACCACGCTCTCAACTTTCTTCCTTCTCCCTCTTCTTCCTTCACTCTTCCCCCCCCCCCCCTGCCCCCCCCCCCCTCTCTTCCACAGGTACGCCAAGGATATTCTCCAGAGGGAGTTCTTGCCCCACGTGGGTGTGGGCGAGTTTTGTGAAACCAAAAAGGCCTATTTCTTTGGGTGAGCATTTCCTTAGTTCGAGCATCGTTTCGCTTCGGTGGTTACTTATCACTTTCACGGCAAGACTTGTTAGACTGGACATGGACTACCTGTTTCTCCCTGATTAGCGAAACAGGTGGCCCTTTTTCCCGACCCTTCTTCACTGATCCGCGTCCCCTTCCTGACCCTTTCATCCCTGCCTTTCCCGACTTCACCTCCCCCCCCCCCCCCCCCTCTTCCTCCCCTTACCCCCCAGGTACATGATTCACCGGCTGCTGCTGTGTGCGCTGGGGCGGCGCAACGAGGACGACAGGGATCACTACGGCAACAAGCGCCTCGACCTTGCCGGGCCGCTGCTCGCTGGGCTCTTCCGCCAGGTACGGAGGGGTGGTGTGCGGTGGGGCATGGCATGGAGGGACGGTGTGCTTTGGCCTGAGGCATGGCATGGCATGGAGGGGGTGGCTGTGTTGTGCAACGTGCTCCCAGCAACGAGGACGACACGACAGGGATCACTATGGCAACAGGCGCCTCGACCTTGCCGGCCCGCTGCTCGCAGGGCTCTTCCGCCAGGTATGGAGGGGTGGTGTGCGGTGGGGTATGGCATGAATGAAGGAGTGGCTGTGCTGCCTGAGACGAGGACGACAGGGATCACTTCGGCAACAAGCGCCTGGATCTCGCTGGCCCGCTGCTCGCAGGGCTCTTCCGCCAGGTGGGTGTGTGTCTCTGGGCATGGCATCGTGAGTGTGCCCTTTGCGGCGCCTCAAAAGTCGTCTGGGCACTGCATTGGGAGTGTCGTGTGCCGGTGCCTTGCTGCATGGACTGGCACTCGACACTCCCAATGCCATGCCGGTGCCTTGCCGCATAGCTCCCAATGAGTGGAAGGCTGCAGTTTGTTCGGGCATTTCATAAGGGGCTCTGTGCGTGTTTGGGCATGGGGGGCTGTGCTCCCCCACCTGTCATTGCGTGACCTGTCATGTCCCCACCTGTGATCACATGTGCTTATTCACCTTCATTCATCCTCCCTTGCCCCCACGTGCCCTTGCCCCATCTGTGTGCGCCCCACCCACCTGTCATGGCATGTGCCCAGCTGTTCCGCAAGCTCACCAAGGATGTGCAAGGGTACCTGCAGCGGGTAAGAACACACGTGGGGACGGGCGCACATGGGTGTGTAGGCTTCTGTCTCCAGTGCGCCCATGTGTGCCCGTGTGAGCCCATGTGCGCCCGTGACTGGTGCCACCAGTGACTTTTTTTTTGCCACCAGTGTCTCTCTCTCTCTGGCTCTTGTTCTCTGTTGCCTCTTGTTCCCTGTGTTTTTACTCTCTATCTCGGCTTCCCTCCACATGTCTCCCTCGCCAGTGCATGGATCACGGCAAGGAGATCAACCTGTCGTATGCAGTGAAGGCGAAGATCATTACAGGCGGGCTTAAATACTCGGTGGCCACGGGTAACTGGGGGCAGGCCAACCAGGCGGGCACCAAGGCGGGGGTGTCACAGGTATGGTGGTGCTCTTATCATCTCTGTTACTGAGAACAATGTGTCACGGGTAGGTACGTCGATTGCTCTCTCTGCAATGCAAGTACTCTGTGGCTACGGGCAACTGCGGACAGGCCAACCAGGCGGGCACCAAGGCGGGGTTGTCGTCACACAGGTGGGGTGCTCAAAACTGTGACTGCACAGGCTGATAGCAAGGTATCGCAGGTACATTTACTGCTCTCGCTGCAAGAATTTCTGTCTCCACGGGCAATTAGGGGCGGGCCAACCAGGCGGGCACCAAAGCTGACTTATGGTGCGTGTGCCCTGAATCTTCTCGCCCATGGGTCCTCTCGCTCACATCTGTGACACCTCAAATCGCCCATCTTCACACTTCAACAATAAAATTGAGTTATTTTTCCACCCATCACTGAACTGTAGGTGCTGAATTGCCTCCTACACGTCCTCCCTCTCCCATCTGTGCCGGCTCTAACTCGCCCATCGGGCGCGACGGCAAGCTGGCGAAGCCATCCCAAGCCCACTCATGCCCCTGCTGCCTCTGCCCTCCTCCTCCCATCCCATCCCATCCCACCCGCGCGCCTCTGCTCTCCTCCTCCCATCCCACCCGCGCGCCTCTGCCCTGCAGGTGCTGAATCGTCTGGCTTATGCGTCCTCCCTGTCCCATCTGCGCCGCCTCAACTCGCCCATCGGTCAAGACGGCAAGCTGGCGAAGCCGAGGCAGCTGCACAACTCGCTGTGGGGCATGATGTGCCCCGCTGAGACCCCCGAGGGGCAGGCCGTGGGATAGGGCTCCACTCCCCCTTCCCACCCACTCCCTCACTCACACCCATTTCCAAACTCACTCATCCTCCTGCTGCCCTGTGCTGCTCTACCTCCCACTCCTGACCTGAACCACAGGTGCTGAATCGTCTGGCCTACGCGTCCTCCCTGTCCCATCTGCGCCGCCTCAACTCGCCCATCGGTCGCGACGGCAAGCTGGCGAACCCGAGGCAGCTGCACAACTCGCTGTGGGGCATGATGTGCCCCGCTGAGACCCCCGAGGGGCAGGCCGTGGGATAGGGCTCCACTCCCCCTTCCCACCCACTCCCTCACTCTCACCCATTTCCAAACTCACTCGTCCTCCTGCTGCCCTGTGCTGCTCTACCTCCCACTCCTGACCTGAACCACAGGTGCTGAATCGTCTGGCCTACGCGTCCTCCCTGTCCCATCTGCGCCGCCTCAACTCGCCCATCGGTCGCGACGGCAAGCTGGCGAAGCCGAGGCAGCTGCACAACTCGCTGTGGGGCATGATGTGCCCCGCTGAGACCCCCGAGGGGCAGGCCGTGGGGCTGGTGAAGAACCTGGCGCTCATGACGTACATCACTGTAGGCAGCAACGCCGCTCCCATCCTGGAGTTTCTGGAAGAGTGGCTCACTGAGAATCTCGAGGTACGATTGGGTTGTGTGGTGGTTTTGTGGGGAGGGCAGACGGCAGTGGATGGGTGAGGCTGGGTGGGGCTGGTGAAGAACCTCGCGCTCATGACGTACATCACTGTGGGGAGTAACGCCGCTCCCATCCTGGAGTTTCTGGAAGAGTGGCTTACGGAGAACCTCGAGGTACGGCCTCTATGTGTTCCCATTTTTTTTTTCAGTCAATGCAAGTCAATTCAAGTCGAAGTGGGTTCTGGAAGGGACCCTGAGGGGCAGGCCGTGGGGTGGTGAGGAACCTCGCGCTCATGACGTACATCACTGTGGGCAGCAATGCCACTCCTATTCTGGAGTTCCTGGAAGAGTGGCTCACTGAGAACCTGGAGGTACGTTTGTTGTTACCCACTCCGCACACAATCAGGGCTTGTGTGGTTTGGGGGAGCAGCACAGGCGGCAGGCATGCACGCGGTGGGGCTGGTGAGGAACCTCGCGCTCATGACGTACATCACTGTGTGCAGCAACGCTGCCCCTATCTTGGAGTTTCTGGAGGAGTGGCTCATGGAGAACCTCGAGGTACGCTCGTTTTGTATGGATTGAGGGAGGGAGCAACACAGGCGGCAGATAGGCAGGTTGTGGGGCTGGTGAAGAGCCTCGCGCTCATGACGTACGTCACTGTGGGGAGCAACGCCGCTCCCATCCTGGAGTTTCTTGAGGAGTGGCTGACTGAGAATCTCGAGGTTTGCTCGTTATGAGTTGTTCACGCAATATGAGAGCGTGCACACAAGACGTGGTGGTGGGGTGGGGTGGGGTGGGGTGGGGTGGGGTGCAACCCTTTTGACTTCTCGCACCTTCTGCTGCCTTCTCTTCTCACCCTCCTTCCCCCACCCTCTCCTCTCTCCCGTCCCTTCCCTTCACCAGGAGATCTCCCCAGCGCTCATCCCGCAGGCCACCAAGGTGTTTGTCAACGGCTGCTGGGTGGGCGTCCATCGCGACCCGGATGAGCTCGTGCGCACGCTGAGACAGCTCCGGAGACAGGTGAGGCTTTTGTAGTTTGTTTGGATGTGGTGTGGTGTGGTGTGGCGTGGCGTGGCGTGGCGTGGCGTGGCGTGGCATGGCGTGGCGTGGCGTGGCGTGGCGTGGCGTGGCGTGGCGTGGCGTGGCGTGGCGTGGCGTGGCATAGCGTGGCGTGGTGTGGCGTGGCGTGGCGTGGTTTGCACTCATTTGCTGCTGGGTGGGGCTGCTGGGTGGGGCTGCTGGGTGGGGCTGCTGGGTGGGTGCGTTTGCATCGGAACTAAGCTCAGTCGCACAATACCTTGGACGTGTGCTTTGTTGCTCCCTTCTGTCCGTCTCCCTGGTCCCCTTCTCCCCTTCTTCCCCGCCATCCATCCAGCTGGACGTGAACTCAGAGGTCTCAGTGGTGCGTGACATCCGCCTGAGGGAGCTGCGCCTATACACGGATTACGGGCAGTGCTCCCGCCCGCTCTTCATAGTGGAGAAGCAGCGGCTGCTTGTCAAGAAGCACCTGCCCGTCTCCCTCCCCCTCCCCCCCCCCATTTCCTTTTCTCCCTTCCCCATCCCAGCTGGATGTGAACTCGGAAGTGAGTGTGGTGCGTGACATCCGTCTCAGAGAGTTACGGCTCTACACGGATTACGGGCGGTGCTCCCGCCCGCTTTTTATCGTGGAGAAGCAGCGGCTGCTGATCAAGAAGCGTGATGTGCTGGCGCTGCAGCAGGAGGGGTCAGGCATCGGGTGGAACGAGCTGGTGGAGAAGGGGTTTATCGAATACGTGGATACCATGGAGGAGGAGACTACCATGATCTCCATGACCATCCATGTGAGTGTTTCTATCTCACTCACGGGAGTGGATACATAAATACAATCAGCGCAGCTCTTCAGCTTGGATGCAGCAGGAGGGCTCGGCCATCGGGTGGAACGAGCTGGTGGAGAAGGGGTTTATAGAATATGTGGATACGATGGAGGAGGAAACGACCATGATCTCCATGACCATCCATGTGAGTGCTGCAATCTCACTCACAGCATTCCGTACGTACATGCATTACAACATTCACAAGTCTGCAGTTTGAATGCGTATGTCGGGCATGGGGTGGAACGAGGTGGTGATGGAGAAGGGGTTTATCGAGTATGTGGATACGATGGAGGAAGAGTCTACCATTATCTCCATGACCACTCATGTGTGTGCTGCCATCATCTCAATTCGTGTGAGTGCTGCCATCATCTCAATTCGTGTGAGTGCTGTAGTCTTGTGCTGCTGTGGGCTGACATGCCCCTAGGACCCTCCTGGGCATCGGGTGGAAGGAGCTGGTGGTGGAGAGTCTACTATGAAGGGAGAGTCTTCCATCGTACCCTGGAAGGGTTTATTGAATACGTGGATACGATGGAGGAAGAGTCCACTATGATCTCCATGATGACCATTCATGCTCCGCCCCTGCTCCCTTCATTCCAGGACGTGACAGCAGCCCGGCTGAACCTTACAGAGGCATACAGTGCCTCGTAGTTAAAATTCTCTCCACATAAAATCCGCGTGCGTTGAGAGACGAATTTTTTAGGCGCCTCAAAAATCGGAGGCATACAGTGCCTCGTACACACACTGCTTGCAATGTGAGATCCGCCCCTCCTTCCCCTCCCTTAGATTTCACTTCTATCCCATTCACATCTGCCTCTCTTCCTGTCAGGACGTGACAGCGGCACGACTGAACTCCACGGAGGCCTACAGTGACACATACACGCACTGCGAGATCCACCCCTCTCTCATCCTCCCGTCCTTTCTGTGGATCTCATCAATTCGTCCCATCTGTGTGTGCACCTCCCATCTGCTTTCAGGACGTGACAGCGGCACGGCCCAACCCCACGGAGGCATACAGTGACACGTACACACACTGCTTGCGATGCGAGATCCACCTCTCCTTCCCCTCCCTTCACTTATAAGTTATATATCCCCTTCACTCCTCCCTCTCATCCTCTGTCAGGACGTGACAGCAGCGCGGCTGAACCCCACAGAGGCCTACAGCGACACATACACGCACTGCGAGATCCACCCCTCGCTCATCCTCCCGTCCTTTTTGTGGATCTCATCATTTCGTCCCATCTGTGTGTGCACCTCCCATCTGCTTTCAGGACGTGACAGCGGCACGGCTGAACCCCACGGAGGCCTACAGCGACACATACACACACTGCGAGATCCACCCCTCGCTCATCCTCGGCGTCTGCGCCTCCATCATCCCCTTCCCCGACCACAACCAGGTAAGTAACACCTCCCTTCACTGCAGCCAAATTCCCCGACCACAATCAGGTAACACCTCCCCCGACCACAACCAGGTAACACCTCCCCGGACTGCAGTCACGTGGCACCTCCCCCGAGCCGCCACAACCAGGTAACGCCTTTCCTGCACAACCACCTAACACCTTTCCTCACCCCACCGGGTAATACCTCCCCTGATCACAACCAGTTAATTACCCAGAAGTCCAGCAAGTTATTTGTCGGTGCTTTCCATTTATCTGCCGCCTGTGCCTATGCACTCGGCCAGTTATGAGGCCCCTCAAAACCTTCGAGGCGCCTGAAAAACCCATGCACTCGAGCAGCTATTAACCTCACCTGCTGCCTTGTCACATCCATCTCGCCACTCTCTTCCCTTCCCCCACCCTTTCAATGCACCCCAGTCCCCCAAGAAGAACACGGACCAATCGGCGATGGGCAAGCAGGCGATGGGCAAGCAGGCGATGGGCAAGCAGGCGATGTGCATGTATGAGACCAACTACTCATGTTCCACGCCTCCTTCCCTCCTTTGTCTGTTGCCCGTCCTCTATCCCCCTTCGCCGCACCCCTCCTCACCCCACCAGTCCCCCAGGAACACGTATCAGTCGGCGATGGGGAAGCAGGCGATGGGCATGTATGTGACCAACTACCAGTCGCGCATGGACACCGTCGCCTACGTCCTCTACTACCCCCAGAAGCCCCTCGCCACCACGCGCGCCATGGAACACCTCCACTTCCGCGAGCTGCCTGCTGGGATTGTGAGTGGGATGTCTGTAGGTAAGGGTAATGTCTGTACACACGCAGGCAAACCCCTCGCCACCACGCGTGCCATGGAACACCTTCACTTCCGCGAGCTGCCTGCTGGGATTGTAAGTCCATGAGGCAATTGCTCACATACATACATGCACGTGGTCCCTCACACGTGCTTACACACGCACAAGCCCCTCGCCACCACGCGCGCCATGGAACACCTTCACTTCCGTGAACTGCCCGCTGGGATTGTGAGTGGGATGGGGCAATGGTTGGCATATCTCTTCCCCACGCACGTGCATTGGCTAACACACACACACGCACAAGCCACTCGCCACCACGCGCGCCATGGAACACCTTCACTTCCGTGAACTGCCCGCTGGGATTGTGAGTGGGATGGGGCAATGGTTGGCATATCTCTTCCCCACGCACGTGCATTGGCTAACACACACACACGCACAAGCCACTCGCCACCACGCGCACCATGGAACACCTTCACTTCCGTGAACTGCCTGCTGGGGTCGTGAGTCAATCACACATACATAATGCATATGTACATGTGTACGTACATACATACACTACATGCATGCATGTACTCTCACACACGCACAATCCCCTTGCCACCACGCGCGCCATGGAACACCTTCACTTCCGTGAACTGCATTCTGGGAGCCGTGAGTCAACCAATTCATAGCTCACACTCATCCACACCACACTACACACATACATACATCATGCATGCACATGTTTCCTTGCGCATGAGGCTACATCATGCATGCACATGTTCACATATAATACACATACATAATGCCATAGTTCCGTCTATCCTGTGTTGCTCGGGGTACAACCAGGAGGTCTCGGGCATCATGCATGAACTGCTCTCTCCCTCCTCTCTTCGTCGCTTTCCATGCATGTTGTGCTGTGTTTCCCTCCCCCCCCCTTCCAGAACGCCATAGTGTCCATTCTGAGCTATTCGGGCTACAACCAGGAGGACTCGGTCATCGTGAACCAATCCTTCCCTCCTCTCTTTCAGTGTCCATCAATTCCGTATGTATTCTGTGATGTCTCCCTCTCCACTCCACCATCGCAGAACGCCATAGTGTCGATCCTGTCGTACTCGGGCTACAACCAGGAGGACTCGGTCATCATGAACCAGTCGTCCATCGACCGCGGCTTCCACCGCTCCATCGTCTTCAAGTCCTACAGGTGCTTCTTGGTTGGTGAACAAGGGATTCTCTGTTTATTATAGATAAACAAAATCCCTCACTCAGCTCTCACTCAATCTCACCCCTCTAACCCTCATTCCTTACTCTCACCCCTCTCTCGAGTCATTCCATCACTCTCAACCTTTTCATACTTTAACCTTCTCTCGGACAAGGAGAAGAAGAGTGGCTGCATGGATAACAATAAGCTCTGTACTGCATGCCTTCAACCTTTCACTCAACCTTCTTACTGTCACGTCTTTTGCGCACCCTGTGCCGCAGGGACGAGGAGAAGAAGAGTGGAAGCATGGTGAACGAGGAGTTTGAGTTTTGTGTTGTCCTTGCTGTCCCTCCCTCCCACTCGTCCCTCCCTCTCTCACTCTTGCTCTCACCCACATTCCTCCCCTTCGCAGGGACGAGGAGAAGAAGAGTGGAAGCATGGTGAACGAGGAGAAGAAGAGTGGCAGTATGGTGAACGAGGAGAAGAAGAGTGGCAGTATGGTGAACGAGGAGAAGAAGAGTGGCAGTATGGTGAAGGAGGAGTTTTGTGCTGTGCATGCCGTTCGGCTCTCCTCACTCTCGCTTGTTCTCTCAACCCTCCTTCCTCGCACCATGTGTCGCAGGGACGAGGAGAAGAAGAGTGGAAGCATGGTGAACGAGGAGTTTGAGCGTCCCAACCGAGAAATCACCATGGTGAGTCATGCCCGCCCTGTCACCTTTGCATGGCATGGCATGACCATGGCATGGCATGACCATGGGATGGCATGACCATGGGATGGCATGACCATGGGATGGCATGACTATGGGATGGCATGACCATGGCATGGCATGACCATGGGATGGCATGACCATGGGATGGCATGACCATGGGATGGCATGACCATGGCATGGCATGACCATGGCATGGCATGACCATGGCATGGCATGACCATGGCATGGCATGACCATGGCATGGCATGACCATGGGATGGCATGACCTTGGGATGGCATGACCATGGGATGGCATGACCATGGCATGGCATGACCATGGCATGGCATGACCATGGGATGGCATGACCATGGCATGGCATGACCATGGGATGGCATGACCATGGCATGGCATGACCATGGCATGGCATGACCATGGCATGGCATGACCATGGCATGGCATGACCATGGCATGGCATGACCATGGCATGGCATGACCATGGCATGGCATGACCATGGCATGGCATGACCATGGGATGGCATGACCATGGCATGGCATGACCATGGGATGGCATGACCATGGGATGGCATGACCATGGCATGGCATGACCATGGCATGGCATGACCATGGCATGGCATGACCATGGCATGGCATGATGACCATGGCATGGCATGACCATGGGATGGCATGACCTTGGGATGGCATGACCATGGGATGGCATGACCATGGGATGGCATGACCATGGGATGGCATGACAAAACGACACCATGATATGGCCCTGCATGACGGTGTGGGTGCAGGTGTGAGTGTGGCTGGGGGTGTGGTTGGGGGTGCGGGTGTGGTTTGCGGGTGTGGGTGTGGGATGAGATTGGGCACAATTCTTTGTCCCTCACTGCACGCGTGCATTGTTTTGAAGTCTCAATAGCGACACACCCAAATCACTGCATGGATCTAGGGGTGTGATGTGATCCGATCCATCGACTCACCGTTCTTCCCATCTGCTCCAGCCTCGTGCCTATCCCCATCTCCTCATCAGGGCATGTGGCACGGGTCATACAATAAGCTGGACGATGATGGCATCATCCCCACTCTTGTTCTTGCCCTCTTTAGAGATTTCTTACGACAAGCCGCCTCCCGTTTTTGTCTCTGCCGTTTCTGCCCTGTCCCCCCGTTGGTGTGGTGCGGTGCACCACCAGGGCATGCGGCACGGGTCATATAGCAATCTGGGTGGGCGATGATGGCATTAGGCCCCTCGCTTGCTGACGTGATAAAAGTGTTGTTTTGAGACGTCTCAAAACAACACTTTTATCACGTGGCATGCGGCACGGGTCATATAGCAAGCTAGACGATGATGGCATCAGGCCCCTCGCTTGCTGACCCTCACCCTCGTCCCTCTCTGCCGTGTCTGCCCTGTCTCCCCTTGCTGTTCATGTATCAGGGCATGCGGCACGGGTCATATGACAAGCTGGACGATGATGGCATCATCCCTCCGGTGAGTTTTCCTATTGGATTTCCCACCAAACGCTTTTGACAATTCTGATTAGTCCTTCTAGCCAGTGGGTGTGACGGGGTCAGCATATGAATGGAACTAGAAGGACCCTCATGGAAGGGGTGTGACGGGGTCAGCATATGAATGGAAGTAGAAGGACCCTCATGGAAGGGGTGTGACGGGGTCAGCATATGAATGGAACTAGAAGGACCCTCATGGAAGGGGTGTGACGGGGTCAGCATATGAATGGAAGTAGAAGGACCCTCATGGAAGGGGTGTGACGGGGTCAGCATATGAATGGAACTAGAAGGACCCTCATGGAAGGGGTGTGACGGGGTCAGCATATGAATGGAACTAGAAGGACCCTCATGGAAGGGGTGTGACGGGGTCAGCATATGAATGGAACTAGAAGGACCCTCATGGAAGGGGTGTGACGGGGTCAGCATATGAATGGAACTAGAAGGACCCTCATGGAAGGGGTGTGACGGGGTCAGCATATGAATGGAACTAGAAGGACCCTCATGGAAGGGGTGTGACGGGGTCAGCATATGAATGGAACTAGAAGGACCCTCATGGAAGGGGTGTGACGGGGTCAGCATATGAATGGAACTAGAAGGACCCTCATGGAAGGGGTGTGACGGGGTCAGCATATGAATGGAACTAGAAGGACCCTCATGGAAGGGGTGTGACGGGGTCGGCATATGAATGGAACTAGAAGGACCCTCATGGAAGGGGTGTGACGGGGTCAGCATATGAATGGAACTAGAAGGACCCTCATGGAAGGGGTGTGACGGGGTCAGCATATGAATGGAACTAGAGGTGAAAGCCTGGGGTTGGGAGGGGGATTGAGTGTACCGGGAGGAAAGGGGGGGCTGGCCACTAGGTACGAGAGGAAACCTTTTTTTATTATTATTATTGATAGAATACACCGAACTAGGTACGGGAGGAACTGCGGGTGGAGTGGGAATGGGGTCATCGGTGGAACTGGTACAGTAGAGGATATGAAAGCAGTCTTGAGATTTCACAGTGAGTTCGCTCTGAGTCGGTTTTCAGTGTGGGCATGTCCTGTGTTGCTTGCAGTGGCACACTAGATGCAATTGTGATTGATTGCACTCTTCACTTTGTCCTGTTTATCTCGTTTCACGTTATCCGATCGTTCCATGGCTCGTGATTGGCAGCAGAGGACGTGATCATCGGCAAGACGACGTCCATCCCTCCTCGCCCCTCCCTCCCCTACGCCCGCTGCGCCTTGCTAACCCCTCCTAACCACTCCTAATGCCTCCAAACCCTTCCTAACCCCTTCTCACCGCTCTGAACCATTCCAGGGCTCGCGAGTGGCAGCAGAGGATGTGATCATCGGCAAGACGATGCCCATTCCTCCTCGCACCTCCCTCCCCTACACCCGCTGTGCCTCGCTAACCCCTCCTAACCACTCCTAATGCCTCCAAACCCTTCCTAACACCTCCTCACCGCTCTGAACCATTACAGGGCTCGCGAGTGGCAGCAGAGGATGTGATCATCGGCAAGACAATGCCCATTCCTCCGGATGAGACGGGCGGTGTGGCTCAGCGGTTCAGCAAGCGCGACATGAGCACTTGCCTCAAGCACAGCGAGACAGGCGTGATCGACCAGGTGGGAGGGATGATTGGTAAGGTGGGGTGAGATGGAGACAGGATGGATGGGGGGCATGAGGGAGGGATGATTGGTAAGGTGGGGTGAGATGGAGACAGGATGGATGGGGGGCATGAGGGAGGGATGATTGGTAAGGTGGGGTGAGATGTAGACAGGATGGATGGGGGGCATGAGGGAGGGATGATTGGTAAGGTGGGGTGAGATGTAGACAGGATGGATGGGGGGCATGAGGGAGGGATGATTGGTAAGGTGGGGTGAGATGTAGACAGGATGGATGGGGGGCATGAGGGAGGGATGATTGGTAAGGTGGGGTGAGATGTAGACAGGATGGATGGGGGGCATGAGGGAGGGATGATTGGTAAGGTGGGGTGAGATGTAGACAGGATGGATGGGGGGCATGAGGGAGGGATGATTGGTAAGGTGGGGTGAGATGTAGACAGGATGGATGGGGGGCATGAGGGAGGGATGATTGGTAAGGTGGGGTGAGATGTAGACAGGATGGATGGGGGGCATGAGGGAGGGATGATTGGTAAGGTGGGGTGAGATGTAGACAGGATGGATGGGGGGCATGAGGGAGGGATGATTGGTAAGGTGGGGTGAGATGTAGACAGGATGGATGGGGGGCATGAGGGAGGGATGATTGGTAAGGTGGGGTGAGATGTAGACAGGATGGATGGGGGGCATGAGGGAGGGATGATTGGTAAGGTGGGGTGAGATGTAGACAGGATGGATGGGGGGCATGAGGGAGGGATGATTGGTAAGGTGGGGTGAGATGTAGACAGGATGGATGGGGGGCATGAGGGAGGGATGATTGGTAAGGTGGGGTGAGATGTAGACAGGATGGATGGGGGGCATGAGGGAGGGATGATTGGTAAGGTGGGGTGAGATGCAGCCAGGATGGATGGGGGGCATGAGGGAGGGATGATTGGTAAGGTGGGGTGAGATGTAGACAGGATGGATGGGGGGCATGAGGGAGGGATGATTGGTAAGGTGGGGTGAGATGTAGACAGGATGGATGGGGGGCATGAGGGAGGGATGATTGGTAAGGTGGGGTGAGATGTAGACAGGATGGATGGGGGGCATGAGGGAGGGATGATTGGTAAGGTGGGGTGAGATGTAGACAGGATGGATGGGGGGCATGAGGGAGGGATGATTGGTAAGGTGGGGTGAGATGCAGCCAGGATGGATGGGGGGCATGAGGGAGGGATGATTGGTAAGGTGGGGTGAGATGTAGACAGGATGGATGGGGGGCATGAGGGAGGGATGATTGGTAAGGTGGGGTGAGATGTAGACAGGATGGATGGGGGGCATGAGGGAGGGATGATTGGTAAGGTGGGGTGAGATGTAGACAGGATGGATGGGGGGCATGAGGGAGGGATGATTGGTAAGGTGGGGTGAGATGTAGACAGGATGGATGGGGGGCATGAGGGAGGGATGATTGGTAAGGTGGGGTGAGATGTAGACAGGATGGATGGGGGGCATGAGGGAGGGATGATTGGTAAGGTGGGGTGAGATGCAGCCAGGATGGATGGGGGGCATGAGGGAGGGATGATTGGTAAGGTGGGGTGAGATGTAGACAGGATGGATGGGGGGCATGAGGGAGGGATGATTGGTAAGGTGGGGTGAGATGTAGACAGGATGGATGGGGGGCATGAGGGAGGGATGATTGGTAAGGTGGGGTGAGATGTAGACAGGATGGATGGGGGGCATGAGGGAGGGATGATTGGTAAGGTGGGGTGAGATGTAGACAGGATGGATGGGGGGCATGAGGGAGGGATGATTGGTAAGGTGGGGTGAGATGCAGCCAGGATGGATGGGGGGCATGAGGGAGGGATGATTGGTAAGGTGGGGTGAGATGCAGCCAGGATGGATGGGGGGCATGAGGGAGGGATGATTGGTAAGGTGGGGTGAGATGTAGACAGGATGGATGGGGGGCATGAGGGAGGGATGATTGGTAAGGTGGGGTGAGATGTAGACAGGATGGATGGGGGGCATGAGGGAGGGATGATTGGTAAGGTGGGGTGAGATGTAGACAGGATGGATGGGGGGCATGAGGGAGGGATGATTGGTAAGGTGGGGTGAGATGTAGACAGGATGGATGGGGGGCATGAGGGAGGGATGATTGGTAAGGTGGGGTGAGATGCAGCCAGGATGGATGGGGGGCATGAGGGAGGGATGATTGGTAAGGTGGGGTGAGATGTAGACAGGATGGATGGGGGGCATGAGGGAGGGATGATTGGTAAGGTGGGGTGAGATGTAGACAGGATGGATGGGGGGCATGAGGGAGGGATGATTGGTAAGGTGGGGTGAGATGTAGACAGGATGGATGGGGGGCATGAGGGAGGGATGATTGGTAAGGTGGGGTGAGATGCAGCCAGGATGGATGGGGGGCATGAGGGAGGGATGATTGGTAAGGTGGGGTGAGATGTAGACAGGATGGATGGGGGGCATGAGGGAGGGATGATTGGTAAGGTGGGGTGAGATGTAGACAGGATGGATGGGGGGCATGAGGGAGGGATGATTGGTAAGGTGGGGTGAGATGTAGACAGGATGGATGGGGGGCATGAGGGAGGGATGATTGGTAAGGTGGGGTGAGATGTAGACAGGATGGATGGGGGGCATGAGGGAGGGATGATTGGTAAGGTGGGGTGAGATGCAGCCAGGATGGATGGGGGGCATGAGGGAGGGATGATTGGTAAGGTGGGGTGAGATGCAGCCAGGATGGATGGGGGGCATGAGGGAGGGATGATTGGTAAGGTGGGGTGAGATGTAGACAGGATGGATGGGGGGCATGAGGGAGGGATGATTGGTAAGGTGGGGTGAGATGTAGACAGGATGGATGGGGGGCATGAGGGAGGGATGATTGGTAAGGTGGGGTGAGATGTAGACAGGATGGATGGGGGGCATGAGGGAGGGATGATTGGTAAGGTGGGGTGAGATGTAGACAGGATGGATGGGGGGCATGAGGGAGGGATGATTGGTAAGGTGGGGTGAGATGCAGCCAGGATGGATGGGGGGCATGAGGGAGGGATGATTGGTAAGGTGGGGTGAGATGTAGACAGGATGGATGGGGGGCATGAGGGAGGGATGATTGGTAAGGTGGGGTGAGATGTAGACAGGATGGATGGGGGGCATGAGGGAGGGATGATTGGTAAGGTGGGGTGAGATGTAGACAGGATGGATGGGGGGCATGAGGGAGGGATGATTGGTAAGGTGGGGTGAGATGTAGACAGGATGGATGGGGGGCATGAGGGAGGGATGATTGGTAAGGTGGGGTGAGATGCAGCCAGGATGGATGGGGGGCATGAGGGAGGGATGATTGGTAAGGTGGGGTGAGATGTAGACAGGATGGATGGGGGGCATGAGGGAGGGATGATTGGTAAGGTGGGGTGAGATGTAGACAGGATGGATGGGGGGCATGAGGGAGGGATGATTGGTAAGGTGGGGTGAGATGTAGACAGGATGGATGGGGGGCATGAGGGAGGGATGATTGGTAAGGTGGGGTGAGATGCAGCCAGGATGGATGGGGGGCATGAGGGAGGGATGATTGGTAAGGTGGGGTGAGATGCAGCCAGGATGGATGGGGGGCATGAGGGAGGGATGATTGGTAAGGTGGGGTGAGATGCAGCCAGGATGGATGGGGGGCATGAGGGAGGGATGATTGGTAAGGTGGGGTGAGATGTAGACAGGATGGATGGGGGGCATGAGGGAGGGATGATTGGTAAGGTGGGGTGAGATGTAGACAGGATGGATGGGGGGCATGAGGGAGGGATGATTGGTAAGGTGGGGTGAGATGTAGACAGGATGGATGGGGGGCATGAGGGAGGGATGATTGGTAAGGTGGGGTGAGATGCAGCCAGGATGGATGGGGGGCATGAGGGAGGGATGATTGGTAAGGTGGGGTGAGATGCAGCCAGGATGGATGGGGGGCATGAGGGAGGGATGATTGGTAAGGTGGGGTGAGATGCAGCCAGGATGGATGGGGGGCATGAGGGAGGGATGAGACGGGCGGTGTGGCTCAGCGGTTCAGCAACGTCTTTGAAGAAGTGTTTTGAGACGTCTCAAAACACTTCTTCAAACACGCGGTGTGGCTCAGCGGTTCAGCAAGCGCGACACGAGCACGTGCCTCAAGCACAGCGAGACCGGCGTGATCGACCAGGTGGGTTTGTGTACGCAGGAAGGGGGTGAGGGGCATGCGCATGTGGCTCAGCGGTTCAGCAAGAGGGAGGTGGTTCTCAGAACCAACAATGATGGTCTTTGCTTTGTGAAGATCCGCGTGCGCTCCATCCGCGTGCCGCAGATCGGCGACAAGTTTGCATCACTCATCCCTCTTCCATCTTCCCATCTCTCGCCTTGGCTCGTGCAAAACCAATCAGGTGGTTCTGACGACCAACAACGATGGCCTCCGGTTTGTGAAGATCTGCGTGCGGTCGATTCGAGTCTTCCAGATCAGAGACAAGTTTGCATCACTCATCCCTCTTCCTGCTTGCTATGCCATGCTCGCCCATGCAACCCAACCAACCAGGTGGTTCTGACAACCAACAACGACGGGCTTCGTTTCGTCAAGATCCATCCAGGTGTTTTTTTAGAATTCTAAAAAAACGCTCGCTTCAACCAACAATGGCGGTCTTCGTTTCGTCAAGATCCATCCGGGGACAAGTTTGCCTTATGGTTGTGACGCTTCCGTCTTCCCCATCTCTCCCCTTGGCACGTGCAAAACCAACCCAGGTGGTTCTGACAACCAACAATGATGGCCTCAGGTTTGTGAAGATCCGCGTGCGCTCGATTCGAGTGCCGCAGATCAGCGACAAGTTTGCATCACTCATCCCTCTTCCTGCTTTCTATGCCATGCTCGCCCATGCAACCCAACCAAATAGGTGGTTCTCACAACCAACAACGATGGGCTCCGCTTTGTCAAGATTCGCGTGCGCTCGATCCGAGTCCCCCAGATCGGCGACAAGTTTGCGTCGCGGCACGGGCAGAAGGGCACGATCGGCATGACGTACACGCAGGAGGACATGCCGTTCAGCTGTGAGGGCATCTCGCCGGATATCATCGTCAACCCGCACGCCATCCCGTCCCGCATGACCATCGGGCATCTCATTGAATGTTTGATGAGCAAAGTCGCTGCTCACATGGGCAAGGAGGGGGATGCCACACCCTTCACTGACGTCACGGTATGTTCTCGAGTCATAGCAAGCAAGTCTGCTGCTTTACATCCTTCACGCCAGATGTGGGGGCTTCAGTGCATGAACTCTCCAAGCATCATGATGCCGTCGTTCATTCCATTTCTAACCTTTCTCCTCCAAATCGTTCACGCCGCCTATGCGTTTCCTATCCCTCCCTTAATCCCTTGACAGATACGTGTGCTCCAGGTGGACAATCTGAGCCACACGGGGCGACTTTTGAGGCGCCTCAAAAAAACCTTCTGAGGCGCCTCAAAATAACCTTCTGAGGCGCATTCAAAAAAACCTTCTGAGGCGCCTCAAAAAAACCTTCTGAGGCGCCTCAAAAAAACCTTCTGAGGTCCCTCAAAGGTGCTCCAGGTGGACAATCTAAGCCACACGGAGCGGACGCTGCACATGTGTGGTTACTTACCAGATGTGGCTGTTGCTTCATCCACTCTTCCCAAATCTCTTCTTTCATCTGAACCCTTCACACGTATTCCATTCCAGGTGGACAATCTGAGCCGCACGTTGCACAAGTGTGGGTACCAGATGAGGGGATTCGAGCGCATGTAGCCTCACCATCAGGGGCCGGGCCTGTTCTTATGCCTTTCTTACCTTACCTACCCATTGTTTCCACAGGTGGACAATCTGAGCCGCACGTTGCACAAGTGTGGGTACCAGATGCGGGGATTCGAGCGCATGTACAACGGCCACACGGGGCGGCCGCTGCAGGCCATGATCTTCCTGGGCCCCACCTACTACCAGCGCCTCAAGCATATGGTGGACGATAAGATCCATTCCCGAGGGAGAGGGCCCGTGCAGGTGAGTAGCTGTGGTGCGGGTAGGTGTGTTGGTAGGCTGGTACCCAGCAGGCATTAACAGGTAGGCCTTGACTGGCTGGTACCAATCAAGCCATGATCTTCCTGGGCCCCACCTACTACCAGCGCCTCAAGCATATGGTGGATGATAAGATCCATTCCCGAGGCAGGGGACCCGTGCAGGTGAGTTATCTCTTTCAGGGTTGTGTTGGCCGGTACTCAGCAGACTTCTAGGGTGGGTAGGCTGGTACCTAGCATGAGTCATGACCTTCTACCAGGCCCCACCCCACCTACTACCAGCGCCTCAAGCACATTGTGGATGAATAAGTCCACACGTGGGACAGGGCCTAACCACTTCAATATTCCCTCTGGCCACTGTCAATCCCATTCAACTCCTGTGGAATTTACCAGATTCTGACTCGGCAGCCAGCAGAGGGTCGGTCGAGAGACGGTGGGCTGCGGTTCGGAGAGATGGAGCGGGATTGCATGATTGCGCACGGCGCTGCGGCGTTCCTCAAGGAGAGGCTGTTTGACCACAGCGATGCGTACCGCGTGCACGTGTGCGAGTTCTGCGGTCTCATTGCGATCGCGAACCTCAAGAAGGGGCTGCTGGAGTGCCGCGGATGCAAGAACAAGACGGACATTGTCCAGGTGAGGGAAGAGGGGAGAAGGGAGAGGGGAGAGAGGGGAGAGGGGGGGAGCAGGTGCACACGTAAGGAGAGGAGAGGAGGAGGTGAGATTAGAAGAAGAGGAGAGCAGGGAGGGGTGTGTCAAGGAGCTGGCTGCATGCAAGCTGTTGTTCCAGGAGCTCATGGCCATGGCCATTGTACCTAATGTGCCTCACAGCCTTGTGTTCTCCTTTCCCTGCTCACCCCAGGTCCACATGCCATATGCATGCAAGCTGTTGTTCCAGGAGCTCATGGCCATGGCCATTGCGCCTCGCATGCTCACTCGCGAGACACCCGCGCCCAAGACGAAGAAGAAAGCACCCACTGCTGCTTCTTGATTGGCCAGCATTGTGAGTCGTGACCAAGCAAGCAAAGATCAGAGAATAATACATTGTTGCAGCTTTTTATCTGTTGTCACAGTGTTTTTTTTTTGCTTGGAGCATGGGCAACAACACCTGGGGCAAGATTTCAGTGTCAATGCCATCATTTTGTACAAATTAGTAGCACTCGTCAGTGCTATGGGCCATGTGGGGTGGGGGATCACAAAAAGTAGCAACAGCAAGACTGTGCCAGCCGGGAATCGAACCCGGGTCTGCACCGTGCTGTTTGGCAGGGTGCTATTCTACCACTAGACCACTGGCACATAAGTAGACGTTTGAAGGTGTAGCCATGTTTATTTTATGGTAGAGCCAGATTTGACATGACAAGCCACAATTGCTGTCTTTCTTGCCCTTCCAAGTACAACGTGCGGCCAGCCATGGCGGCTGCGCGGCTATCAATGGCGCCTCGTACCTTTCCCGTCTATACACGGGCGCTTATGAGCTGGAGCTGGCGCCCTCCTGTGCGAAGGACAGCTCCGGTAAGCTCCATTCATCGGAGCGGGAGCATAGCGCGAGGCTCTGCCTTACTGAGGGTGGAAAATGCACGATTGACGGCTCCCTTCCTGTTAACCTTGAGAAAGGCTGTTCACGTGTGCCTACCTTTGCTTTATTGACAGTGGTACCTGGCTAGAGCCAGTTCGGCCGCATTTCGACGCTAGCTAACCGGTCAGGACACGGACGCCAATTTCTCCCCGACAGCACTGAGACACTTTCTCAGTCTAGCAGCGAGTAGTGAATACACTGACTGCAAATGGTAGCATCTCACGGAAAATCGCCTTTGATTTCTCAAGAATTCAAGTACTTCTGGATTCTATCGCTCCCGATCTTGACCTCCACGTGTCACGCGATGGTCCACTCTGGAGCCCTGAACACGGATCGTTCAAGTGTCGCTGGTAGCGGAGCAACGGCTGCGAGGATTGCGAACGCGGCAGGTGTTCCTGTCGTGACCGCGAATAGGAGATCGCTCTGCGGTGAGTTTCTTTCGTGCGAAATCTCACCTTTCACTTTGGCGAATGCTTGGCTCGTGAGTCGTTTTAAAACTGGAAAAACTGGAACTTCCGCCTGGTTCTACGTTGACGAGCGTTTGGCTTGTAGACGTTGCTTGATCGAATCCTGATTATCAGTTACAATCCCCCAGCAAACGCCTGATAAAGTCATCGTGTATTGGAGCTGCTTTCCCGTCGTTGTCTCGTTCTTGCAGATGACAACGCCACTGTCGCGTCTGACAGTAACGAGCATGACAGCACGAAGAACAACCCCTCTACTAACGCGTCAGAGTCCGATGGCGGCTCAAATCATACATCAACGTCCACCGGCAGTGATGCGGTTCGAAACCACAGGGACCAGGGGCATACGTCGAATGCGGCCGGATCGGGAAAAGGCACAAGCGAACGAGTTGACGGCGAGGGAAAGGGGGAGCTGGTGGGGAACGACGCTAATGCTGAGAAGAATAAGGACACGTGTCATGAGAGCAGTCGGCGTGACGGGCGCGAGGAGCGAAACGAGAAGGACAAAAGGAAGGAGAATAACGAGAAGAGTGATGGAGACGAGAGTGAAAAGAAGGAGACGAGAGGAAAGAGCGACAACGGGAACACACATGAGCAGAGTCACCGTGAACGCGAGGAGGCCGGCAATGTCGGAACGGCAGAAAAGGGAGGGAATGGGGACGAGATTAAAACCGCGGAACGTTCTCACGGCGGCGATTCGTCGAGGGCGGGAGAAGATCACACGAAGTGTAACGACTCTACCGAGGGGGAGTCGTCAACCAGCGGCAGCAGCGGAAGCGGGACTGATGTTTCGCTTGCGGATCGGCTGGGCGGCAGTGAGAAACTTCCGTCGTCGCTCGCTGCGTTACTAGCTGACGCGCTTATACGACTGACTGCGACTGCTCAAATCCAAATCAACGGCCAAGGTGAGAAAAATCTGGCAGTATGCGGGGCGCATGACATTGTGTCATACATCACCGGTGTTTGAGATTCGACCTTCTAATAGATTCCGTGGCTGTCTTGCAGGGCTGGACCTCGGACGCCGGGCCGGACGGCAAGGCTCGTCATCAAACCCCATTTCCAGGTCTGGGCATCCGGCTCGGAGAAGCGACCAAGTCCTCGCGAATCCGCTAATGGCGGTGAATCTGTACGTGTTCAACAAGCCGATTGAAATCTCGGCCGTCCATTCGTTCGAGAACAAGGGCAGCGTATCGCTGCAGACGCAGCTCGCTCTTACGACGGCGCTGGCGCGAGACAACGCCACGGTGACGCAAGACCACCCGCAATTTCAGGAGAGCGGGTTGGGGAACGCCCAGACTCAACATGGGTCTAACATGACGGTTCTAAGCAAAAACTCGACGGCAGGGAATTTAACGGCGTCGCTGGAAAGTGGAGGTGATGGTGACCCGCCGTTACCTGCGGCGGCACGTTTGCCGCCATCTGCGGTGTCTAGTTCTAGATCTCATGGTCGTGCGACAAATTCCTCGGCTCCATAAAAGCTTCCCCAACCTGCTCCGGTACAAGCTCGGCTAGAATTTTTGAAGGAATAAGAACGTGCGCTAGAAAACCTGTTAAATTAGATGCTGTGCTGTTAGAATCAAAAAATTATGTCGCTGATATTATTGTGTAACTAATTGAATCCTTCTCTGTGCATGACGTTTCTCGTTCTCTACATCGCGGTATTATCATACAGCGCTTCCTCCACCCACCTCTGTTTCATCCCCGACAGCACGCCAAGAATCTGACACATGTGGTTCCCCAGTCACCCATCGCACACCCTCTTGGTGAATCCTAACCGTCCACGTGGAGTCAGACATAATCAGTGGGATCAACGGGGGACAACTGATCCGAGCCGCATGTCAACCCATCACGAACATGAAGCATATCTCGAGGCGCCGCCCGTCAAGGCGCGCAGTCCGCCCCTTGCCGCGGCATCGCGTCGCGTTGCGAATTTTTCCAAACAAAACGAGACATCAAAGAAAGCGTGTTTCTGCGACTAGAAATAGTGGCTCGTTCAAACAGGGCCCCATTCCGTCACACCCCGCATTCCCCTTCAACGTTGAATCACTGAACCATATTCCAGCCGACCTCCGACCTTCCAACAAATGACTTCTCGCGTGAAGCACGCTCAAACAATACGACGAATTCCTAACGCTGCTGCCGGAGTCGTTCCGCTGCTGTTAGTGCTCGTCGCCACTGTTCCAGCGGGATCCGCGGGAGCTCGTTCGGAACCTTCTAATGGCCTCCCGTCGACCGCGCTGGGTGGACTGCGAGGCGACGTCGACAACTTGCAAGGACCTCTTAAGGACGTCGGACACGAACTGTTTGGCACGAGTGGTCTGATTGGCCAAGAAGTACTCATTAAAGCAGTCGATCAAGACGAAATCCTTCACGCTGCGAGCAGCGCAGCACAGGGTGGTCTAACTGGTGATGCTCGCGGCGCTGCAGTTAGGGATGCGCAGGGTGCTGCAATTACTGGGGATGCTCAGGGTTTTGCAACAGACGCAGCGCCTCTTGATGCTGAACAGCATCGTGTCGCAAGCAGCGCAGCACTGGGTGCTGCAAGTGATCACCGAGAGCTTGCTGAGGCCCACGAGCTCTTGGGTGACCCGCCTAAGGTCCACGCTGGCAGCAGCCCAGTCAACGTCAGCAGGAGCAACCGGAGGAAGCTAGCGGTGGTGGCAGCGGTGGATGAGGAGACGCGGAAGGGCATGGAGGCATGGATGCAGGACGAGGTGAAACGCGCTGTGAGCCGTGGCTTGAAGCAGCTCCGGCAGAAGCTTCTGGAAGATGTGGACAAGCGAGGTGAGTTTTGAGACGCTGTGGACAAGCAAGGTGAAATTATGATTGGATAATATCTCTGATGCTGATATTTGGGCTTTTTTTCATTCCATACCTTTAAGCAGGCACTCCTGAATCGCAAATCCTGTTCATGAACCCTATCTCCCTGATGCTCAGGTCATGAAGTCTGATAGACGTTACTCTTTTTTAGGCGCCTCAAAAGTCATCCCCACCTCCCTCTTCCCACACTCCGCCCTCGTCACATATTTCCCTCGTGTGGTCTACAGTGCGCAAGCTGCAGCAAGGGAGCCATTGTGGAGGGAAGAAGAGAAGCGGCTTAAGAGGGAAAGGGGGCAGCAACTGCAAAAAAAGTTCCAAGTGTGGGAAATCCCACAAGAGCAAGAAATCGAAGGAGCACTACAGTGATTCTTGGCTATGGAACCCTTCGTTACTGTCACACAAGCCGTTCCCAAGCAGCATTAACATACGGTCATACGTGTTTCAAGGCCCGGTGGAAATCTCAGGAATTCACGAGCTAAACAACAGTGGGACAATCACCAGGCAGACCCAGATTGCAATCACCAAAGCAACGGCTAAGGACAATGGTACAGTGAGTCAGAACGAGCCACAGTCACAGCGGAGCGCACATGGTGGTGGTGGTATGGAGGGTCACAGTATGGGGAGTGGTGGCAGCAGCAGTAGCCAATCAAAGGAGAGGATGACTGGTGGGAAGCATGGTGATGAGAAGAGTCATTACCAGGGTGAGCATGGCGAGGGGGGTGGTGGAGGGGAGAAGCATGGGAAAGTTGGGGAGGTGAAGGAGATTGTGGGAGAGGTGAAGAATCATGGGCTTGTTGGTGGTGTGGGAGCTATTGCTGATGATGATGTGAGTGGCTGTGAGAGCGGGAGCTGTACAGTGTCGTGTGGTGGTGACTGTGGTGGTGATGGGGGAGGTGGTAACCGTTACAATAATGTCAGCATCGATAATAACGGCAGTGGGTATATCAATGAGAGCACCTACAATAATGGTAACAGGTACAGTAATGTCAGCATAGATAACAGCCGCAACGGGTATGTTAATGGCAGCATCGACAATAGTGGCAACAGGTACAATAATGTTAGCGTTTCTGGTGACGACATCTACAGTAATGTTACCATTTCTGGTAACAATAGCTACAGAAATGCCAGCATATACAGTGGCAACAACAGCAGTGGTTACAACAACACCAGTGGTAGCTACTATGGGGACAATGCAGGGGCAACTGTTGCACTAGAGGCTGGAATGGGGGGGTGATGTGATTACGGTAGTCTGATGAAATGTACAGTAATAAAGGCTGTAACAATGCCTCCTTTACAGTAAATATTCGTTTCTTTCTGTTTGTACTGCATGTGTACATAGACACAAACTTGCCTGCATGATTTGGCTTAGCTCACATAGACACAAACGATTGTACACTAGGAGTTTATTACACACTTCACAATGAATAGAAACTTAACCGTCTCATTGACGCGGCCAACCTAGCTGTGAAGCACGGTACATGAGTTTGCTGCTGCGGCTGCTACGGTAACCCTGAAATGAGGCAAGGGGGGCAGCAGCAGCTGAATAAGGCCCTATTGAGGCAATTGAACCAGCTGCAAGCTACACCGGGTTGAGGTCAAGAAAGGCTGTTGAGTGGTCAGCTGCACTAAGAATTAAATACGACAGTATGCGTCTTTATGCTTGCCAAGGAAGGAGCTACACTGGCTTGAGGTCAAGGAAGGCAGCTAGCTCTGAAACGAGGCGAGGGGGCCAGCGGCGGTACTCGCTCACCCACTCGCGATCGCGATAACGCCCATCCTGATGGGAGGATGGGGGAGGGAAGTGGAGGGAGGAGGTGGGGAGAAGAGCGTTGGGGGGAGACAGATGGAGCCTGGAAGGCAGGGAGGAGATGCCGGGAGGACAGACAGGAGGGCAGCGGCGATACCAGCATACCCACTCGCGGTCGCGTTTGCGCCCGTCCTGGTGGGAGTATGGGGAAGGGGATGGTTGGGATGAGAAGGATGGAGCTTGGAAGTTGGAAGGCAGAGCAGACAGGTACGGAGTTCATGCAGGGAAGAGAGTCAGGGGAGACTGGCAGGGAACAGAGGCAGGAGAAGAGAGTCGATTTTCAGTATCCCCCTCTCGATAATGACAAGCTTGGCATGAGGGAAGGGAGTTAGAGAGGAGCGGAGTGAGGTAACAAGGAGAGAAGCATTAGGTAGTGCCATGGTTGCAGAAAAATAGCAGAGAAATACAAACTTCAGGGTAGGGGAAAGAAAGGATGAACAGATGTGCGGAATGAGAATAGAGAGGGTGAAAAGAACAGAACAGAATAGAGAGCTCACGTCGACTCTGCTCCAGGCGTTCTCAGCTTCGGCTCTCAGTCCCGCTGCGTAGAGTGCCACTGCCAGTGCTGCTCGCATGTCGGGGAACTGCAGAGGTGCAGAGGTGCAGGGGAGCGGAAGTAAAGATGAGAACATGGCAGTGTTCACGCCCTGCAGGGTGGGAAAGAGAGCTCGCGGTGATTCGAAGTGATCCATGGCAGCACTGCTCAGATGGCAGTACCACTCACTCACCCCATGCATCATCATGCATGAATACATATGAGGTGAGTGACAATGCAGCACCACTCACCCCATGCATCATGCATACATACACACACATGTCGCTATTACTCCGCGCCGTCACTCACCTCAGGGTACTTTCGGAGAAGGTTCCTCATCTGTTTGATAGCAGCGTTGTCGTTTCCCACCTCGTACAATGCCTGGAGAGGGGACAAGGGACAAGGGTGGGGGTGGGGGGGTGAGTTGGTTTTTGAGAAGAGAGGGGACAAGGGACAAGGGTGGGGGTGGGGGGGTGAGGAGGAGTGACAATCACGGAATGAGGAGCCACGTAAGACAGGTGGGAGGGTGGGCACTTGTGAGATTTCGTAAGGGTGGGGGCGAGGAGTGAGGGGTGAGGGGTGGGGGATGTGCGGCGAGGGTTGAGAGGTGATAAGTGAGGGGCGCGGGAAATGGAGTGGATGAGGGGTGAAGAAGAAGACTTTTGAGGCGACTCAAAAGTCACCTTGAGGGGCGGGAGATGTGCGGCGAGGGTTGAGAGGTGGTAAGTGAGGGGCACGGGAAATGGATGAGGGGTGAAGAAGAATAGAGGAGGAGGGGGGAGAAGAAGAGAGGGTTGGGGGGTGGGGGGAGGTGGTTTTAGAGGGGTAAAGATGGGGGATAAAGATGGGGGATTCAATTGTGCTAAATACCCAGAGTAAACTTAGAAGCAGCAAGGAACAAGCTCGAAAACCTGGAGTCCAGACTCACGAGAGCGTAATTGGCAGCAGCAAAGGAGAAGACCGGAGCCAACATGCTGGCCCGCCTGTAGCTCTCCACTGCATCCCCCCACGCCCCCACACCTGCCTGCATGACAGGGACAGTGAAGTAGACGAAGGAAGAAGGGGGGGAGAAAGGGTTGGAATAGACAACCCCATTGACTTTATTGACACCATTGACCCCACTGAACCCATTATCCCCCACCTCAGCAGCAGCACCCCCACCTGTGCGTTGCATTCCCGAGGTTGTTCCACGCTGCAGGGTCGTTGGGCGCCACTGCCAGCACTGCCATGCACGTGCCCCTCCAATGACCTTGTTGACCCACATTGGCCCCGTTGGCCCCGCCCAATCATCCAACCCATGCTCACCATCTCATCACCCGCACCTGTGCGTTGTCCAGGTTGTCCCAAGGGTCACACCCTGACTCATATTCGAAGGGCTGCAGCCACTGCAGCCACTGCAGCCACTGCAGCCTTTCGAATACGAGTCAGGGTCATCCAACTCGTGCTCACCATCTCAGCACCCGCACCTGTGCGTTGTCCAGGTTGTCCCAAGGGTCACCCTGACTCAAATTCGAAGGGCTGCAGCCACTGCAGCCACTGCAGCCACTGCAGCCACTGCAGCCACTGCAGCCACTGCAGCCGCTGCAGCCACTGCAGCCACTGCAGCCACTGCAGCCTTTCGAATATGAGTCAGGGTCATCCAACTCGTGCTCACCATCTCAGCACCCGCACCTGTGCGTTGCCCAGGTTGTTCCAAGCAGCAGGGTCGTTGGGCGCCACTGCCATCTCTGCCACGCATGTGCCCCATTAATTAGATCCATTGACTTGCATTGACTCCGTTGACCCCATCATCCCCCACCTGTGCGTTTCCCAGGTTGTTCCACGCTGCAGGGTCGTTAGGCGCTACTGCCAGCACGGCAGAGTAATCAGCCGCAGCTTCCTGGAAGCGCCCCAGCGACTCCAGCACCACGCCCCGGTTGAGGACTGGGTCAACTGCATAGCTGATGGCGAAGCGGGGTGTGCAGATGGGAGAAGGGGTGAGAGGAAGACAGGAGGGGTGAGGAGATGACAGGAGGGGTGAGAGGAAGACGGCATGGAAGAACTGTGCATTAACAGGACCACACCTCGGTTTCGGACTGAGTCAACTGCATTGCTGATAGCGAAGCGGGGTGTGCAGAGAGGGATGGGAAGGGTGTTGACCAGAGGATGGGTCAGACGATGGGAAGGGCGGGCAGTGGATGGATGGAGGGGGTGAGACGCGGAGAGATTCGAGGTGCTAATAGGGCCTCGCCTCGGTTGCAGACTGGGCCGACTGCATAGCTGATGTGAGGGGTGCGCTGAGGGGAGGAGTGGTCAGTGGAGGGTTGACAGGAGGATGGGATGGAAGAAATGGGCACAGCATAGATCAGCTCAGCAGAGAGCAGCAGTGGAGCAAGCACACCAGGCGAGGCCAACGGCAGCATCGCAATGCTTCTCTTCCAGCAGAGATCAGCAGAGCAGCGCGCTGGCTTTGTTCGTCTTGTTCTTTTCCTGCCTGCACCTCGCGTTGGGTGGTGATTGATTTGCCTTTACAATTAGTACGTACGGAGCGTAGGCGATGGCAGCGTTGTAGTCCCCTAGAGCCTCCACCAGTCTTCCCTGTCTCGACCGTGCGTTGCCTCGGTTGCCCAGCGCTCTCGATGCAATGTCTGGCACCCATTCGGCATTGCCTGCCCGCTCGCACGATTCGATCACCACCGTCCATAGCGCCTCCTCCTCCTCCACCTGCCAGCACGCACAATCTGGACCGTTGATAAGTCGACGGTGTAGAGGTGGCGCACATATAGTCACAGCTATGCACAGTGGAAGGAGTGAGGGCGCATCCAAAAGTATACAGGTGGTCTACTTATAGTCAAGAGGAAGGAACAATGGAAACAGTAAGACAGGTTTGAAGGTGTTCTACAGGGATCAATGGTGTGAAGGTGGTCTTCATACAGTCACAGGGACGGGACGTACAGTGGAAGCAGTGAGGGCGCGTTCAAAGTTGGTGGCAGCAGCCCGGAGCTTCTCATCGGTGGGGTCAAACGTGCCTCTGGGTGCAGCAGCTAGATCGATCCTCGCTGGAGGAACAGGCCCTCCCGGATTCCCTGCAAATGCTGACGTGGCTGCTGACGTGGATGCTGACGTGGATGCGGATGCGGATGCTGACGCGGAAAATGACACGGAAAGCGACATGGATCCTGAGGCAGAAGCAGAGGCCGAGCTGGACGCTTCGGTTCCAAATCCGAAAAGTTCAAATGCCCGGGCGTGACTGAAACGAGAGGCTGCATCCGGCAGGAGGAACGGGGCTAGACCCCACAATCCAGAAGCAGCTCCGAGTAACAGCAGCTTCCTCCGTCCCCCGATATTACCACTCTCATTTGTAACAGCGTCTGAAGCGGATTCCGATGCGAGCCCTACACCCTCAGACTGGGGATTTGATTCCGAGGACGAACGGTTAGCTGCGGAATGAGTCATTCTTAGACAATCGTGGCCGTTCGATCCCGTGTTCGCCAGGTTCGCGTCCGCTGGCCCATCCATGCGATCCTCTCTTCTCGCTCTCGTTATAAAACGCCTCGATCGTCGTACTGGTAAGTGAGTTGCCTGTCCTAACCTTCCTTGCTGGTGAACCGCCGCCGACGGCACCATCGTTATTCCTGAAGGGCAGGCTTGACTCTTGCTGAAGCTACTGACTCTATTGCTGATGCGTGACTCGGACGAGACATTGACTGGCGGCAGTCGAGCCGCGTTGACCGCCATCGTTCCAGTCAGCGAGAAACTGGCAGTAAGCATATACTTCCAATCGAGTTCACCTAAATTCACTGCTGCCACTGCGAAGTTCGTAAGACTAAATCACGATCACGGAAATATGAAAGAGAGCAGAGCTGTGAGCTAAACGGCGTGCGTGTGCGTCCACAAGGGTGCGTTACGCTTGGAGGAGTTTCATTTAGGGTGACGTCAGGTTGTACAACTTTTTGCACGCTCTCTGCGATCAACTTAGTTTCGTCGCGGTGCAAAACGGTGATGCTTATAAACCGCTTTACACCGTGTGGAACCGTCCTGAGCCACGATGCAAGAATTGTGTGTGTGTGAGAATTGTACAGCCTGACGTCGCCCTTAGTTGCATGCGTATGGGTTTGAAGAGGTTGAATACGATGATTTGCATTCTACAGCGGTACGCTGGATCCACCGCTTTGAACCGCGACATACCAGCCTGGACAGTGATACATGAGTTGTAAACAATGTAAGGGTGACACGCTGTGGGCTTATCGCCAAAGCGGCGTCTTGTGGGTCAGAACGCTCCACGATGTAGTTCTGATTTCCCACAGGAAAGCATAAATAATTTCCGTATGCAGGGCAGGCCTACACCATGTCCACACTGATTAATATCTAGTCCTATTTCTGAATAGTTGGGTTATTTGGAAAAAACAGCAACAGTTGCTCGAAGTACAAGCTGTGAGCGTAAATTTCTGAAGTTTTGAATACGGCTGTGCTAGTAAGGAAATAAAATGGAATATTACATATGTAAATACATAGAGAATACGTAGTGTTTAAAGCATGTTACATGACTTTATGTATATATTTTATGTTTTGAACTGATTTATGGCTTAAGATTCTGCAAAATCCGGAATGAGCTTTTTTTACATTTGTGCACTTTTCCTGTCACTCTAATTTTTCATTAGCGGGTGTTCTAAGAGTGTACACATGAGGCAAAGGCATTGTTCAATAGCGGGTATTTTGAAAGTGGTGCAACTAAGGCGGACTACTGTTTGAAAATTGTCGTTATCGGCGAGTGCGCCACCGAGACTTTACTCCAGGTATGACCGATGGCTGTGTCATTTCTAGGGGTTTCTTCAATATCGTGGCCGTTCGTCAGCCTTCAAACGGCCAAGATGAGTAGAACAAACAGGTTCGGAAATTGGGTTCGACAACGCTTACCCAGCGCCTTGTGGTTCGGCAAGGGAAGGTGTTGAGAACTGTACAGCGTTTTGATGAAACCCCGCTCCCGCTACTACAAGGGAAGAATCGAGCAGCTTGATACAGGCATGAATGTTTTCCTGAAAGGGCAGTTACAATACAACACACTGCCCAGTTCATGCAGCATGTCACTTGTGCGCTTCGACAACCTCGACTTCAAAAGCAAAAATTGCTGGTGCCCCACAACGACTGGTCTTTCCTTCCACCCGCCCTGTCTCGTCACTCTGCTCCCCCTGCCGCCCCGTTTTCCCATGTCCCCCATTTTCCGTCTTGCTAATCACCTGCACAGAAATCCTCGAACCGGCTTGCATCCTGCAGTAACGCGCATTTCGGTGTTTCTCAAAATTCTTCCAAATTGCATCTCATTCCCCGCCAGCCCCCAATCACACCCTTTTGCGCGCCCCAGATTTTCTAAATGGCGGAACAGCCGCCACCCGCCACGTCACACAACGCAACAACCTCACCTTGGTTCACCAGACCCTGGTGCACTGCGGAAAGAACGAGCAAGAAGAACCAGCCAGCCCCCAACTGAGCCTCGATCCACCACCAGATTTGGGGGTTCACCTGGGTAAACACCGCCACCTTCTGCTGGACCAAATCGCACATTCCAGGAGGGAAGCCCTGCCAAATACATCGGACCCCAGGGTTAGACTCCATACCGAACCAAACCAGACCAGACCGAGCATCAGCTTTGCCCTACCCTGTTCTTCTTTGGCGGCTGTATGCGAGTGAACAGTAGGCAGCGAGTACATTTGCTAGGGCTCAAAATTAGTCCCAAAGATCTGCATGTGAGCCAGACTAGAAAGATATGCCTACATGGAGTAGCGTTCGAGCTAATTACGTTTCCTTCACCGTCATATGTCGCTCTGAGATAGTGTCTAAGTTTTAGAATTCATTGATTCCGTTTGTTAGGCTAGATTGTCGGAAACCTCCTGCTTTGGGTTAGATTTGACTTGGCATCTCCTCTCCTGCTGATGGAGTTTCCACGGCCGGGTGAGCGTTCATTCCGTCGCTCGAAGTGCGAGATGCAATTTCTGGCCACGTCGTGCTGCTCGCACGCCACGTCGCATCCGTTTCTTCTCCAAAAATCCTCCCTTTTTTCGTTTGTCCTTACATTATTCATCCCCCCCTCTCTTTCTATCGACCCAATGTGTCACGTGTCAGCTCGGCCGGTCATTCTGGCCATTCTCCTCTTGTCGCTGGCCGCGCATTCGCACACGCAGACGACTTACGACGAGTTCCTGGACAAAATCGAGAGCGTTCTTAACGGGTCCACGCCTGTCGGCAAGGTTGATTGTAAGTGCTTGTAGCGAATGATGCAAGCCACCATTCCAAATGATGTTTGTTTTCTTCTTGGTCCGTCGAATTTCTCCGCTTTCAACGAACTGCGCATGTATCCCCTCGTCTCGTGCGCTCTCCGCTTTCTCGCTACCCCCCCCCCCCCCCCCTCTCCCCCTCCTTCCAACCTCCCCAACCACCCCGCCTTTTTCTTTCCGCCCACCCCCTCCTCCCCCTTCCCCCACCCCTCCTCCTTCTCCACCCTTTCCGCCCTGCAGCCATCCTGTTCACGCAGGCCAATCGGTACAACCTGGCTCGCAGCAATAAAGCCCGCGCCAAATCCGCCTCGCAAGGCGGCGGCAAATCCGTCTCCCACAGATCTCCCTTCCGCAGTAACTCGCTCCGCAGCTCGGTCGCGTCGGACCCTGGCGTCGACAGTAGCAGCGGCAATACCGGGGGCAGTGTCAGCGGCAGTAGCGGCAGCAGCTTCGGCTTGATCTCGCGTTTTTTTACTAGTTTCTTCAGCGTCCGCTCCAGCGCGACAACATCTGGGTTTACTAAACCGGCTCCGCCGCTGTCCACCTTCCAAAATGGCGTGAAATGGCTGAGCAGCAGCGCGGCAGCTAGCAAATCCAACCGTGCTAAGCTAAACTTTTTACTTAAGCTGCTGGGACAGCCAAGCCTCAACGAGGCTCTGGGGGATAAAAAATCCGCTTTTTTCATACCCGCGGATGCGAATGTTACGTTGGAGGCGGAAGGTGTTACAAATCTTACTGCTGCGCAAGCTACAGTGCCCAACACTGTACCGACGACACCGGCGCCAGTTTCCGGGCAGAGTTACGGTCAGAGTTATGCGATGATGAGCTCTGGCACGGTCGGGGTGCTGCACGACGATGACGACGATGAGAGGAGAAGTCGCGGGGGGCGGCAGTATCGCATCGAATGCCACGATGATGAAGAGGACGACGACGAGGAGGAATGCATAGAGCCGGTTGGGAAAGTGCGAATCATCAAATACACGTGAGTGCGCAGATTAATATATGATAGCATAGGTGTAGTTAATCATCATAACCCCCCAAACTAACTGCATATCGAAATTGTTCATCTCCTCACCCAACCATATGTGCAGCTCCCCGGAGAACATCTCTTATGTGCTACTCCGAGCTAAGAGCGAGTGCTTGCCTGACGTGCGCAAGGTGCAGATCCGCAATGCTCCTTATGGAAAAACTGGGAGTCTTGTTTTGGAGATTCCAGGTTCGTGGCGGCTTGTGGATGACGATGAGATTGAGCTGGTTAAGCACACCTTCATCGCCAATGCGAGCAGCGTGATAGTTGCAAATGGGCAGACTCTGGAAAAGGCGGTTATTTCCATGACTAAGGCGCCGTGGAACTACTACGTCATTTTCACCACAGGAAGCAAGAAGAATGGGGCAATAAGGGGCCAGCTCTGGAAGCCGTTTTGCCCTTGGTGTGGGAACTTCACTTTCACAGGAACCTAGGGTCGAGAGGATCATGTGTTTTGTCGAATCCATGGTGGTGCATTACTGAGGTCTGGCTTGCGGTGATATGTGAAGTCATTTTCACATATCAGTTAAGCTTGTAGTAATAAGTGGCCACTGTCTTGGTGGCTACTGCTAAGGCTGAGTAGATTTTGGGGATGTCAGACATGTAAGGTTGTGCAGGCATGTTCAATGATTATGAAATAACAAGGAACAAGAAGGTCTGTCTGTGTTGTGCATGTGTAAGGAATTTTCTCGATCTTCCTTAGAGCGCCCTGCAACATCGCGTACAGCAGCAGGCGTTGTTCGCCCGTTACTGCTAACGGGGCTTCTCCGACTTCGCGCGCACTGTTTCACCGAACCTCGCACTGCTGGCCTGGCCGTATCGGCCTACGCTTCGGGACAAGCCCAAACCTCGCTTCCAGCATAGCACTAGCTAGCTCGCACGCACCGCGTTACCGTTTGCATGTTTCACATATAAATGTTCGCTCATGCCTTCGCTCACATTCTGTACTCGTTTGACACCTTCGGGCGTATCCAGGTTCGGGTCATCAGCACTGTTCCGGGCATCCACAATGTGCGGATGCCCCGAACTACACAAAACACCACTTTGGGCCATCTAACATCGTGCGACCCACAAAAAGGCGCGTTTGTTGTCCCGCCAAAAAAGGCATCGCCAAATGTTGCTTCAACCAATAGGCCCTCCCGCCTTCAAGCCATGCGATCCCTTTCACCCGGTTGCGTGACAAACACCCCATCACCCCACCCGTCTAAATTCCCAACGGTAAAAAGAACATTTGGATCTGCGCGCCTTCGAAAACCATCCCAACCACACAGCCTCACCCAAGGGTTTCACAAAACGGCAGAAACAGAAATTGAGGATGAAGTAGAACTAGATCTCGACTTGAGAATAGCCTGCACACCACCCCGTTATCTCCGTGCGTGAGCCACCCCATAGAACCAGGATGCCTCCGCGACGAAGCTCACACGGCAAGGGAAAGGAGAAGGTTAGCGATGATGAGGCCCAGGCTGACCCCCCCTACGTCGCATGGATGAAAGAGCAGCAAAAGCAGGGGAAGCCGTCCCCATCTATCAAGTGTATGGCTAAGGCCGTACGCGAAACTGCGGGTGCCAGCAGTAGCCGAAGTTCTCGGCATGACTATCCCGACACAGGCGCCGATACTGACGTCTCTGATGACGATCTCGAGGAGATCGTCTCGGAGTCGGATAGCGATGCCGACTCAGCCGATTACAAACGCGGCTGTGAAGAGGACGAGGAAGATACTGATGGAGGCGACGACGGAAGCGGTGATGAGCGCAGCACACGCCCGTCGAAGAAGGAGCAGCGGGCTCCTGCGTCCCGCAACAAGCGCGTGTGGTCGGACGCCGAGTTGACGTCCCTGGCGGGCGCTCATTGGAACACTAAAGATGACCTGAAGGCTATGCAGGGCAAGCAGGGGAGCCAGTACTGGAGGAAGCTCCGCGCCCACATGCTTGAGAAGGACAAAAATTGGGACCGCGATGAGGGACAGATGTCCAACGCCTGGAAACGCCTCGAGAAGAAGTACCTGAAAACGAAGCGGGGGGAGGGAGAGAGCGGAGGGAAAGCAATAAAGAAAAAACCGTGGTGGGAATACGTCTACCACCTAAAAAAGCACTCGGCGAAGGCCAAGGCGCACGCCCTCGACGGTGGAGGCGCAGCGAACGTCAACGTCCAAGCGTACGCCCGGTGCCCGGCTGCACCGACCGGGAAACTTCCGCGCCTCCATCGGAGGGCCATGGGCGCTCTAACCGCCGTCAGGCGACCACACCAGGTGTATACTCCCCATTCGTAAGAGTGAGCATGAAGTGCTTTGCTTCAGGTCCAGCTTTGTGTTTGCCGCTGATATCACCCTTCCAGCGATTGTGGTTCATCGTTAGACGTGTGAGCATGACCAACAGGTAGATGTTTCAAATATCCATAAAGTTAACGAAGAAACAAAAACCGTATCCGCCTTATTGACATACACCCCCCCTACACCCTCCACTACAGATGCCGGGGTGACTCCACCCCCTAAACGACGGCGGATTGAGGAGACTGCCACCATGGCGGCCGCAAAGATGGTGAGCGAGGCCATCAACTCCACCAATGCGACGGTGGTGCGACAGTTGCAAGACTCCACCCAGCTCCTTGTCGCCGCCATGAACATGGCGGCGCTCCAGGCTGGCTTTCGACTGCAGATAGCCAGCCCGCCAGCGCCAATCGCGGCACCTTCGAATACCCCGACTCCAGCCCATCCGGAAGTTGCGGGCGACGAGAACATGGGAGGGTCCGAGGATGTCGAGGAGCATGCGGAGCCTTAGCGCGCCGACGTCCGCACACGGTGACGCCTGAGGTAAGCGCGATGGATGTGCTTGCCGAAGTGATGCCTGCGCGCGCAGATCGGCCAGCGAAGGGTTGTCGAGGCTCTGCCAGTCGTACTTGTCCATGGCGCTTCTTGTCCACCAGCCGTTAGGGAGTCCGGCCTAGATAAAGCGGCGCGGATTGTGCGTTTTCATGCGCGGCGTGCTAACGACCTGCAACATGTTGTGCAGGATGATGATGCAGGCCGTCCCAGCGCATACACGCCAGAGCTTGCTCTCGTTCCTGCGCGCGAAGAGCCGCCAGCGTCCCTTCAACGCGCCGATGGTGCGCTCGACGACCATGCGGGTAGCAGACTGCACGTAGTTCATCAGGAGACGGTGTGGGGCGTGAAGGGGGGTGAGCATGTGAGGCTTCAGCGGGTATGCCGCATCTCCTTCAAGCTGATAGGGGGCGATTTCCCCACTCTCTAGCCTGCCCTGCAAATCAGATGTTGAGAAAACGCCTTGATCATGCATTGAACCAAGATTGCCCACATTGTACTCCCATATGACTCCCTTTGAATCGCATGTCACTTGAAGTTGGACACTGTAAACCTGCTTCCGGTTGTAGTAGTCACCACGGTGAGCCTCCATGCCACGTAGCTCGATGTGGGTCCCGTCAATCGCCCCAATCACGTTGGGAACTCCCTTGATAGCACGGAAGTGAAAAGCCATCTCCTCCCTCACGTCCTCCGTAGGAAACTGCACCCAGTCACGCTTGAACTTGCGGGGAAACCATACCAAGAAGGCATCGACGATACGGTGGATGAGTCCTTTGGGCAATCCAAACAAGAGGCCCAAGTCGTGGAACGTCATGGCGCTGGCAAAATACTTGATGGGGATAAGACAACACAGTGACAAGGGAACCTCATTCACTTCCACAAAACGCGACATGGGGTAGGCCATTCCCTCGACGATGAGGTCGAGGACTTCGCGGGTAATACGGAAGGTATCTTCAAACTCTTCGTCGAACATCGCGGGGATCTCCTCCACCCATTCCGCCACACGAGCCTCGCGACGCCATTTACGCTTCTCCCGGCGCTCGGTTGTACGGTGGAGGCGTTCGGCATCTTCAGCCTTAGCCATGGGTAGGATGGTGGTTATCCACTCTAGAGCCGCAAGAGAGACTACACGCTGCCAGGTGTTAAGAAGCACCTCATGCCACAGGAGCAAGGCCACACAAAGTACGAGTACCTGACCTGTGAGCATGGTTTAAGGACTCTTAGGAGGCGTAAAGTGGTAGCTCATCCTATAAACGGGAGCTGGTTCACGACCGAGCATAATGCGGGGCGCGTTGGGAGTCGCGCTGGTTGCAAGGCGGCTAGCTATGGTCAAGCTTGTGCTTGTAGATATGGCTGTCGGGCCGTATTTTCAACTGGGTTTGAACATTTGGATTGTATCGGTGTTCATGGTCAAGTGGCGTTTACAGAATTGTGCTATACGTAGTGATGGTGTTGGTGAAATTGCCTGGCGTGAATGCTCAAGGACGTCCGTCAAAAGAGGGGGACCCAACATGGGGTCGCACTTGTGTCTGATTGGTGGGGGAAACATTGGGCGTGACGGTTGCATGCAGGTTGCAGGATGACCCGAAGTTCGAGCCGCGCGCGGTTCTGGTGTTGAGTTCGGGGCATCCGTGATTTGCGGATGCCCCAAACAGTTGAATGAACAGTGCTGATGACCCGAAGTTGGATACGCCCTTAGTGCAATTCTCGCTACTTCGATTCATTGCACCCGTAACAGCATGAGTGGTGAGATGGACTCGCCAAGTCCGCGACTATAGAACCTCACCGCAATACACCGCAAATAACCTCTTTTCTGCAAGCTGCGAATTGTGTTCCGCCGACTTGCGCCTCGGGATCATGAATCCACAGATTTTTCTCGGACTCCAGCCAGGGATGAGGGGGGAGTCTTGGTCGTAAGGTACTTGATGTCAAAATTGGTTCCACATTCACGCTGCCACCTCAGCCTCCCGAGCGAGAGGGGGCCTGTTACCCAATCAGCCTCCCGAGTCACATCGCGGCGTGCCGCCGAGCCTCTCAGAAAGCCTCCCCTCAAAACCCCCCCGACCAAACCACTCCACCCCGCACCCACACATTTTCCCTCCAGCCAGTCCCTCCCCTCATCCCTCGTTGGTTTGGATATGCCAGACAAATGCCCTGGGTCATGATGACATCACTGATACCCTCTACTCGAAGACGGTTACTTGCTCACCCTACCGCTTTGAAACGTTTTGAACCGTCTGAAATGTAAATAATACCTTTAGCCGTCTCGCTTGGGCAGCCCGAGGGGCACAACCTTCTGCCCATCCGTGGATCACATCCAGCCAACACTTGCATTCTGTTGCACTGCAATCCATCGCTGCAGATGGTGGCGCTGCGGTTACATTGGCAATCGAAGGGCTGTGGTTTCGTTTGTCAAACGAGGCTGGCTGCAGCAGCAGCTGTGGGCCACTCACATGGCCGTGCCGCCGCCCAACTGGCGAAGCGTTACAGTCACATGCCGCCTCTCCGCTCGCTGTAATCCCTCTCCTCAAGGTCTAACCCGTGAAGTGTGAGTGGCGGCGAACCGACCTTCCATTCCATCCTGTCTCGTCCTCCCCTTCCTCCTCCCCCCTTCCGTGTCCACGCTTTTCACCACCCAAGGAAAATGTTGAGCTGGAAGTGCCTACCCAATCTCAAGAACTTGTGAAGCCTGGCCTAAAAAATGTCGAATGTTTCACTAATCATGTCTGTTCAAATGTCAACGTTAACTATTTTCTTCATGTAGGACTTCCGCGACAAGCCCAAACTTCAGAAGCAGCAAACATTGTGGCGTAATAAGTCAGTAGCCGAAGAGCTTAGTCATGAGAAGTACGGTGCTTCATTGTTGTACGTCCTTTCCCAAAACCTTGCTTCTAAATCCCTTAATTTGACCTAGTCGCTGCCATAATCCTAGAGTATTTTATTTCGACTTCGCACCGCATCGACTTCGCTCATCGCACCGAACAGGGCCCCGCACCGCACCGCGTCCCTCCCTTTACACTAATACACGACCGACACTCTTTCCTCCAGCCGTACCATCTCCCTCCGACGCTCGCCCATGGGATCGCCGTGCTTAGCCCGGTCGGTCCTCCTGGCCGTCCTCCTCTTGTCGCTGGCTGCGCATTCACACACGCAGACAACGTACGACTCATTTCTCGACCAAATCGAGAGCGTTTTGAACGGGTCCACGCCCCTCGGCAAGATTGACTGTAAGCGCTTACAGGAGCCCTCAAACTGACGCAATCATCCGTTCATCCGTGATTTGTATTTTTCAGGAGTTTATTGTGCACAATTGGCCCCATATCCACTTTCAAGAGGTTTTTTTTTTTTTTTTTTTTTTTTTTTTGCCATCTACTGGGTCCAGGTCCTCTTCCCCTCTTCCCTTCCCTCGTCCACCCCGCGTCTTCCCTCTTGAACCTTTTTGACCCACCATGTTCCCTCGCTTTTCCCTCCGCCCTGCAGCCATCTTGTTCACGCAGGCAAATCAGTACAACTTGTACCTCAGCAATAAAGCCGGCGCCAATTCCGCCGCCTCCTCCTCCGCTTTCCGGAGCGCCTCCGTCTCTAGCACCACGGGAGATTCGGGCGGCACTGGCGGTACTGGTGGTACTGGCGGCACTGGTGGCGGCACTGGCGGCGGCACTGGCGGCGGCAGTGGCGGTGGCAGTGGCGGGGGAAGTGGCGGGGGCAGCGGCAGCAACCTAGGCCCGTTCTTACGCTTCATCCTGTCGCTCATCCGCTCTGTATCCAAATCAAAGACGCCCTCTCTCACCCTCCTTCAGCAGAGCGTGCAATGGCTCAGCACCAACGCGACCGTGATAAAATCAAATCTCGCGAAGCTGAACTCGATCCTCAAGCTGCTCCGCCAGCCGAGCCTCGCGAAAGCGCTGGGGTCCATGAGCCGCGCGTTCTTCGTTTCGCCCGGCGCAAAGGTCGCGCTGGAAGCGGAGGGAATCACTCAGCTGGCGGCTGCGCAGACCGCCGTGCCAGAGACGGTGCCAAAACCCGCAGATCCCGTTGCAGATCCGAACGTGAGCCAAAGTAACGGTCAGGTTTCTACCACGGGTTATGCGGTGCAGAGTTACGGTGCTGTTACTGTGCAAAGCGACGATGGTGAAGAGGGCGATGGGAGGCCGCGAGGTGGGAGGCAGTACCGGATTGAGAGTGACGATGATGACCATGAGGACGATGACGAGGATGAATGCGTGGAGCCGACAGGGCGAGTGCGGATAATCAAGTACACGTGAGTGCACATTTACAATCATATTCGTTTCTGAGCATCCAATGATGTTTGCATAGGAGTAAGGTTATTTCAATGTGGTCACTCAAGTTTATCTAAGGTAAATTGAGATTAGCACCACATTCTTTGTTTCTCATCTCATCCAACTTTTCCTCCTATCAACCCTTTGATCCGCAACCACCGCCACCCAATCATGCAGCTCCCCTGAAAACGTCTCCTATGTGATCCTCCGAGCTAAGAGCGAGTGCCTTGCCGATGTGAGAAAGGTGCAGATCCGCAACGCGCCTTACGGGAAAACGGGGAAGCTTGTAATGGAGATCCCGGGTTCGTGGAGGCTTTGGGAGGAGGATGAAATCGAGCTGGTTAAGCACACCTTCATTGCCAATGCGAGCAGTGTGACTGTATCAAATGGGCAGACTCTGGAGAAGGCAATCATATCCATGACTCAGGCACCGTGGAACTATTATGCTATTTTCACCACAAAGAGCAAGCCAAAAGGGGCAATGAGGGGCCAGTTTTGGAAGCCCTTTTGCCCTTGGTGCGCTAACTTCACATTCACAGGAACCTGAAGTGTGAAGGCTGGTTTTAGGGGCTTTAGGGTGAAAAAATCGTTCACCCAAGGTTGTGCATATATTTTGGACCATGTTTTCCATCTTCGCCACTATCTAGGTGGAAGCATGTCTATTGATGTAATTTAATGATAATTTTACTGGTGGGTGGCTGACGAAGGGGTGGCAATCAAATGTGTTTCGTAAATTATGTACAAGTGCATTTTCTGTGTTCATTTTTGTATCTGTAGCAGAATTAAACATGAGCTATATATTTTGTTGGACATTCGCTGTACCATCTTTAATTCGTGCAAACCACCGTCGTGAGCCTGTCGAATACAGCCAAAACATCTGACCCGAACGAACCTGAGCCCCCTCACGATTTGGACGAAAGCCCAGCCCAGGTGCCATTGACTACTTTCGTTCGGGCAGAAGCGATGTTGGGCTTTGTCACAAAAGGAAAGCAATTGCACCTGGCCGAACCTACCGGGCAGATATGGAATTCTCCTGGGCCTTCTGCTGCCGCAGGCGTTGTCCGAAAATGCCTCTCACCTTTGTTTCGTGGCGCGTTTCCGAAGCAGGCGAGATTACCGCTTTGTGGGCTATTGACGAACCAACAGCCATAGCCTAGCCAGGCATGGTCGCCGAACCAGCAGGGGCAGTTTGCAGCAGCAGCTGCCAATTATCAAGCACGGCGCGAACCGAACCGCGCTGAGCGTCACAACAACCAACCAGCCCCCAACAAGTCATACCGAACCGCACCAATGGCCGCCACAAACAATCTCGCCCAAATTGCTCCCTTTTGCCCAGTATCCAGTGGTACCGAGTGGAAACTCTGAGAAGCGCGGCTGCCCTGCTCTGCCTTGCCTTGCCCCCTAACACCCAACAGCAGCAACGCCATTAGCAGCACCAGCAGCACACGTCACTGCTCCATACCTAATTTCGCTCCAGAAAGAAAAACATGGTCCTCATTTCGCCTGCGATACGCTGTCCCACCTATCAAGATTGCACAACCGCCAGCTAAGCGCGGCAGCTCTTCTTAGGACTGAAGAAAGCGCTCAGATTGTATTATGATTCTTAGAGAGATGCTGCTCGCTCCACGTGCGACCGGGTCGGGTTAGTTAGTAGGCCGAGGTAGTGGCACGCCACGCCTCGTGCGATTTTTGAGGCGCGTCAAAGCACGCCACGCCTGCGCGCAAGGGCCGCAGCGGCCCATAGCAACACATAGTAGCCTCTTCAAGCCCGCATCCCACTTCTCAAACCCTAGTGGTCACCCTCGCATGCCAGTCGCGAGCCTGAGCAAGCCGCAAGCCGCGAGCCGCTAGTCTCGAGTCGCACGTGATGCTGTCCGGTCGTTCAGGTGAGCCACATGGGGCGGCGCTTAGTCGACTCAAAGAGCGGCTGTTCATAAAGCGGCTCTTTCTGTTCCATGAACCGAACGAGCGACGTCCGAGTCTGGGTCTCGAAGAAACATTCTTCGAGTTGCATCAATGGGCGCTTCTCATGAGCGACAAAACCAAGTCCTTTTCTTACCAGCTCTTTGCCTCCAGCTCCTCTCACCTCCCCCTTTCCCTCCCTCTCCGCTACCTCGATTCATCATCGCCCCTCTCCCCTCTCTCAAATCTAGCACCCGTGCTGTACCTCGCTTCCATCGTATATGCTGCCACACCCTACTAGGGTTGCGCCTCTTTCCTTGCAGTTCCTACGTCTCCCCGTCCCATACCTGCCCTGTAACTAACCCCATCCTTTACCCCACCTCCCATACCCCCGTTCTCCCTTCCCCGCCCGTGCCCCAGCCTCCCCATATCCCCAACAGCCCGCGTCCTCCCTCTCTTCCTCGCGTGTCCTCCCCTTTTGACTCGACTTAAAAGTCTCCCCTCTCTCCCCCCCTCCTCCCCTCCCCTCCCCTCCCCTCCCCTCCCCTCCCCTCCCCTCCCCCTTCCCTCCCCAACTCTTTGCCACCCCCACACCCCCCTGCAACCCCACGACAGCCCGCCGCCTCCTAGTCGTGCTGCTCCTCCCTCTGCTCCTCGCGTGACCCACTCTTTCGACTCGAGTCTAAAGTCTTCCCATACCCGCCCTTCCCTTCCCTCCCCTTCCCCGCCCTTTCACTCCCCCCCTTGTAACCCCACCTCAGCCCGTCGCCTCCTAGTCGTGCTGCTCCTCCCTCTGCTCCTCGCGTGCCCCACTCTCACGAACGCTCAATCGCCCCCCTACGATCCGTTTTTGGAATACATTCAGGGCATTTTGAACGGCTCGATTCCCGTGGGGAAGATAGACTGTGAGTGATCTGCTGCGCTTTCCCCATGTTCCCTCCCCACATCCCATCCCCGTCACCTCCGCTCCCTTTCCCTTTCCTCTCCGTCTTACTCTTTTTTCATATAAAGCTGCGGTTCCATCCACCACTCCTCGCACCACCTCACTCCTCGCACCACCTCACTCCTCGCACCACCTCACTCCTCGCACCACCTCACTCCTCGCACCACCTCACTCCTCGCACCGCCTCACCCCTCGCACCGCCCTGCAGGACCATCCTGTCGAAATTCGTTCCGCAAGTGTGTCCCGACCTCTACTTCTCCTCTCACTCTTCCCATTCAACAAAAGGAGGCTTGTTCTCACTCACTCTCTCACTCACTCGCTCACTCCTCACTCTCGCCCTCTCCCACTTTCTGCGTCCCCTCTCGCTCCCCCGCAGCCCTTCTCTTCACCCAGGCCAACAGGTACAACCTCGCTCTCAGCAAGAGCCTGTGTCACTTCCTCTCTCACACTCACTCACACACCCACTCCCTCTCCTCTTTCTGCGCCCCCTATTCTCGCTCCCCCGCAGCCCTGCTCTTCACCCAGGCCAACAGGTACAACCTCGCTCTCAGCAAGAGCCTGTCCAAATACGCCTCCCCCACTAACCAGCCCGCTCCAGTTGCCACCTCCCGTCCCTCCTCCTCCTCCTCCTCCTCCTCCTCCTCCTCCTCCTCCTCCTCCTCCTCCTCCTCCTCCTCCTCCTCCTCCTCCTCCTCCTCCTCCTCCTCCTCCTCCTCCTCCTTCTCCTTCCACCCCTCCTTCCCCACCTCCTCCTCCCCCTCTTCTTCCCCCTCCTCCTCCTCCTCCTCCTCCTCCTCCTCCTCCTCCTCCTCCTCCTCCTCCTCCTCCTCCTCCTCCTCCTCCTCCTCCTCCTCCTCCTCCTCCCCCTCCTCGTCCTCCCCCTCCTCCTACACCTCCTTTCGGACCAGCAGCTCGCGTCCTCTGCTGCATTCCTCCAGACCCTCCTCAAGATCCACACCTACAGTATCCAGCACACCTACAGTGACAACATATACAACTTCCAAATTTTTTAGATCGTTTCAAGGCAACAGGTTTATTGGATACAGCCTCAGCAGCATTCGGAACAGCATTCAATGGCTCAGCAGCAATAACACAGCCAGCGCTGCTGCCAGAGGGAAGCTGAAAGCCATTCTCGCGTTTTTCAGGCAACCGAGGGCTCAAAAGGCGTTGGGAGGGACAAGTGAGGCGCTCTTTATAGCGCCGGACGCGAGCGTGACTAAAGTGAGCGTGAGCCAGTACGAGATTCAGGATCATAGTGAACGAGATGGGGACAGCAGGGAAGGCAGGGATAATGACGAAGATGATGTTTGTTACGAGCCCACTGGAAACGTGCGGATCATCAAATACACGTAAGTACACAATTTCTGTTCAGCATCCCTACAAACCGCTCCCTTTCCCAACCCTACATCCATTGTCCCTCCCTCCCCAATTTTTGTTTCTCCCTCCCCCAGTATTCCTCCTATTGCTCCTGGCTTGTTTCCTCCTCTATCTTAATCTGCACGGTTTACATGTTACAAAAGTACTGCTTTGTTGCTCCCCTGCCACTCCTCCAGTGTAACGCTTTTTTGCCGCCCCCACTCTGCTGCTGTTCATTCTGCCATCCCCCCTCCTCCAGGACTCCCGAGAATGTCTCATACGTCAAATTCTATGTAAACAGCAAATGCTTACCCAATGTGCGGAAAGTGGAGATTCGTAACGCACAATACGGGCAAACGGGGCCGCTTGTATTGGAGGTCCCTGGCTCCTGGTGGCTGATAGACAGCGATGAGGATGAGGTGATTATACACACGATTATCACGAATGCAGCATCTGTTACAGTCGCCAACGGTCAGGACATGGAGACGGCAATTAACGCGATGACAAAAAGACCGTGGGAGTATTATGCGGTGTTTACGTCGAGCAGTAAGCCGAGCGGGGAGATGCGGGGTCAGTTTTGGAAGCCGTTCTGCCCATGGTGTGCCAATTTGACATTTACAGGATCAGCATAGAAGTGACTGGGATTGGTCGGTAGCCAGGTGTCCTTTGCCCATTTGTCCATTCCTAATAGGGGCTTACTTATCTGTGTGGCACTTCTTGTGCTACTCTGAGATGTACACTCAGTATGCTGGTATGACACTAGAATCTTGTTTACCTTACCCCAATTTCTGTATGGTCCATTTGGATGTATTATTTTAACGTAACGGATTCTGAAGCACTACTAGAAGTTGTGGACAAGCATCAGGACCAAGAGTCTTCCCTACAATGTGCACCCGCTATAGCGCGAACAATTCATTCTGCCACATTATGGTGCCAAATGGCCAACCAGTGGCGCCACCTATCCCACAGTGGAGGATAAGCTCCAGCAGCAGTACCCGAAGCGCGTGTAAGACCTTTTTACGCTGCGTTCCACTGTTCCCCATTCCCGCAGCAGCCGAGGCTTACTAAACTACCCACGGCTTGTCGCTTCAACTACAGAAATTCGGTGCTTTGGAGTTCTCTCCCTGTCGCATTTCGCACAATGGCGACATTGTTGCGCCTGAAGGCAGCCATTCTCCCGTCGCCAGTAACGTCAACGACGGAATTCGGAGTCGCATCCCACCCGCGCAACGTTCTCCTCGGTACCTCGCGTCTACTTACCCCGTCGCGCTCAACGTCGCCCTTCTCATTCAGTCGCACGACTTTCGCCGCTGGTCGGGCGACTCTGCCTACAACCGCGCTTTTCGCCGGCCCGGAAAATTTGCTGTGTGGTTCGGTTCCCAGCCTACAACGCAGGGCAGTTATCCGAGCCTCGACCGCAGCTTCGGGAAAGTTAGGCGCGGGAACCAATGTAGCGGCGAGTGCAACAGCGTCTACGGTTTCCGAGCCTGCGAACGAGGTTCGGGATGCAGGCTCCGCGGCGCAGAGCGCGCCGAACCTGGGAGGGTTCGAGTTTCCTGTGATTAAGGAGGCGAAGCGGGTGGTGCTGGTGCGACACGGGGAGAGCACGTGGAACGCGACGGGCAGAATTCAGGGCAGCTCGGACTTTTCCGTGCTGACCGCGAAGGGCGAGAGCCAAGCAGAGACGAGCCGGCAGATGCTCGCTGCGGACTCGTTCGATGTTTGCTTCCACAGGTGACTAGCCCGTGCTTACTCTATTCCACGGGTTACTAGCCCCGTGCTCGCTGCAGACTCGTTCGATGTTTGCTTCCACAGGTGACTAGCCCCATGCGCGCTTTGACACTCAATTCCGCACATAAAACATTCTGCATATGTTCTTCTATCCATCATAGCCATCTGCCACGTCTTCCCCCCTTTCCCCCCTTCATCTTCTCTCCTCGCACCCATTCTCTTTTGTTTTGGGCAGCCCGTTACAGCGGTCAGCACGGACAGCGGAGGTTATTTGGGCGGCGCGCACGGCACCCATGATTCCGCTGCACGATCTGCGGGAGATAGACCTGTACTCGTTTCAGGTAGGCTCGATAAGGGAGATTGACCGTTACGTGGCTTATTGCCTTATGTATGTGCAAAATGCTCACCATTGCAAACCCATTTTGCACCGTACCCCACCCTACCCTACCATATTGGCACAGGGATTCTTGAAACAAGAGAGCAAGGCACAGTTCAGTGAGAGCTACTGTGGCAGAAGGATGCATGCAGCACACGGGTACTACCCCGTGAGGGGAAGTTTGAAAACCCCCCCAAGCCAAACCACCGTTCTCCACCGCTGCACACCCCACTCCACCCCAATCAACCACGGGGCCTGTTCACGGAAGAGGGCACGGCACGGTTTGGTGAGAACTACCGCATGTGGCAGAAGGACGCAGCAAACCTTGAGATTGACGGGCACTACCCTGTGAGGGAGCTGAGGGCGCGGGCAGATTGAACCCCCAAACCCATCCACCGTTCTGCACCGCTGCACACCCCCACTCCGCCCGACTCAACCACAGGGGCTTTTCAAAGAAGAGGGAAAGGCACGATTCGGTGAGAACTACCGCATGTGGCAGAAGGACGCAGCAAACTTTGAGATCGACGGGCACTACCCCGTGAGGGAGCTGTGGGCGCGTGCAGCGGCATGCTGGCAGGAGATCCTGAGGAGCGAGGGGCGCTCCGTGCTGGTGGTGGCGCACAATGCTGTGAACCAGGCGCTCGTGGCCACTGCCACAGGTGCGCTTAGTGTGTGCGGGTGTGTGGGTGGGTGGGTGGGTGCATGTGTGTGAGAGAGCAGAGGCGTGCTGGCAGGAGATCCTGAGGAGCGAGGGTCGCTCCGTGCTGGTGGTGGTGCACAATGCCGTCAACCAGGCTCTCGTAGCGACTGCCACAGGTAGGGGGGGTGTATGTGAGTGTGCATGGGGGCACATGGGGGATGGGGTATCAGCGCTCCGTGCTGGTGGTAACGCACAATGCTGTGAACCAGGCGCTCGTGGCCACTGCCACAGGTGGTGTGTGTCTGCGGGTGGGTTGGTGCATGTGTGTGAGAGGGAGAGACAGCAGCAGCGTGCTGGCAGGAAATCCTGAGGAGCGAGGGGCGCTCCGTGCTGGTGGTGGCACATTATGCTGTGAACCAGGCGCTAGTGGCCACTGCCACAGGTGGGGATGTGTGTGTGTGTGTGTGTGCGCGTGTGCGTGTGTGTGCGTGTTTGTGTGCGCGTGTGTGTGTGTGTGAGAGAAGAGGGAAAGAGAGCAGAGGCGTGCTGGCAGGAGATCCTGAGGAGCAAGGGGCGCTCCGTGCTAGTCATGGCGCACAACGCTGTGAACCAGGCGCTAGTGGCCACTGCCACAGGTGGATGTGTGTGTGTTTGTGTGAGCAAGAATCTGCCTGAATGTGCATAGAGTGTGCCTGAATGTGCGTGAATGTGCCTGAATGTGCAAAGAGTGTGTGTGAATGTGCGTGAATGTGCATAGAATGTGACTGAATGTGCAAAGAGTGTGTGTGAATGTGCGTGAATGTGCATAGAATGTGCCTGAATGTGCAAAGAGTGTGTGTGAATGTGCGTGAATGTGCATAGAATGTGACTGAATGTGCAAAGAGTGTGTGTGAATGTGCGTGAATGTGCATAGAATGTGCCTGAATGTGCAAAGAGTGTGTGTGAATGTGCGTGAATGTGCATAGAATGTGCCTGAATGTGCAAAGAGTGTGTGTGAATGTGCGTGAATGTGCATAGAATGTGCCTGAATGTGCAAAGAGTGTGTGTGAATGTGCGTGAATGTGCATAGAATGTGCCTGAATGTGCAAAGAGTGTGTGTGAATGTGCGTGAATGTGCATAGAATGTGCCTGAATGTGCAAAGAGTGTGTGTGAATGTGCGTGAATGTGCATAGAATGTGCCTGAATGTGCAAAGAGTGTGTGTGAATGTGCGTGAATGTGCATAGAATGTGCCTGAATGTGCAAAGAGTGTGTGTGAATGTGCGTGAATGTGCATAGAATGTGACTGAATGTGCCCGAATGTGACTGAATGTATCCAGATGTGCCTGAATTGGCATGAAAAGTGCAAGGCTGTGCTCGAATGTTCACGACTGTTACCGAATGTGAATGAATGCGCATGAAATTTCCTGGGCTCAGTTCGGCAGCCAGCCAGGGGGAAGCAAATTTTAGGAAGATGAGGGGAAGGTGAGGCGCGCGTCAAAGCCGGGTCAACGACTTTTGACCCTGGTTTGACCGCTCCGCGGACAACCTGCGCCATGGGGGAGCTGGCGCAGGTTGGAGGGGGAGGTTGGGAAACAGCGCCGCATGTCTAGGCACATTTGCCTGGACATTCCAATGTCCCGGGGCACTGTAGCGGGCTCGCCCCAAACAAAAAAGGGGGACAGAACCCCACGCTATTGGAGAATTCTGGTTTGTTTGGATAACCCATCCCATCGATGTGCTGTTTTTGTCCCGTGAACAGTGAACAGTGAATCTTGTGGAATCAAAATTTCTGATTCTTGTGCTGGAGAAGAATCATTTTCTTCTTCCGTCTCGCTAGGGCGGAAACTTTCCGCCAAGGGGGGGGGAAGAAGGACAGCAGACGGCGTATTTTTGAGTCGACTCAAAAATAGGCCAAGGGGGGGGAGAAGAAGGACAGCAGACGGCCAAGGACACCTGCGCTTCGATTTCCGAAAGTCTTACCCTTCAGCCCGGCCTGCACTGTTTTGCCCTCGATAATGCGATTCGAAGCTTCGAAGAAGAAGGGAAAAAAATTTTCTTCCGTCCTTCTTCCGTGGCTGCCGAACTGGGCCCTGATCTTGCATGAATGTGCAAACATTTGCATCATTGTCGTTAATAAGCATTCACCATGCAAAAATTCATTCTCCCTAAGACCTTTCCACTCTCCCCTAATCCTTCCTAATGTACACCCCCCCCTTCTCCTGACATTTTCCCAGGCCTTTGTCCCGACTATTTCCGCCTCTTGCTGTAGAGCAACTGCGGCGTCAGCGTGCTGGACTTTGTCACTCACTACAAGCCACTCACTACAAGCCACTCGTGATGAGACGTTTTCTGAAGCGCTTCAGTAACCTTCTCCCACTCTCCTTCCCATGCACCTTCCCCTTCCAGGCCTGGGTCCGGAGTATTTTCGTCTCTTACTGCAGAGCAACTGCGGCGTCAGCGTGCTGGACTTCGTCCCCCACTACAAGCCGCATGCCCGCACCCACACCCCCGACGACGCCGTCCCTCCGTACAAGGCACACGATTACAGTCACACTCACAGCGATGCTGCTGCCGTGCTGGTGGATGCTGCTGCTGCTGCTGCTGCTGCAGAGGAAGAAGCAGGCGTGGAGGGAGAGGAGTATTTGCTGCCTTATGTGTGCCTCAACCGGCTGAACCAGGTGTGTGCGTGGCAGCAGAACAAGGGTGAGACGCAGAGCAGGTGAGAACCAAGAGGCTCACAGAAGCAGGCGTGGAGGGAGAGGAGTATTTGCTGCCCTATGTGTGCCTCAGCAGACTCAACCAGGTGCAATTCCGTTTTCATGCGCTCTTGCACTGTTGTGAGAGAGATCGCTTTCTGCTCACCGCTCCCCCACCTCCTCATTTCCCCTCCCCACTCCCCTGCTCCCCCACCTCCCCTGCTCTCTCTCCCCTTACCCTGCTCTTCCTCCAGACCCCCGCGCCTCCTGTAATTACTGGGGGTGTATCAGGCGGAAGAAAGGCCAAGGCTCGAGTGATCCTGGTGCATGCTGGGGGTGGTGCAGACGCGCAAGACAGCCACACGAACTCCTCCCCTCCTCACTCACCTCAGGCACGCAAGACCGCCGAGCTGCTTCTCGACATGCGCGTCGGCACAGTCTTCTGCTCGCCACTGCCCTCACCCCCTCACCGCCACTGCCCGCTGAGGTTCACTGCCCTCACACGAACTTCTCAACATGCGCGTCGGCACGGTCTTCTGCTCGCCACTGCCCTCACCCCCTCCTCCCCATCCCCTCTCATCCCTCCCCTGTTCCCCTTTCCATTGTGCCTCCTCCAGACCCCCGCGCCTCCTGTAATGACTGGAGGGGCGTCAGGCAGGCGGGAGGAAGGCCAAGGCTCGAGTGATCCTCGTGTGCCACGGCGACACCAGCAGCTCGGCACAGCGCCGCTTCCCCCAGTCCCCTTCGGAACAGCTGAGCTTGCTGGGCGTGGTGCAGGCGCGCAAGACAGCCGAGCTTCTTCTTGATGTGCGAGTCGACACGGTCTTCTGCTCGCCACTCCCCTCACCTCCCCCACCTCCCTTTACTCCGTTCCCGTCCTCCCTCCCCCCTCTGCACCTCCTCCAGACTCCTGCACCGCCCGTGATGGCTTCCGGTGGGAGGAAGGCCAAGGCGCGAGCCATTCTCGTGTGCCACGGCGACACCAACAGCTCAGCACAGCGCCGCTTCCCCCAGTCCCCGTTTGAGCAGCTGAGCATGCTAGGCGTGGTGCAGGCACGCAAGACAGCCGAGCTGCTGCTCGACGTGCGAGTCGACACGGTCTTCTGCTCGCCGCTGCCCCGTGCGGTGCGCACGGCCGAGGCGGTGGTGGAGGTGCAGGAGGCAGCAGAGTGCCTGGGCGCCGACTGTGTGCCTCGGTTTGTGGATGTTGTCCCTGTGGAGGAGCTCAGAGAGCTGGAGTACGGCACATGGCAGGTGAGCTGGAGTACGGCACATGGCAGGTGAGCTGGAGTACGGCACATGGCAGGTGAGCTGGAGTACGGCACATGGCAGGTGAGCTGGAGTACGGCACATGGCAGGTGAGCTGAGTACGGCACATGGCAGGTGAGCTGAGTCCGTGTGCCTGCTTCTCGCTGCTCCCCCTCTCTCCACACTGTGCTGGGCTGTGCTGCGCTGTGGGGCACTGTTGAGTCGGCTCAAAGGCTGTGCTGCGCTGTGGGGCACTGTTGAGTCGGCTCAAAGGCTGTGCTGCGCTGTGGGGAACTGTTGAGTCGGCTCAAAGGCTGTGCTGCGCTGTGGGGCACTGTTGAGTCGGCTCAAAGGCTGTGCTGCGCTGTGGGGCACTGTTGAGTCGGCTCAAAGGCTGTGCTGCGCTGTGGGGAACTGTTGAGTCGGCTCAAAGGCTGTGCTGCGCTGTGGGGCACTGTTGAGTCGGCTCAAAGGCTGTGCTGCGCTGTGGGGCACTGTTGAGTCGGCTCAAAGGCTGTGCTGCGCTGTGGGGCACTGTTGAGTCGGCTCAAAGGCTGTGCTGCGCTGTGGGGCACTGTTGAGTCGGCTCAAAGGCTGTGCGCAGGGCGGAGTGCCTTTGAGCTCAAAGGCTGTGCGCGCGGCCGAGGCGGTGGTGGAGGTGCATGAGGTGGCAGAGTGCCTGGGCTGGGCGCCGACTGTGTGCCACGGTTTGTGGAAGTGGTGAATATGGAGGAGTTGAGAGAGCTGGAGTACGGCACATGGCAGGTGAGTTGAGTGGGAGTGGAAGTGGGTGTGGGTGTGGGTGTGGGTATGGGTGTGGGTGTGGGTGTGGGTGTGGGTGTGGGTGTGGGGTGCTTGGAAGACGCCACAGCGAGGGACTGGGTGCCGCGGTTTGTCGATGAGGAGGCATTGGAGAAGCTGACCGAATTGGACCATGGGGCATGGCAGGTGAGGGGTTTCGAGCTGGGGGATTCAAACTTGAGCGCATGCACATGAGAGCTGGAGTACGGCACATGGCAGGTCAGGGGGTTCGAGCTGGGGGGTTTAAACTTGAGCGCATGCACATGAGAGGTTAGCTGATTCTGAGAATTCTCAAAATCAACCTACAGTGGGTTTGCTGAATAGTTTGTCACTATCCCTCACTCTCTTCTATGGGCCTGCCACACGGTTCAACTCGTAACTCAGCTTTCCTCCGCACAGCTCATTGTCCTTATGATCCCCTTCGCAACACCCCCTCTCTTCAGGGAGCAATGATGGCAGAGGTGTCCGCACAAGAGCGGTGGGAGGATCAACTCAGATCTTCGCCGCCGCCCAACGGAGAATCTCTGCCGTCCCTGTGGGGCCGCGCTGAGAAGGCATGGACTGTCATTCGCCGCCACCTGGCAGAAGTGGAGCGCGCCACATCAGCAAGTGCAGGTGCTGACGTGGCAGCAGCAGGGCCAGGAAGTCCCCCTATTGAGCGATCTGAAACTGTTATTGTGGTGGGCCATGAAACAGTGTTTCAAGCGATGCTTGCTTCCTGCCTGAAGCTACCTCATGATGCTCTGGGAAGCTTCCGCCTCGACCCTGGGAGCATCACTGTCGTCGATTTCCCTGATGGTGTTGGTGAGCCCAAGGAAAGTAGCGAGTCTGACAATAAGGGGAACAGTGCAGCAGGAGCAGGAGCAGCAGGGCGGGGGATTGCAGCAGGAGTGGTGGGGCAGGGTGTGGTGAGGTGTATCAACTACACTGCTCACTTGGGAAGATGGGCTGTGCCCGTTACCCTGCCTACTTCAAATGACGAGGACTTTTAATTGTTTAGTGGACCATGTGCTTTTATGCTTTTATTTTATATCATGTAAAGTCACAACCAGGTTTTATCATACTAATTTGCTAGAGCTTTTCTGATTGTGGGATGGTATGATCTTTTGCCATCTTTCAAGTGGTGAATGTAATGTAGATAATTTCATCACATTAATTAGCCAACCACATTGGCTGAGACATCACAGCAGCTTTCAAGTGTAACATCAGTTACAACAAGTAACAACAGCCATGCAAACATAACTACAAACAGAGCCATGCCAGGCAGGCAACATCCCACCGCCAGCATGGGTCAATCCCACCCTAACCAACCCCAAACAACCTCCCAATGAGGCCTTTTCAACCGAACCTTCCATTCGTGATAACCATGATACCATGACATTATGCCATGCTCATATCCTCCTTCACGGTGCCCCGTCGACCCACTTCAAATCTTACCCTGACGAATAAACCAGTCATAACCCCCAGAACCGCCTCCAACCACACTGCATTCAGTGTATCACTCTCCTTATCCAGGCTTAGGTCCCACACATCCCAGCCGGTGCACTGAACCTCTCTCCCTCCATCTCCAGCGCGAGATGAGATGGCCAGAGTGAGTTGCACTCATGTTCGCGAGGGGATGGGGTCTTGTTGGGAAAGAGGCACAGGCATGGGCACGTGCACGGGCACCGAAGCAGGAGGAGCGGGGGCAGGAGCAAGGTGATGACCTGCTGGGGCTTGCGCGGGAGGGGCTGATGATCCGTTGTTTGTAACCTTTCTGTGATGATGGAATGTGGAGGGAGAGGGAGGGGGTAACACAGGAAACAGAGCACTGGTTTAAGGGCGAGGGCGAGTGAACATGAGGAGCATGTGCAGTTATGGGGGGAAAAGGGGCAGATGATGCCTGAGTGTGAAGGCTGGCTGACAGGTCCATGTAGTAACTGGAAAAAGGCTTACTAGATAGCAATTCCAGTTCAATTAAATATGGCTCACTAATTCATATTCAAGATAGCAGTGATTCCAACATTTCAAAATTGACAGCCAAGACAGGCAAAGCTACACGCTCAAGCAGCATTAGAAACGACAACAGGTAATGGAACAAGGGGAGCGGCGGCAGCAACAGTAACAGCACCAACAGCAGCAGCAGGAGCAGCAGCAGAATCTAACCTTGCAACAGGGCTGGATCCTCGCGGATGGGCCTCCCACCCAGGATGACTCGCCAGCCACCCGACCAGGTTCTTCAGCATAGGAGCAGCCTGCCCGCTCAGCTTCCTCCCCTCCTTGGGATTCCACACCGTCACCCGCTCCTCTTTCCCCACATCTACCAGCTCTCCCACTCTCCGCTCTAGCTCCTGCGCGCCTTCCGGAAGCTTCCGCTTCAGACACCTAAAGTGCGCGTTTTCCGTGCCGCACCCGGCCTTTTTAATCACCGCGCACACCTCGCACCGCCGCCCCTCCACGCGCGACCGAGGCGCGCCCGACGCGGCCTTCATCGGCGGCGCGCCCGGGGCGCCAGGTCCGCCGGGTTTATCCATCCGCTGCCGTTTCTTACCGACGAACGACGAGTCGCCGACAGCTTCGGGCATTCCACCCGGACCGTTAGGCATGGGGGGGCCGCCGGGCATTCCCCCGTGGTGGGGCGGCTGGTGCTGGTGCTGCGGGTGCTGCTGCTGGTAACCCACCATCTGCCCCCCTTGCTGCACCATGCCGTTTTGCTGGTGGTGGTAACCCGCTTGCTGTTGATGCTGATGTGGCAACTGCTGCTGCTGCTGGTGCTGATTCTGCATCACGCCGCCCGGCTGCATCTGACCGTTACCGTCTTCTCCGACGACTTGCATCACCCAAGAGTTGCCGGCCGTCCCCTTCATTCCCTGTCCGTTTTGCTGATTCACCATTCCGTTCGGTGGAGCGTACATACTTCCGTCCTGCTGTACGTACTGTTGCTGCTGCGGCGGCGGGGGTTGCTGCTGGTACTGCTGCTGCTGCGGCGGCATCGGTTGTTGTTGATACTGCTGTTGATACTGCGGCTGCTGCTGCTGCTGCTGCTGCTGGTATTGCTGCGGTTGTTGTTGATACTGCGGCGGCTGCTGCTGGTATTGCGGCTGCTGCTGATACTGCTGCTGCGGATCTTGTTGTCCCGGCTGAGCGTATTGCACGTGGCCTTGCTGTTGGTTCGGGTCGCCGTTCGCGACGGGGACCGTTCCATCTGCCGGGTAGCCGGCCGAGCTTACCTGGGCGTCTCTGACCGCAATAACAATTGCCTCGTTTGCGTTTTCGAGAAAGCCTTTGGCGTATTGCGCGTGGCTCGGGCTCTGATTTAGAAAAGGCTCGCAGATGGAATTTAGATCCATTAGCATTTCTGGTAGCGTGTAGGCGGGACTGAGGGCCTTTTGTCGGATCAGACTGCAACGGGACAGAAGAAGCACGAGGATACGCGTAGGAAAGCGATGAGCACATACAGGATTGGGACGGCGGGAGGTGAAACGCTGAAGAAACAACGGCTGATAGGAACAAGATCTGACGTAGCGATGAATCAAATATACTAAAAGGACAAACCAGGAACTGGAACGAAAAGAAATTCAACTTCCTTGACAAAGCCGGCACGTTGGCATCAGGCGGGGCAGGCCAAGTACAGGGAAAAAAAAGGCGAAGCAGTCCACGACGAGAACAGAGCCTTACTTAAGATTAAGAACAGTGCCCGTATCGGCTAGCATGACGCCCGGTTCAAGAATCAATCTCTCCGTGTCGAGCTTAGCGATTTCTTCAAGAAGCAACGCCATCTGATGCGGCGTCATCGGGATGGGATTGCCTGCATACTCCTCCGTTTGCCCTTGTTGATCAGGAGCCGACATGATGACGACTCCTTAAAACAGAGATAATTCTAGTGGTATTGGAAACACCAAGATCTGGGACAAAACCGCGATCGAAGAACCTGCAGAGAAGGGGAAAAACAAAACGGGTGAAAATGAACGATGGTCAGGCGAAATCATTCCTGGGAAAAAAGAAGGGCTGACCAGCAACCAGACAAGCACACCAAATGCTTCAACTAGTGAAGATCTAGGTCTCAGGTCTCTAAGGACAAAGCTCCAGCAATTCAAAATAAACAGATCCCTAGAACAGCCAGCCGCCATGGCGATCGATTAAACAAAATAAACATACAAATTAGAGGCGCCGCCTAATTTCTGAAGTTGGAATAAGCAGCGGATAACGCGGGTCGGTGGGTCCACTGGGAGCCAAGGGTCTTCCCTAGAGAGACCAAGGCAGGGAGGGAGGGGGGTTGGAGGAGCGTTTCTCTCAAGCGAGCCGCTGTTGGCGTTCGGAGTCGCTTTGTGAGAAGTCGAGTCGACTCATTGGGGTTTTTCAAGTGGAGCCGGGCTGGGCTGGAGTCGGGTGGATGGAGGAACCGAGGAATGGGATGAGGGGGATGCGCTGTGGTGCAATCCCTAGGCTTCCCCAGTGTCCCCCAAAGTCCCCCAGTCCCGCTCCGAGAGTTCCCCCAACTTGCCAGGTTCCCAGGTTCCCGAATGGCGAAATCGCGCGCATCGGCGAAAATCGTGTTTGTCTCAATTGAATCGACCTAAATTGCTCCCCGCTCGCCACGTGGGCGTTTTTCTAAATTGGATGGACCTCCCTTCCCCCCGCCACCCCAGCCCCCTTTTCCCGCCCTTTCCCCACCGTCATTCGGGCAGCCGCATGCTCTCGCGTGAACTTCGGAATTGCCACAAGTAGTCACGAAAAGCAACCAACCAACCCCATGCCACGTGTAATTGAACGTACAGGAAGCCACATCATTTGTCCCAGCAAAATTTCGGAATTTTCTGGGCCATGTATTATAACTCGAGAGGCTTATATACAGGTTGATTGTACTGTGTCCTTCGGGATCTGGCCATGTCATTTCCGGCCTTCACGGTTTCATGGTCGAAGCATTCGTGATCCTCAACGGTTCATGAACCCTTCCGTTAGCATCATGTTCCTGTGAAGCTTAGGCGAGTCTCCCGTTTTACAATACCGGGTAGACACTCAACGCAGTCATTACTTTAGGCAACTCATATCCGGGCCCGCATTAGTACTCCACTCAATAGTCATAGCTTATCTCTGACAAAACTGGTCACCATGTAGCGTCTAACGCGTGCGTATGGCCTCCAATCCCTTAGCGCAGGCCTTGCGACAGCTTAATGCGGCTCCCGAGTTCAACCCTAGGTACGACAGGCCTAATGATTACGCGCCATTGGAGCTGTACTCTAGCCGTGATAAATGCAAGGAGGCCGTTTATGCGTACGCTCTAGAGCATCGGTTTGGTGTAAAATGAAAGCTCATGTTCAGAGGTTGGCGGTGAGGATAAGTTTCATGAACGCAGGATTAGGTTCATGTACGCGGTCAAATCCGCCCTCGGCAATTGGTAAGAAATCATGCTCGAGCATGACCGTCGATTGGTCGCCTGGTTGTACATTACCGTACATGATCGGTATCGAGGTACCACTCCATGTCGTTGTTACACTACCTATAGCGTTGGCGCGTCCAAACGGAGCCAGTGCATGTTACTCTGGCGCGCTGAACAAATCACCAATTTTTCGACCAATAAGAACAACCACCCGTGGCGAAAGTGTGGAGGCTGGCTGGAATTTGGAAATGGTGACTCTTTGTGAGTTTTACGCCAGAGCATGCGGCTGCCCGAATGACGGTGGGGAAAGGGCGGGAAAAGGGGGCTGGGGGGGGCGGGGGGAAGGGAGGTCCATCCAATTTAGAAAAACGCCCACGTGGCGAGCGGGGAGCAATTTAGGTCGATTCAATTGAGACAAACACGATTTTCGCCGATGCGCGCGATCTCGCCTTCCCGAATCCTCCTGACTCCGGAAGCCCCTCTCCCCTTCCTCGCAAGTGCTAGAGCGTTCCCCCTTTCCCCCGAGCGCGCGGGTGCCCCCAAGTCCAAAAGGACCGCAACTCTGCTTGGAGTTTTTCCAAGCCCTCAAGTCCCGCCTCGACCCCCAGCCTGAGTGGAGTTGGATGGATGGATGGAGGTGCCGAACGCGCACATCCAATCCCCCCACACCACCCTCACTCATCTCCCTTGTTGGATGGTCACACGCACCATGAATTCAACCAACTCCGAAGCTGGTTTGGGAGATTTGGTCAGGTTGTTTGGTTTGGTTGGATGGTATGGCATGCTGGTCGTTGGCTGGCTCGGGAGGTCGTTGGCACAGAGATTTCGCCTCGGGATCATCTTGCGGGTGTTGTGTGTTTATAGGGACGAGTGGAACGCGGAGATACTGCTGGTGGCCATAATTCTCAATCGGACAGTGGGAGGTGATGGGGGAAGCATGGACGGTCCGATGAGAACCTAATCGTCAGCGAAACATCACTGGACTGGGAAGGGGTTCGGCAACAAGACTCATTTTACGGTAAGGTTTGAGGTACGACAAACGTCAATGGCTGTCATGGTGCGAGAGGAGGTGACGTGGCACAGCTCGATATGATCAGGGGATTTGCCTTGCGCAAGATACAAGGAAGAGACACGCGCGGAGCACTTGTGCGCACCGCGGAGCCCGTTTCGCGTGCTTTCCTCAAGCGCTTCGGTTGTTGGCGCGGCCAAGGGGTTCCCATGTTGCCGCCTTGGGTGGAGGTTTGGATTTCGTTTCGTGAGGCGACGTTTGCGACATTCGCAATCGTAGCCGAAGCTAATGTTCAGCTTCGACGTGAAGATAACGTCGCCACAACCGCTTTTCGAGGCTCGATTTGTTCGCACAATAGCCACGGCTGTGAAGGAGCCAATTGCAACGTATAATAGAGTCGCAAAGCTTCGTGAAGGCTTAAAGCTTGCGTGGCTTGGGATGACACTGACGAATCGCTACTGCTCGGTCAGGTTGAAATCTCTCATTTTCCAGCCCAACAACCTGAAGGCTGCAAACATCACCATGTGCAGCGGCCTAAACGCCGCTCGCGCGAATTCATACTTGTTTGGTAGAGCCGCGTGTTGTTCTGGAAGTTGCACTGATCTCGCGCATACCGCTCTGAAAGGCAGTACACCTAAAAGAACCGAGATGCGCTCCAATCGCATAAGGGGGCTGTTCGCCAGCACCAATGAAGCGAAAAACCATGGGATAACGATGGGATCATGAAGGTGGGTCTCGTCTTCCTGATCCAGTCAGTTAGGGTACGTTCCTCCTTCAGCCTGGTCAGCCCGTAAAAAAGGTGCCGAGCCTCCCCAACCGTCCAAACCAACAATCAAAGCGGGTGTCTGGCGAACACCCCCATTTGTCAACCAAAACGAACTGCTCTACGGCATGTGGAAGGGGGGACGCAACTTCGTCCCCAGGCAAAGTTCCATCCCCAAGCCATGCCATCGCCATGCTGGCCCTGCTCGACAGGCTAAAACTCTGCAAAAGGCGAGTGTTAGGCTAGTGTTTAGATGAGGGTTCACTGCACCTTCGTGGGCAAAACAGGGGGATGAAGCTTCAGTCTTAGCGGTCGGAAGGAGCGGGTCCCACAAGGCGAAGCTGCCCGCCTCCTTCACCCTGGCTCCTCGCGGGCACAGTAGAAAAGTTTGGGGACCACGCCAAACGTGTTTGGGTAACAACGCAGGAAAAAAAAAACCCATCCCACAAACAGCGACCCTCACAAGAAAGTTTGGTCCAGACACAACTCACAAACATGATTTTTCGGACCAAACTGGTTCACAAGTTTCTATTTTAGGGTCCACGGAGTGGGTGTTCCTCCCACTGCAAACACCTGACGAGCCCTTTGCAAAACCCCACTTCTGGGGGCGAGGGTTAGGCTGGGTGCAGGCTAGACCTTTGCCCGTGCGGGAAGGCACCTGGTTCTTTCTGTGAGGGCGAAGGGGTCAAAGTCTCGGCTGCGTTCGACAGGCTAACACTCGGCCAATAGGTTAATGAGCGTTAATGCCCCGAATGCACATTTCACGGGCTGACCCTGATGAAAAATGTGAAAACGAAACAGCCGCGATGATTCCGCAGCCGTCGGTGTTAGCCTGTCGAGCAGGGCCGCTGCGTTTTTCGAAGCACAGCGATACCACAGCCGTCGCATTGCCGTTCAAAGGGGATTGGGGGGAAGGTGGGGACGGAGGCTCCCCACGCGGTTGCGAAATTTCGCGACCGCAGGCACAGAAGTTTCTTCAACGGCATTACGGCCAAACCTCGGAGGTGGGTTCCGCCTCCGTTTCCCGATGCGGTCGCGATCCCGATGCCATCTTTTTCATTTCAAATTACGATTTCCTGACGAACAGCACCAAGATAAACGCTAAAACAGCAGAACCAGGGTAATTTCACCTCTGCACGAACAACGAACATATCCCTTACAATTACAATGCTCCAGCATTTTCCCGTCAGAGGTGCCAGAACTATATAAAGATGGTTTTACAGTTCAGTTGTTCTTGCTGAAAACAAGCAGCTTGTTGAGCACAGTTCTCCACCTTCAGCTAACCCAACAAGGCTTGGTAACAAAAATAACTCACCAAAGACCAGGCCACACAGTAGAAGGCCAGCTAGTAGGCCAAACTCTGCAACATCATGCCTAGTGTGTTACAGCCGAGAAGCACTCCAGCTGGCATCTACAGTGTTCAACAGTTGCTCGTGCATATCCGGGCCATTGGTCGCCATGATCCCTCTGTCCAACCCCAGGAGAAACCTCCCCTTGCTGAAATCCAAGGGGTTGCCGCCCGCATCGGTCACCACACCACCCGCCTCCTCTACTATTATCACGCCTGCTGCATGGTCCCAGATCTTCTCCTTGTAGCTGCCATGCGCAAACTTCATGAAGATCTCAGCGTCACCGCGTGCAATGGCGGCATACTTGGCCATGCTGTAGACGCGCAGAGGCTCCGTGCTGCCCAGTTGGGGAAAAAGGGAGGGGGAGAAATGGAGGCAGAGAACTGGTGAAATTGCACTTCTTTTGCTTCATTAAGATGTCAGCATTGCCCTGCGCTATGGCAGCATACTGTACACCCAGAGAGGCCCCTTGCTGGTCAGGAGGTGTGGGGAGTCAGCAACAGGAGAGGAAAAAGGGAAAGGAAGGAGGGAGAAAGAAGGGGGTTGTGGTTTTGCTCCGTAAGGATTCCTGCGTCGCCCTGTGCAGTGGTGGCATACTAAGCCATCCTGATTGGCGGAGAGGCCCATTGCTGCCTGCACAGGAGTGGTTGAGGCATGCAGGGAGTTGGAGACAGGGGAAAGGTTGAAGAAGGGATGAGGGGGGAAAGAGGGGAAACAAGAATTGGATACCTAGGAAGCGGGGCGAAAGGGAGGGGAACAGGGAACAGGGTAGATTGCTATTTTGTTTCTGCTTCTTTTCTACTCCCTTATGGAAATCTAAGGCATCCACACAAAAACAGTAAGCATGTATCTCATGTTTGCCCGAGAACTTCGAGCACACTCGCCCTTCTCCTTTTCGCCATTGACCTTGACTACAACTGGACAGGACGCACCATCCCTCCACCCCCCTCCTCCGCCCCCTCCCCTCGACCCCCCTCACTCGCCTCCCATCCCCACCCTCCCAACCCCCCACATCTCGAGCCTCACCTGATGCCGAGCGTGTCTGCCAGCTCAGCAGTGAACGATTGGTTCGAGTTCGCCTTCTCCACGGGCTCGCAGAACGTCGCCAGAGCAGCATCTTGCACCGGCGAAACCCTAACCGGCATCGGAACCGCTCTCAACGCCCCTCCATCCCTCCCAATCTCCACCAGCGACTCCATCCACGTGCCCCCTCCTCTCTTCGCCTTCAGCACGAACCCCTTATGCCACTTGGTCGGCGGAAAGTATTTCGCGGTCAGCCGGTGGAACCGGTGCGGGTGCCGGAGCCACCCCGACCTGACCGGGAAATTCGGGCAGCCCAGCGCGCCGACTTTCAGCTGCCCATCCTGCAGCAACGCGAGCGCGACTGCGTATTGGTCATCCCGCACGAACCCTAATGTCCCGTCGACGGGATCTAACACCCAGTGCCGCCCCTCCGCGCCGCCCTCCGACCCTCCGCGGCTGATCGCCTGCAGCACCTGCACCGCCGTGAGCGGCGCTTGCGGCGGGGGGATGCCGACAAGGGCGGCCTCAGCGAGGCACTCGTTGACGGTTTGCACGAGGCGCTGCAGGACGGCGACGCCGGCTTGGCCGGTGAGCTCCTTGGTGTCTTCCTCTGCCACCATTGAGATGGGCTCGTCGGGGTAGGCCTGCTTGAGCACCCAGCTCACCACCGCCTGCACTCCCCAGTCTGGACGGACGCGGGAAAGGGTGGAAAGGGGGTAGTGGGGGTGGAGAGTGGAACAAGAGGGGTGAGATGAGACATGGTACCGTTGTAACACTGGGAGGGTTGAGAAGGAGCCAGGGGCCTAGAGGACGGGAGTGGGCGGAGGCGAGGAGGAAAGCGAGAATGACAACTTAATAAACACTCGGAGATTTGGGAGTGGAGTGGAGTGGAGGCAGGGGATAGAGAGTGCAATAATGTCACTATTGAGATTGGACTGGAGGCAGGGGATTGAAGTGGACGAAAGGCGTTGACAGGGTCACTGACTATCCGTCGCATCGCAACTAGTTTTTGTGTGTGGCAATGACGGAGACAGTGACAGTTACTGTACCGGAGACTGACAATAACTGTAACGGAGATTGACAGTGACTGTAACGGAGACCTTGACACCGACACTCGCCAAACGTTTCTGCAATAGCCCTGCCCTATGAGTTCGTTTCGTTGTTCTCACCAGAAGATCTCGACAGAACAAGGCATATTGGAGACTGATACGCTGTTCTTGAACTCACACTCACACTCGCGCACTTCCCAGCTCGCGCACTCACCACTCGCGCACTCACCACTCGCGCACTCACCACTCGCGCACTCACCACTCGTGCACTCAGCACCCGGCAAAATGGAAGACTACACGTTTATTTTTACTGCTAAAAACTGGCCACTCGCCTGTCGTCGCACGCACCTGCGACGGTGACGAACGACTTGTCCTTCTTCGACCGCGCGACGTCTTCCGCGCGTCGCAGCTGGTCCTGCACGCGCTGCGTCAGTCGGCACGACAGCTGCACCGCGCGCTCCGCCACCGCTAGATCATACTCCTCCGGGGGCACCTCCGCCAACGGTCCGAATTTGCGCTCGGAAAACGACAAACCGGACACGGGTTGCGGGAATTCCGAGGACGAGCCGTTAGGCGGAGAGTCATAGCTGAGGGGAGACGATGGGACGGCGGCAATTTCCGCATTGACGTTAACGTTACCGTTGACGGAGTCCCGTGTTGAGGAGAGGGTAGCCGGGTCCTGCGAAACGGTGGTTCGGCAGGAGATCGATGATCGGTGCTGCTGCTGTCGATGGTAATGTTTCTGTGAGAGCTTGATCAGCCGAGGGAAGTCTGGAGTTTGAAATGTTTTTGGTAAACCATTCGCTTTGCGAGAGGACGAGCGGTGCAGGTGTGAGGGAAGGCTGGATGTTGCACTGAATACGGCAGCACCTTGAACCATTCCCGCCATTTTATAGTGTATCAGTTCGGGATTGCAAGGCAGCACTTAGCAGACAGGACTTCAACCAGTACAGTCTGGGACAGTTGCGTCGTGGTGGAGCCACGGGTGCTTTACGTGGTTTGGTCTACCTGACAAGGACTAGCTTGCTGCCGTGCTGTGCTGTGCTGGAATCAGCAGCTTCAGAAGAGAAAAGAGGAGGAAAGAGCCACGGAATGGAAGACTCGAGGAATTTGAGTTTGGGAAGGTTAGCGAAGGCAGCCCACGTAGGGATGGAACAGAGCTGGCTGATGATTTGGGGGAGTTCACCCAGCGTCGACGAGATTCCGATTACCGGACGGTAGTCGGATGGAAGGTACGTACGGTGAGGATTCAGGGATGGCGTTCCTAACGACGCTCGTGCGGTTTTGTGCGACGAGAGTGAGGTTTGTTGGCCTGGAATTTATGCCCTGCGACTACCACACCTGAAGATTCGTTTTCGTCCACACCAGCATCAGGCTCGTGCACCCTTGTCTCGCCTCACCTTGCCTGGGCTCGCGTTCGATGCCGAGCCTGAAGGAGCTGAAAACCCATGTTAGCCAATCAATGCTTAGTGGCTGCTGATTGATGCGAAGGGACGCGAACGTCGAAGGCGGCGCCCTTAGGCCAAATGAATGGGATCCAATGTGTTGATGACGTGGCCGCAGATAGACGAATTCGCATGTGCCAACTAGGCGAATATTTCCCCAAGCCCGCTGGTGGGCTTTCACCCAACTTCAGACAGATGCTTGCCCCACTTGCGCACCAACCACCACTCTCAACTCACTGTTTGACCTTATCCTGCTGAAATGCCAGAAACAGTGAACCTGGGCAGTTGTTACGAGTGCAATTGAGGAGCGAGCGAGAATTGCACTAACGAAGCAAAAAAGTACAATGAGCGAAGGCATGAGCGAAGAATATATAGCTTAACTACAGTGGTAACGGTAATGAACTGTGGTTGTCTTGCGACGGGCCTGGGACTGAGGTTTGGGGAATTGTCTAAGCGGAGGCCTGGAGCGCGAGTTATCCGCCGAGCCGTGAGGTCGGGGTGCGACGTGCGAAGGTGGCGGGAGGGTTGTCGATGCGAGGGTTGCAAGTGGTAACGGTGCTGACTGAGGTGCTACAGTGGTGTACGCGCTGAGCGGGGAAGCGAAGGAAAAGGAATTTTCCTTACACTAGTTCTGAACCTGTACTTCTGTATTAATTGTACAGCTTACAATTCCATAACTCAGGCAGATAAGAAAATGTGCACACAATTCTAGTTTAGTTGGATTCTAGATAGTTCTATCACCCAGCTGATGTGTCCTTGATTGTTTGCGCACGTCTACCTTCTTGGTAGTCTTGGCATAGGCAGTAGAAAGCATGGAGGCCAAGCCAACCATAGGAGTCGGCCTCATCACAGAACGTGGCTACAAAGAACGACGCAAACTTGGAGAGGTGCTTCTCGATTGCAAACACCTGATAATTGTTGGTGACCTTGCCTTTGAGGATGTGGTCAAAGCTCCGAGCAAGGCGAATGTCATACCTGGTACATGGTTGGGACACAAGACAGGGTTTGGGATTTTAGTTGCAGGTTACTTTTAGAAGCCCCGAAAGAAATGCCTTTGTTCCTTAGCATGGCCTGCATAACCCAAGAACATAAGGCCCAAACTCATTCCCATTCGAGATCAAGCACCAAGATTCCCAAGTAGACACCATTGCTCAATGCCCGAAGAGTTGGGTAAACACGCTCCGACAACAGCTCAAGAACTAGCAACCCCCCCAAGTAAACTCACCACTGCCTGAGACCCGAGAAGAACCCCTGGTTGACTTCATCTGTAGCGATGTAGAGAGTGCTGTTTTCAAGACATCTCGGGAAAAGCCCTTGGTTGACCTCTTCTGTGGCGATGTAAAGAGTGCTGTATTTAATATCTCTCCCTCTGGAAGCTCAAGCACTGGGACCCCCTGGTAGACTCACCACTGCCTGAGGCCCGAAAAGAACCCCTGGTTGACTTCATCTGTGGCAATATAATAAGTGCTGCTTTCACGATTGCTGCTTCTTGAACCTCAAACCCGAGGGACCCCAAGTAAACTAACCACTTCTTCAGGCCCGAGAAGAACCCCTGGTTGGCCTCATCCGTGGCGATGTAGAGAGTTCTGCTTTGAACACATCTTCCCCCTGAACATGAAGCACTGGAATCTCCAACCAAGCAGACTCACCACTGCCTGAGGCCCGAGAAAAACCCTTGCTTGACCTCATCCGTGGCGATGTAGAGGGTGCTGTTATCGGGGATGAGCCGCCAGATGTGCCTTCGGATGGACCCCTACACGTCAGGTCTCTAAGACATCTCAAAACAAACATGTGACAGCAGAACTCACCACTGCCTGAGGCCCGAGAAGAACCCTGGGTTGACCTCATCCGTGGCGATGTAGAGGGTGCTGTTCTCGGGGATGAGCCGCCAGATGTGCCTTCGGATGGCCGGCACGCGAGTGTCGCGGTCGAGGTGCCGGCAGCGCAGGTACGACGCATCGTCCCTCATGATGTCTGTGTTGTGGCGGCGCACATGCAGGAAGACAAAATGGCCTAGCTTCTCAGACAACTGCATTGGGAGGAGAAGCGAGCAGCAACACAAGGGCGGGGAAGGGGAGGGAGGGAATGGGGAGGTGGGGTTGGGGAAGTTGACGGGAGAAAGGGAAATGCTGGGGTCACGCGTGATGTGGCTTTCGGATGGCCGGCACACGCGTGTCGTGGTCGAGGTGCCGGCACACGCGTGTCATGGTCGAGGTGCCGGCACACGCGTGTCGTGGTCGAGGTGCCGGCGGCCCAGGTACGACGCATTGCCCTGCATGATGTCAGTGTTGTGGCTGGGCACGTGCAGAAAGACTAAGTGATCCAGCTTCTCAGACAACTGCAGTGGGGAGGTAGGCAGGGAGAAGGTGTGGAGGCCTGGGTTGTGTTGTGGGTGCAACGTGGCTGGATGAGTGCAGGTGCAGCACAGCAGGTAGGAGGCATTGTCCCTTATGATGTCTGTGTTGTGCCGACGCACGTAAAGGAAAACAAAATGGCCTAGCTTCTTCGATAGCTGGTGGGGGGGAGGAGAGGGGAGGAGATACATGTATGATGTCTGTGTTGGGACTCGTCTCAAGAATTCCAGATGTCTCAAAACGTTGTCATGGCGGTGCATGTGCATCACCTCACCCACCATCATGGCAAGGTCTCACCACCCACCCACCAGTTGAATAGGGAAGGGGAGTCCCCCTTCCTGGCGTGCTCCACACCCACAACTCATCTCAGCTCACAGCCCACATCTCAGCTCACTTTCAAAGCGAGGTCTCACCTCACCACCCACTCACCTGCATGGCAAGGTCGCCATAACCCACCTGCATGGCAAGGTCGCCATAACCCACCTGCATGGCAAGGTCGCCATAGCCCACCTGCATGGCAAGGTCGCCATAACCCACCTGCATGGCAAGGTCGCCATAGCCCACCTGCATGGCAAGGTCACGGATGTATTTGGCAAAGGGCGGGCCGTGGTAGATCACTGCTGTGCCGTTGAACCGCGTCGCACACACCCTCCTCCTGCCACCGCGAACGAGTGAGTGTGAGATTGTGTGAGTGTGTGTGTGTGGGGGGGGGGGGGGGGGGGGGGGGGGGGGAAGGGAGAGGGGACGAGAGAGAAGAGAGCGAGGTGAGCTGCTGGATGTATTTGGCAAAGGGCGGGCCGTGGTAGACCACTGCCGTTGAAGCGCATCTCACACTGTCGCTGAGTGAGTGAGTGTCAGAGTGTGTGTGAATGTGGGTGTGTGTGAGTGTATGGGAGTGTGTGTGTGTGACTGTGGGTGTGTGTGAGTGTATGTGTGTGTGGGGGGGGGGAGAGCGGATGGAAAGGAGGAGGGGGGGTGGGAGGAGGTAGAGGGAGAACAGAGAGGCAAGAAGCTGTATGTTCCAAGTGAAGCAATTTCCTCCCCACCATCCCTCTATTAACCATTCTCTCTCCTTCCTTAACCCTCACTGCTTCAACCATCCCCATCCACCAGTCCACCCAACACCCCATATCCCCCCCAACCCCCCATCCCAACCACCTCTGCATTCCTGTTCACATCTCCTAAACCTTTAACCACCTAACCTAACCCCCCACTCACCAGGGCCGGTCATCCTTCCGATGCACAATCTTAGCCTCGGCATAATCAGGCACGTCCCGAAGCTCCCTCCAACTCACACTCCCATCCTCCACCACCAAATACTGTGCCGGGGTCTCGTCCTCCTCCTCCTCCTCTCCCCCTACCCCTCCCTCATCTCCTTCCTTCTTAGGAGGATTCTTCTTCCGAGCGTCCGCCAGGGTCTGCGCGTCTTGGGCGGCGGCGAGCGTCTGTTTCCAGTCGTCCGAGTCAGCAAAGACGATACCCTTGGGCAAAGCCTTGATGATGGCTTTAAGGTCGAAGAGATCCTCTAAAAGCATTTCCGTTTGGGATGTGTTCACTCTGATGGAGTGATGCAGAGAGTGGGGGTAAGGGGAATCGGGGCACTTCTTGTGTGCTGTGCATGGGTATGGGTATGGGTATGGAAATGGGTACGGATATGGGAACGGGTGTGGGTATGGGTATCGGTGTGGGTATCGGTATCGGTATGGGTATGGGTATGGGCATGGGTGTGAGTATGGGTATGGGTATGGGCATGAGTATGGGTATGGGTATGGGTATGGGTATGGGCATGGGTATGGGCATGGGTATGGGCATGGGTATGGGCATGGGTATGGGCATGGGTGTGGGTATGGGCATGGGTATGGGCATGGGTATGGGCATGGGTATGGGTATGGGTATGGGTATGGGTATGGGTATGGGTATGGGTATGGGTATGGGGAATCAAAGGTTGAGGGCGATTGCTGGTTGAAGGACGATGGGAAGGCTGAGGCGAGGCGAAGGCTTGCTGAACGAAGGGACAGGGGAGATGAAGCACATGAGACTTGGCTTATCAAAAGAGGGGGGGGGAGGAGGGGAAGAGGAGATGAAGCGCATAAGAATCGGCTTATCAAAAGAGAGGAAGAGGTGGGGAAGGGAGGGGAGGAGAGCAGACGGCAGGGAGAGGGGGGCGAGGGGGAGGAGGGAGGGGAGGAGGGGAGGCTGGGAAAGGGTGGAGGGGGGCTGAGACAGAACGCGAGGATGGGAGAAACATGAAGCTGTGGAAGAGGCACGGATATGGTGTGTGTCGGTGGAGGGAAACACGCATGACAGGAAATCAAAGGGGTGGAATGCGGTGCAGGAAGCAAGGAGGCGCTCACATCCTGGCAGCGTCGATGTTGAAGGCTGGGCGGATGCAGATGTGGCGAGGCAGCACGAACGTTCTGGTTGACACCAACATGACACCAAGATGACACCAAAATGACACCAAGATGACACCGAGATGACACCGAGAGTAGCATTATGTAGACGTGGATGAGGGGCATGGAGTGAGAGCAAGTGGAAGAACACTGTAGGGCGTTGTACTTTTGATATGTACGAGGTGGAAACCTCTCAAGTGCATGGTAAGAACCTACAAACGCATAGTTAGTTGCTTCAATCTCGACTTACTTGGTTGCTACAAGTTATTCTACCCCACAATGCGCTACGTTCTCCAACCAGAAGTGAAAACCCGTACAGGAATTTCTTCCATCACTCTCCATTGAGTTCAATCCTCTGTACTGTCGAGGTGTATCAAACAACCTACATCGCATGGTTTTAGGGAGCTGCATGCAAGGCTGGGTGGGTGGGTTAGCTCACCCAACTAATTTTATGCTTTCAGGCTTTTTATCTCAGAAACTCACCCCATTCCGCTGCATTCAATCCTCTAATTTCTGCTGCTGTCTAACGGAGTACCGTACCTGTTGGCCAGCACCGTACCTGTTGGCCAGCACCGTACCTGTTGGCCAGCACCGTACCTGTTGGCCAGCACCATACCTGTTGGCCAGCACCGTACCTATTGGTCAGAAGCGCCTCCTCCATCGCACACCGTAGGCTGGAAAGCTGCATACGCGGACGAGGGCAAGCGAGAACGAGTCAATCAGTCTCGGAATTTGCTGCACTGCATTCTTGAGAGAGATTACCTTACCACTCGAACAACAATATCGCGTAAGGGAAAGGAGAGGAGAGAAACGAGAGGAAGCGAGACGAAGCGCAGCGCAGCATGCGGAAGCGAGAGGAGAGACGAGGGAGAAACAAGCGACGAGGGAGGCGGATAAGAACAAAGATGGCCCATCAACGCATATGTAGCCCGAATGCGATGAATCTGGAACACCCCGGATATCTCGTACTACAAAAATAGAATTCAAGCAACAAATTCTTAATATCAAAGAAGAAGACAAACAAAGCATGTACCTGTTCGTTGACGCTACCGCAGTCGGTAGTTGTGGAGTCGATCATGTCTCCGTAGTACAGAAACCGCTGTTCGAACAAATGCTTCACGTGATGATGCGACTTCTGAGACGTCTCACAAATCGAGTACCTGTTCGTTGACGCTACCGCAGTCGGTGGTCGTCGAGTCGATCATGTCTCCGTAGTACAGGAACCGCTGTTCGAACAAATGCTTCACGTGATGATGCGTGTCCGCCGTTAAGCTCCCCACTTTCTTCCCCGGCAGGCGAAGATTCAGCGCGATCAACGCGTGGTTCCCAATGCCGGTTCCAGTTTGCTGGAGTTTCACGAGAGCGGAAGACACGCTGCGATGCTCCGTTAACTGAAGGACAATCACTGCGCCTGAAACGAAAGCGAAGATGACGATAACGAGTATGGAGCAGCATTGAGTGGTGGAAAGCAAGGGTCTGTTTCCGGCTGAACGAGTGGCGTAGATTGATGGAGATCCGGGATCCTCCGCGTCTTGATGTCGCATGCGACGCCCGCGACCGACTTTGGCCTCGCGTGTGCGACTCCCGAGAGCGACGCCGCCGCTTGGCTTAGCCACTCGCGTGTGAGGCTGTGACGACATCCCGAGGGGAAAAAAATCGTAAAGCTGAGACGTTCTATGATAAATAGGACAGGGACAGACACTATGGCTTGTCAGAACAATCCAGCACTACAAAGAGACCACGATGAGACGTGCATTATCGAACGACTAACTAACAATGACAGTACTTCACAACTACAAAACCTAACAAATAGGCGACATTTCTCGTTTCAGAGAAAAATGACGATGGAACGAACATATGGGGCAAGGCTAGAGGTAGTTTTTGTTTGCTTAGTGTTCGTTTAGCACGGTGCAATACGTTACAAAGCGGTTGAAACTGACTTCTATTTTTCACCGCATTCGACCATTGTGCACCCAGGTAAACGACATAGCATGAACTGACCAGTGACCAGATCAGAGAGGCTGAAGAAGATAAGGGCATGGCATGGACCACCACCAACCCACCGAGGGATGGACCAACCAGCAGCTGCCCACACCGGAATATCCCAACCATAAAATATTTCTCACCAATAGGAAATATTATAACCCGCCCCTCTTTACCCACACACCTCCTTGATGGAGCCCAGACCAGATAAGCACCGAACCAAACCATCGATCTGGGGCCAGCGGTTTGGGCGGCTTTGTACGGAGTGAGGTTGGGTAGGAAGGAAAGCCGGCGGGGTACAGGCGGTGCGAACGAACTCCACAGTTTGGGAGAAGGACCAATTTCGAGACCTGATCGTTTATGAACCATGGATACTCCACAGCAGAGTACAACACCGATCTGAAACGCACTCAGCACCAGCCTGAAAGGCTGGAAACCGCGCACACAAGCCACACAAACGGGTGCCACGCGATACACACACTTCGGTTGTATATTTAGGTAGTGAGAGCATACACTGTGAGAACCTCGCTCTATGACCAACTAAACAGCACAAATGCTTTTGATTAGGGCTAGCCAAATACGTGTGACGTTAAGCAACCTGTCTATGGACCTATGCTACTTAGGAGAAGAGATGCACATCCTATTATGGCCCTTGAAAAGGCCAGCAGGGACCTAAGCACTGACCAATATTGCGTCTCAAATGCTCTGCCCGTATTCTTTCCTCGCTGTCTCAGCATATTCTCCTCCCATCAGCTCCAGCATTTCCTGCCTGCATCATGAAAGCACCATACGGCCAAGTCATTCTTCAACATCTCCTATGCCAGCACAGAAACACAGCGAATCGGGGATAGGTAGGTACGGACGAGCTTACCAGAGTGGTTTGGGGAGCTGCAAGCACTGTTTGAGCACGAGGCTTCTGGCACACGCTGCAGTGTACCAGAGACCCGCATCCACCTCCTCCTGAAGCTTGCCTGCTGGCCACTCCACTTGCCTGGAATTACCTCCATGAAGCAGTGAGAAACAGGGAACACGGGAATAAGGAAGTCCAGAGGAACAGTCAATGATACCAGGCGGAAGATTCTGCAGTAACTTCACTGGTCCGATAACCAGGAAGGCCAGGACATACCTGATAAAGAATCCGAAGTCAGACGGAGGCATGTTGCCTAGAATAAACCTCTGACTAGAAGTAAGTGGGAGGCATATTGTCTAGAGGCACCTCAAAGGCCTGGACATACCCGACAAAGAATCTGAAGTCAGACGGAGGCATGTTGCCCAGCAGCACCTGCTCCGCTGCTGCCTCCAGCCCTCCCATATACACCCCGGGCATGAGCTGACGGGGTAAAGGGCACGAGGAAGAGAAGGAAGTGAGGCATGCTGAGGGGGAGAGGAGAGAGGGACCCTCTAGAAGCACCTGCTCTGCTTCTAACTCCAGCCCTCCCTTGTACACCCTTGGCACGACCTGAAGGGGCAACGGGAACAAAGAATAAAGTGACGTGTAGCACGGCACAAACACTTGCACGCATGCACCTCACTAGCCAGCAAGAGGCTGTGACCGTGCAGAAAGAGAAGCATGCCGCTCAGAAGCAGGGGGGTTGAGAACGGAGCTTCTAAGGCATGCACACATGGAAGGTCTGGCTGGCTTTGCAGGAAGCACAGAGTGTTGCATGGAAGAAGGGATGCGGAGGGAACGCATGCACACAGTTCACACGCTCTCACCTCCTTAGCCCCCGGCAGGTCATGGCCGTGCAGGAAGTAGAGAGTGCTGCCGTCCGACTTGAACCCGCCAATGTAGATGGCGTTGCGTGCAAACACCGCCAGCGATGCCTCCTCCACCCTGTTCACCTTCGCTAGCGCCTGGTTAAGGAGAAAGGCGGAGGGGGGGAGGGGGAAAGGGGAGGGGGGAAGGGGGAGGGAAAGGGGGCACACCAGAAGATGGGAAAACGCCACCAGCGCTGCATCCTCCACCCTGTTCACCTTTGCTAGCGCGTAGTGGGGTGGGAAGAGGGGGGAAAGGTGTGTGAGGAGGAGGAATGGGTGGGGGTTTGGAGGGGGTTAAGGAGAGAAGGGGGGGTTAGGAATGGTAAGTTGGGAAAACAGTTCCAGCACGGGAGGGGGAGGAAATGGGGGCTTTCAAAGGGGCAATAAGGTAGGAAAACGTTCAAAATGCTCTCAACATTTGAATGCTCTCATCCACCAAATGCGTTCACCTTCTGAAACCCCTCACATTGCGTTCACCATCTGAACCCTCACACATTCCAAATGCTCTCCTCGCTCTCACTCCGAATGCGCTCACCGTCTGAATCGTGTATCCTGACGGTCGATTCAATAGCAGCCCCCACGACTCCCAGCCCACCCCCCCATGCTCCACCAGAAACACCGCCGCCTGCCACAACCGCCTGTCCAGCCCTCTCACATTTCCAACGAGCTCACTCACCATCTGAATCGTATAACCCGACGGTCGGTTTAGTAGCAGGCCCCAGGACGCCCCGCTCGCCCCCCCATGCTCCACCAGAAACACCGCCGCCTGCCACAACCTCCTGTCCAGCGCGCCCGCCCCCCCTCCGCGCCCTCCATCTCCACCCTCCGCCCCCCCTTGCCCGGGGAGCTGGGAGAAGGGCGCGGCGAGCAGCACGCCCCCCGCCTCCGCGCCCCCTGTGGAGTGCACCCAGGGGACCTCCTTGGCCAGGCGCGGGTTCTGCGAGGCCAGCAGCGCCCAGTTCTCGAGGCTCATGCGGTCCTGGGGATGGTGATGGTGCAGTGAGGGGGAAAGAGGGGTCAGAAGAAACGATTGTTGAAATGTGTGAGTAGAGGAACCAGAAAGCAGACAAAGAGGCCCCAGTTTTCCTCCTCAAGTTACTGTCTGCACCAAGCCTCGCACCGATCCTCGGTTTTCCGTCTGGGTTTCAGACCCACCTGCACCAACTCAGGGACCACACCACAAGCCAGTTCGTTACGCGTCTAGAACAATCAAATCCACCTACGGCACCATCTACAGCACCGCACCTGCCAAATCTCGAACCACTTGCTTAAGCCCCTGAAAAGAACCACACCAGCACCTGAATTCCGCACCTGCCAAATCTCGAGCCCCACCGCCTCCTGCGCGGGGGAGGGCGCGGAGACGCTCCGCGTGGCCTCGTGGCCCGCCACCAGCTTCGCGCGGAACGTCCGCCAGTCCATCCCGCCGGCCTCCGCCGCCAGCGACATTGCGTCGTCGTCGCCCTTCCCGCCGCCGCCGCTGCTGCTGCCGCCATCGCCGTCGCCGCCAGAGGTCTGGCTGGCGTTGATCTGGGGAGAGGAGGAGCATAGGAGCATCGGAGCAGAGGAGGATAGAAGGATGGGTCGACATGGAGCGTAATTGGATCAGTGGAGTGGGAATGATGAGCCTCTCTGTATTCGTGGATTATCCAGCGAGGTAGATCAGCGTTGACAAGCAGCCGGGTGTTGTCGAGAATTCTCAAAAACATCCGTCAACAAGCAGCCGAGTCATCTGCATTTCCGCCTAAGGCAAGTGAATTACAACGACTCGACAATACCAACCACAGCCCCACAGGTCCACTCATCATAATACGGGTAGTCGTAAAGCACGGTGATACCTGCACGAGCCTTCGCGATGTGATCCTGTTTCGCGAATCTCGTCCACGTCCCCGGTTCCCGAGATCAAATCGACCGACCGCCGAGCCCAGATCCGACTGTCGGCGAGCGGAT